ATTTTATTAAAAATTGTTACGTTAATTCATTTGAGATTTCCAATTAATTGATAAACTTTGGTACATTTTAATTAGTTTTTTGCTCAATCAATTTCTGAATCCACGTTAAATTTCTTAAAGTGTGTAATACATTTTTTCAATTAAAATAATACATAATTTATGAATCATTCATTGATAAGAGTAAACTTTATACAGCATTAAAAAATATTTTCGGGTAATTTTTGTTGTTGTTTTGTTATGTAATGTTTGTTTTATATTAAAAATTTACAATATGAAATATCCATTTTTTTATCATTTCTAACCTAATAATAATTAATCAGATTATTTTCTTTCATCTTATAAACATTCAAAGATCTATAATTTAAATTAATTTATTCATTTTAAATATTGAAGTACAATATAAAAGAAATAAGATATGCCAATATGGTAAAAAGTGTGACTTATTATATTATGACAAGTGTAACCATAATTGACATAATTACTCCCTACTCCCCGAAACTACGAAGAGGCCACTTTCCCCAACTGCGCAATTGGCCAATGGTTGTTTTTAAACGGAGTGAAGTGAAGGATCGGCCATAATGTCTAATATGTTGTCAACGATATTATTATATAAGTTAGTCTTCTTTGCCACCCTGCTTCAATAAATCAAAACAAAGCAGACATTTTACACAAGCAGTAAACAAGTTAGGAGCCTAAAAGAACACACAGCGTCACTAAACATTGAAACATTTTTCCTCTCTATATAAAGTTAAAAAAATGTGTAATTTAAAATAAAAGATGAGAAAATCCTAAAATATCGTCAAATTTGTATAGAATCAGTTCTAGGAATATTAAATACATTAACAATAATTTTATTCATTGCTAACGATGATACTGATTATGATTAATTTTTTGTTGATTCTTTTTTCTTTATTCCTACTGGTTTCTACTATACAAAAGTCATATAATTTGTCTTTTTATCATAAATTTTCAAACAAATAATTGTGTCTGTTGCCTTAATACCGCGCCAAATATAAAATTAACAAATTAATGACATTAATTTATTATATTTTAGGAATTCCATCATTTTTAGCTTCCAGTTTCATTTTTAGGGAAGATGGATTTTTTTAGATTTTTAGGGTTGCGGCTGACGTTCCGCTCTCACTGCACGCATAACGTTTAGGTTTATCCAATCGAGCTGATTGTTCGTTTTATGTACGCATGCAGGAGATGGTTGATCTTTTGACATCTCACCGCTGCGGGCGCAGTTTAGATTGGAAAAACAAGCAGAGTCCCTCTCTTTCCGCCGCGCTTGCTTATTTGTGTATGAAATTTTCTTCTTCTACTTATTATTATTTGATGCGCGCTGTCTGCTGCAGAGGCTTTTCTGCCAGCAAATTACATCCCGCGGATGATGTTTTTTTAATATAAGCGAGAGTATGGAAAAAAAACTCACCGTCAGAAGAGATGAACTGCAAAGCTGACGCGCCGACTCCTCTGGCTGAAGGTACGCAAGTTTTTATTTTTGACTCGACGTTGCCCTGAAAATGATGGATCTCATTTCAGCAGAGGATACTTTGCAAATTGAGCTTTCAGTCAGCACGTCTGTCAAGATGTTATATGAGAAAAACGTACAATGCGCTCGCCTCTCCGAAGAGATTTGTTTTTGCTTTTCCAAACTTTTTGCCACAAAAGCGAAAACACGCTTCATTAATACAGAAGTCAAGTGCATTATTAATTTTAGACATTTAATCTTGAAATTTTCTCTTTCATTAAAATAAAAATAAATTAGAAAATATTCATGGCACACTCAGAAAACTTAGGCTCGTCGCTGCACTAGTTAGTGTTGTGGCTGTTCTTATGTGGGCTCGTCACCGCACTATTAGTGCAGCCACAGCACTAACTAGTACTGCGACGAGCCTAAGAGTTTTGGGTGCACAAGCAACAAAAAATGCTTAATTTTAATTTAATCTTTTAAATTTTAATTCTACACATATTTTGCTAAAAGCAATCATTGTTTCAGAAATTCCATAAAAAGATTGATTATTTTTCTCAACTTTAATACTTAATTTAAAAAATTGTTATTATATAAACATTAGCAGAAGCAAGATTGTTCACATTTTATTTTAATAATGAAGTTTCACAAGAAAGTGTTGTTAAAATTCAATTTTAATAAATTTTCAAAAATTATTATTATTTATACTAAAATATATTAAATATCATATTGAATTATATAATTTATTACAAGTATTAATCAGTTAATTTTATTGTGTAGATTTTAATACACACTATTTCCAAGCAAACAGTATAATTATTTGATGCAATTAAAAATTAAATTTGAATTTATGTAACCTATAATGGTGTTTTGTGACAGATTGCAAGGGAGATTAGTCTCTCTCTCAAATAAAAAAATCTCCGTTTAACGAAAAATCCCCCGGCTTAATTTAATACGACGAAGGGGCTCTCGTCAAAAACAACAGCTTGCGATCATTCAAAATCGGCACATTGCCGTCTCTCTTTTTCATCTCTCGTCGCTTTTTTAATTCCCAGCGCCCGCTTGGGAGAGGCGAGAGCAAGCAGATCATATTATACGGATGGGGTCGCTTTTAAAATATGGAAGATGTTTTCGCTCTTCATCATTGGAGGGCGTTCTAAATTGAATAAATGAAATCCAGGCAGCCAAAAAAAGAGAGTCATGGATGAAAAAGCCCTCAAAATTGCTCAAAATTTTAATAATAATCAGACCTGGATCAGACTAAATATTAAACACCGTTTCTGTCCCTCTATGGCAAAATATAAACTGACAAAAATTATTCAAATTATTCAAAAGTTTTAGTAATGATGCAATGCTGGTTTAAGTTACCTGAAAGTAAAGAAAGCAAGAAAGAAAGAAATTTTAATAAAAATAAAATGCTTATTGGTTTTATTGGGAAACTTTTTCATTTAAATTTATGATTTTATAAATTTTAGTATTGGGATGTTCACATTGAAGAACATGTTTTTATATTATTTACAGCGAATCTGTATATTAAGAATTTAGCACAGAAAGTTTAATTAACTAATTATTTTATTATGGTGATATAATCCTTAAACAATGTTTAATTTGTTGCAAGAGGGTAAACAAATTGAATTTCCAAATTTAGCCTACTCTCGCGCGAGCCATACAGCTGAGAAACATGCCAAACAGTTGCATAATATTATTATTGCAACCTTAAATAATGTCACTCATTTTTTTTTAAGTCAATTTTTACTTTTTGGCCCTGTATTTTTTCCTGGAGAATTTCACACAATTTTCATTCAAAATTAAATAATATAATGTACAATGACATGCTTGTTGAGAATTCTGCGCGTTTTTTTTCATTTGAAAAATTTCGGCCTCATATCAGAATGTATCAGGTTCTAATTTTCAGGTAAGAGTGGAAATTAAATTTTAAAAAGTGAGACCGATATTCAGGTTTTTTTTAATAAAGGCCCAGAGGCGCGACGACGACGTTGGCTGCAAACACGGGGCGGCCAGGGAAGGGCGGGGGTGAAGAAAGTGGTGGCACATGCAAGTGACAGCTTCTCTATTACATGGGGCGGCGCGCGCGTGGCGGTCTTACCCCCGAGCCACCCCGCCAGGCCCCGGCCAGCACATTATCGTCATTACACCCGGCCCGCCAACCCACCGACCATCCACTTAGCATTCAATTAATTTTTATATTTATCTCTCAACACGCGCAAGCTAATCAAAGGGTTCCATAATCAAAAATCGCGTTTTCCACTTGCTTGAACGATCAAAACTCACAATCAGAGAGAGGATTATCTTCTTCCCCGTGCTTAATTACAGCGTAATTTTTTATATTGAGAACTTCTTCACTTCATAAAAGTTTTGAAAATTACAATTAGTGCTAAAATGTAATCACAAAAGTATGAGATTCATTACTATTAACGTCCAAAAATTTCTTTTTATTCTAATAATAAAAATATTATGATCTCCATGAGTAATGTTCTTGTCAAAAATATAATTAATGTTTCATAAATGTTCATTCATTTGAAATTATTTAATGCTTCATTATATATAAGAAAGTTCATTTTTTATTAAAGGAAAATTTTTGCCACAATTTTTATTAATTTATTGTCTCATATTTTTTTTTTTTTTTTTTTTTTTTTTTTTTGATCAAAGATTTATTCTTTTTATGCGTTTCTGAACTTAAAAATGTATGTACTTAACAAATCAAAGTAAAATAATTTTGACACATTGATATTTGACAAAATTATGTCTCAATGCAGCAGATGCAAAGTAGTTTTTCTACAACTAGTACAACTCTAAATAATAGCACCAAGTTTTTGAGCATTAGAGTGGAAATAATAGGGGCATTTTCAAACCATGAAGCGAGAATTATAAGCGGCGGCTATTTATATAGGGGAGAAGGTAAAAAGTGACACAAGGTTTTAAGTTGCCAGGCAAGTCGAGGCCATATTTGTTTGACACTATTATGCTTATGCAAATCATATTATTTTAATTTTCAACGCCATTTAACGTGCAAGCTAAACAAAGAACCGCAATAAGCATCAATTCAAGAGGCGGAGAAATGTTTTTATATTATTATCAGCTATTATTTTTCTTTTAAAATGTTTGACCTTTGTCCCCTAAAATTTTTAAATATTGAAAAAGTAGAAAAAGCAACTCAAGTTTGAGGACAAAAATTTAATTACTGAAAACACACGTGTTCAGTTCACTCTGTTGAATTTAGCAAAAAATAATAATGTAAAACATAATAAAGTTAAGGTATGAATTGCTTTGATAGATAAAAAATTAATAAATATCTACCTGTTCATCTCCTGTTCACGTAGTTTGTAGCGGAAAACACGCAGACATTGACAACAACAAAAAGAACCGAAAAGAAAAATACAATTAATTCACAATGCGGATTTTTTTGTCCTCCGACTCGCACACACATGACGGTTCACAAAGTTGATCATGGCTCCACCTACCAGCGCCTCGGGAAACTCTTGACCAAGTGGGCGTGCCGTCTGCGAGGGCAAACCCAAACCAAAGGGGCATCCTGTGTTTATCAAAAAGCCAGAAAGTTTGACAGATCGTGCGAATCGAAATAATTTTGGCTCCAGAATTTCAGTCAGATCATTTAGTGGCCAAAATGACGACCAGCGAACTAGTTTGGGGAATGAAAAATGGTGATCTCGACACAGTCAAGGAAATCGTTGAGAAAAATGTGAGAGAAACTGAAAACAGAAATCCTCCCTTTCACCTCCTTATTTTTATAATTATTGTAATAATTTATTTTGTGCAGAATGTGGACGTTAATTCGGCCATCGATGGCAGGTCACCGATCCACTACGCCTCAGATTATGGACAGTTGGATGTCATCAAATACCTGATCTCACGAGGCGCCGATGTCAATGTAACCTTTCCAAAGCAAACGGGAAAAAATGAGAAATTAATTTTAAAACTTAAATTTCAGGCAAAGGACAAACACGGAATCACAGCCCTCCTCGCAGCGATTTGGGAAGGGCACACGGAATGTGTAAAACTACTTCTCGAAAGCGTAGGAGCAAATCGAATCTTTCAGTATAATGACTAAAAATTTTTATTAATTTTAGGGTGCGTCTCCGCAGGGTGAAACTCCTGACGGGAGCTCATACATCGAAGCTGCTGAAAAAGACGAAATTAAAGCCCTTCTCAAATGAAAGTCTTTTTCAAAAGTCAAAGTATACTATTCCTTATAAATCCTTGCTGTCTCAAAATTGAATTCGGCAATTAAAATTAGTTCTAAGACTTGACTTCATAATGCCTTAGTTGAGATTTGAGTTAGAAGCAGTATTTAGAGGGAAATATTAAAATTATAACTTATACTTAACATGTAAACTTGAAATTTTGTTAAGCGTTTTTAAAATCCTACAAACTGTCCTCACTCTAACTTGTGACTGGTCAAAATTTTGTATAATTTAATGAGTTGTCACAACTTTTTTTACTGTCTAAATTACATGTGAATGTGGTCAAGTGCCTTGATAATAATTTAGGATCAGATTTTTCTTGGGGATATGAAAATCTGGAATATCAGGGCTGATGCATAAAGGGCTGAGAGTTAAAATTATTTTCTTTTTGTGTGTCCTGTAATTGTATGAATTCAAAACATTGCATTTTTTTGTGGATGCCAAATAATAAAATCCATTATCAAGAAAATCGATTATGGTGTTTCTAATTTTCAAACAAATAGTCCAACAAAATCTGTTGCATGATAAATAAAAGGCTTTTTTAAATTTAGGCTTCTTAAAAAGGAATATTTATTTTTGATAAAAGCAAAAAATAAATATTTACAACAGTCGGCCCCTGCAATTGGCAGATTCACAATAGCAGTCAAGTCGTCGGTCAGGAAGGCTGCCAATTTCATAATTGTAATCCCAGCAAAGCTCTGAGCCCGCAGGCACATGCTTCTTTGTAAAGAAAGCCACCCAGGGAAAGCGCAGGTCGTGAGTGTCAACGAAGACATTCTGGACAATGACATTAGGGTCACAGGAGTGCTGAAAAAATTGTATTAGTAAATTCTTATGAGGACAAATAATTTTCTAACGTTGAAGTAACGGCCGAGATTTCCAACACTCTTTGCGTCCATGACGTAAATGTCCTCAGATCTATCAATTAAATATCTGATGCTGACTTTGCCCAACTGGGTGACCTCTTTTTCAGGGTTGTAACCTTTGGGGGCTTTCACCTCTGAAATCACAACTAAATTAGAACCCCAGAGGAGGGCAATTAAAACAAATCAGTACCTCCTTTGTGCATGCCTGGGCTGCCCGGATGCTCTTCCTCGTTTGTCTGTTCTTCGGTTTGGCCTTCCTTTCGTTTTCTCAGAGACATTCTAATAAATTTATATTTAATATTAATTAATTCAACTATGGAAATGTATACCTTTTTTCTCCAGAATCCTCTGCAACTTGAATATTGCTAATCGAGGTTAAGAAATCTTTGTCCTCTGCGGCCTGGCCGGGCAAATCTCCATCGTTGGAATCATCAGACTCCTCCTCGTTGCACTTGGATCCATCGAAGTCAGCGTCTTCAATGTCAGTCACGTCACTTTCATAACCCTCCTTACACCTTTCTAGCACTTCTATATAATCCAACTCGGCCAAATACTCATCACCAAATTGCTTTCCTTCCTAAAAGAAAATTTAAATATTAAAGACTTGCATCTACTGATAAACACTATCAACTCTTACCTCATTTCCTTCATGCTCCGTCATGATTTGGCCAGCGTATATGCAAAGGAAGGTACCGGCTGGAATGTCATTCAAGGCCCTCAGTCCCCAACCTCGTTTTTCTGTCTTAAAAAGCTGAAAAATTTTTACGTGAACCCCACTTTATACTTGAAAAACAAAAATACCTGCAGTTGAGATTTCATTTTGTGTTGAACAACTCTGTTCAGGCAGTTTTCGGAGCATTTGCAGTTTTGGTTGCACTCGAATATAGCAGTTGTTTGTTGCCCTCCAAGGTTCAGACGGCGAAAGTTGTAACCCACTTTCATTGGGTCCTGGTTTGGCTCGAGAATTTTTGCCTCCTATAATAATTTTTAATGGCTATTTGTATTATATATATAAAAAATAACACACGTCAACAGTCAATTTGTGGCAAGCGCATTTTGTTTTGTCCTGACAGTCGTCGATACAGTCACAACACACAAGGAATCCAGGATCGGGGTTGATGAAAGTTTTTGCAGAGGGTGTCCTCGCAGTTGAATAATTCACATACATTGGATATTCAGTGTGATTAATGGTGTTCACACATGGGATCTTCACATTTTCACTGCCATAGGAAATATCCTGTGAAATAATTCAAAAAATATAATTTTGTTTTTATTAAAAAAAAAAATTAGGAGACCTTTATAGAGTAAAGAGGCTTTTCAACTATGAAAGTGCTCTCTATTCTCAAGGCAGGGTCAAAGGAAAACAAGTCAGCACACAAAGTGGACTTGGTTGTTCTCAAATAACACATCAGTTCTTGCATGTTCCTCATGCGCCGGCCACACGGACCTCGGTAAAAAACTTGCAGCTTTGTGTTCCGATATGTGGTTGTCTCCCTTGAATTAAAAATCGATTTAATAACCTGATGATTTTGAGTGCACCAAGTTTGTACCTGCCCCATCCTTGGTTGAGTGGGATCAGCATGGGGTTGCAAAGGACTCTGTCACCCTCTTTGTAGGAATTTTCCGTCTCGGTGATGCACTTAGGAGAACAATTGTGAACCTCGACAGGATTCATCCACTTTCCAGGTCCCAGATTCTCGGACTGTGAAAAAATTTGTAACTTAAATATCCAATTTTTAATTACAGCAATTATTTACAATGGTTTCACCAAAGTTTTCTCTTCGGTCTGGCAAACTGACAACATTATTGAAAGGACGATTAACGGTGCTCTTCTTGGCGACAGCTCGGGAAACTTTTTGCCCTGGAATAAAAAATTTTACGCAATTCTATTATTGAGAATTTTCAATTTCAAGCATTTAAAGATTTTTGAACAGTTTAGTGGTGAACTGTGAAGTACTCACTCTGTCCATGAGCATCTATGAAGGTGATGGACACTGCATTGAAAAAGACGACAGACTTAAAGAAAGTGAAGACCCAAACCCAGAGGTTTGTTTAGTGATAATAAGCAATATTTTTCCAAGCAACAGGATGTTTCAAATAATAACTTACGTTCATCATCATCATCAAGCATCCTAGGGTATTCAATTTCTGCATGGTTCTAAACAAGATAAATGGATTTTAATAATGGTCCAACCTGTTTAAATTTACAGAGGGCTCACCTTTCTACTCGCATTAGAAGCCAAGCCTCTGTGAAGTCGGACAGCGACCTTGCTGTTTTTCTGCATTTGCTTTTTCTGCATCTCATAGTAGAGTGGCGCCAATCGTTGTGATCCACGATAGATCCATTCTGTGCGGTTGTCAGCCTCAAAGTGCACAAGCACCAATGAGCAGTCTACCTCTTTTACTCTTGTCAACCACCAGCGAGCTAGGATGATACAAAATTAACACAAAAACCTTAGCCATCCAAATACACATACTGTTCCACTCAGTTTTGACCTTTTGATTGACAGCCAAGCGAACCATGGGGCGCTCAGGAAACATGTCTAAGTAGTTTCTTATGAAGTCTCGTATATCAGGGTGGCAGTCATCCCAGACATTTACAGATCGCTTGCAAACAAGTCGAACATGGTCATGAGGCACATACTGAGTGCAGCCGTCGTCAAAGAAAATCAAGTATCTAAAATATATTGATGAAATTGAAATTATAATTTTGTCTATAATGTGACTAGCGATAACTTACCTATAGTTGTTAGTGACTTTGATGCACTCGGCAATAATTCCTGCATAAAACAGGAATTTGTTTGAGCCGCTTTCTTCTGGGTTGTGGAAAAGGGCAATGACACGGTGTCCCACTTCGAACTGGTACTTGGCCTCTTCTCCATAAGCAATTTGCCTTCCATTCAAATTCTTGTTAGGTGAACTGGTCTTCAGGAATTTGACTTTGAAGAGTTGCTTCAAAATAAGACTTTTGTGGATTCGTTTTTTTAATATTAAATTAGCTACCTCGCCATTCTTTTGGGATATTTCCAAAACTCGACCTTTCAGCCATTCGTGGTAAAGACCAGATTTCATGCCGTAAACCTCATCACCAATATTGATTGCTGCAGACTGAAAAGGCCCCTTTGGTGGTACTTTCTGAGACACTAAAGTTGCCATGATAGGGGCACGAGGAACTTCAGCTATTATGTCATCCGGAGGCTGAAACAATTTTCAATTACTTTTTACAAAAATAAAGTTTCGGGAATAAAGAATCATACACGTGAGGTGGAAGGCTGTGAAAATCTCGCGTGGTGAACTTGAGTCACCTTCTTCATAGCTACGGCACCCTTTCGCTTTTGATAAGCTACTGGAGCAGAGTAAGCAGTCAAACCTGGTTGTGTGTCCACCTCAGTATCAACAGATCCGATGCTCTACAAAACATAATGTAAGAAAGAGTTTTACTGAATCATCACAATTTTACTGTTGCTTCAGGTTTCCATGGATTGTAAATTTGTGCTCGGCAATCATCCAATGTTTTGTAACACTTAGCTAGTTCCTTATCTAATTCAGCAAAATCATCTGTAATTTTAAAAGTTTGTTACATTTTTATTTAGTGGCTAACATAATTATTGACTATGTTTTTACCTTCTACGCTTGCTTTAGACTTCAAAAGTGACTCATAACATTTCTCGTCCTGGACCGAAATTTTGTACTTGAGTTCGAAATCACTAAAAACTTCATTCACCATATCTAAGTCAATTTCAAACTTCTCATCGTCATCAGGTAAATCTATCAAAATTATATGCTCGTAAGTAAATTTTCTTTCAATACTGCGTGTTTACCTTCAGGGCTGATTTCCTCGTCAGAATCATCAAGGACAACCATGTCTTTACTAGGCAAATACTGCACTGCGTTGACAATTGGTTGCTCCTTTTCAAGCATGTCTAAGCATTTCTAAAATACAAATTAAAATACAATAAACTCGATAATTGTAAAAATAAATTTCTAACCTCCTTAAACAAGGCAACGGAGCGAGAGCAGGACTCACAAACCATAGAGATCTTGTTTTCATTTTTGACCTCAAAGAAGCTCTTTGTCAGCAGGGGTGCCTCAACAAATTGATTGTTATTCATTCTGCAGTCAATGTTGCAGCATAATATCTTCTTCAACTTCCTGTCCAGCTGCAAATAATCATTTAATATGCAAACAAATTATAAATTATTAAAAAAATACTTTCTTAGGAGAATTTCCCTCTATTTTCATAGGTTTTACTTCCTCTTTTGGGGGCTCTTCTTTCTTTACTAGAACCTCGAGTGCTTCAACAGGGGCTAGTTCTTTGACTGGAGGAATTGGAGCAGGCTGGACAGCAGCCGGTATGGGGGTCGATTCCTTTTTTGGGGTGATGGTGGCCGACTTCTGCACTGGAACTTCTTCTATAAGCTCCAGGTCACTGTCGTTGTCGTCAACGGCCATTTGTTCTGGCGCCTTTTCCACCTCAGATTTATTTTGAAGCACACCCTGATCAACAGCGGGTGCAGGAGTCACAGGGGTGGAGGGTTTCGGATTTTCAACTGGAGCCAAGGCCGGTGCTTCCTCAGCTTGTTTGGGCTCCGAAACTACCGGGGCTGGTGGTGGCGGTTCTTCGTCGTCCGAGATTATCATTATTTCAGGAATTTTCTCCTGACCCGCCATTTCCACGTAAGTTTAAAAGTAGTAAATATTTACTTTAAATACCAGTCGATAAAATCAAGGTGTCCAAATATACGCTCCAATTCATCAATCTGCGTCTGTTAGATAAAAACAAAGTTTGCCCGGCGTAATCTGGGCACAATATTTATTTATTATATCCATTGCATGGCAACACGCGTGCGCAGTGCGGAGTGAGTTGAGGAGGAGCATATCAAGTACCAACATTACGGGTACGGCTGAGCCCGCGAAAAGGAATTGCATGATGGAAATTCCGAGAATTTTACATTTTAATTTTATTCCACGTGAGATCATCTTTTCATGGTCACAATGTGAACAAAATTAAATAATATTTTTATAATGGAAAATATCACTCTTTGTGCTTTGAAATAAAAATCGTTAAATCATAAAAAATAATTAATCATCTTTTTAGCCCTTAGGCAATAGGAGATCGGAGCATAGGAGGCAATGTTTTGACTTTTTTTTGTGTTTTGTTGAAACGAGATGCTGCCTCATTTTTGCTTTGAATTCTCTTAATTCAGAGACAAAATAATTTTAATTTAAAAATTGGATTTTGATTAATTTGCCATTTTCCCCTTGGACCAAAAAAATCATATTCATGCCTAAGTGTGCAGTTTTCGCGCCGCTTATTGTTGTTGTAGCCATGCCATGGCCATGTCGCGCGAGTTGAGCGAGTCGCGGTATTCGCGGCGGTCGTGACATGGCTATGGCGAGGCCATGGCATGGCTATGGCGTGGCCATGGCATGGCTATGGCGTGGCCATGGCATGGCTATGTCGTGGCCATGGCTTGGCTATGGCGTGGCCATGGCATGGCTATGGCGTGGCCATGGCATGGCTATGGCGTGGCCATGGCATGGCTATGTCGTGGCCATGGCATGGCTATGTCGTGGCCATGGCTTGGCTATGGCGTGGCCATGGCATGGCGTGGCCATGGCTTGGCTATGGCGTGGCCATGGCATGGCTATGGCGTGGCCATGGCATGGCTATGTCGTGGCCATGGCTTGGCTATGGCGTGGCCATGGCATGGCTATGGCGTGACCATGGCGTGGCTATGGCGTGGCCATGGCATGGCTATGGCGTGGCCATGGCATGGCTATGTCGTGGCCATGGCATGGCTATGTCGTGGCCATGGCTTGGCTATGGCGTGGCCATGGCATGGCGTGGCCATGGCTTGGCTATGGCGTGGCCATGGCATGGCTATGTCGTGGCCATGGCATGGCTATGGCGTGGCCATGGCATGGCTATGGCGTGGCCATGGCATGGCTATGTCGTGGCCATGGCTTGGCTATGGCGTGGCCATGGCATGGCTATGGCGTGACCATGGCATGGCTATGGCGTGGCCATGGCATGGCTATGGCGTGGCCATGGCATGGCTATGTCGTGGCCATGGCATGGCTATGTCGTGGCCATGGCTTGGCTATGGCGTGGCCATGGCATGGCTATGGCGTGGCCATGGCTTGGCTATGGCGTGGCCATGGCATGGCTATGGCGTGGCCATGGCATGGCCATGGCGTGGCCATGGCATGGCCATGTCGTGGCCATGGCATGGCCATGTCGTGGCCATGGCTTGGCTATGGCGTGGCCATGGCATGGCTATGGCGTGGCCATGGCATGGCTATGGCGTGGCCATGGCATGGCTATGGCGTGGCCATGGCATGGCTATGGCGTGGCCATGGCTTGGCTATGGCGTGGCCATGGCATGGCTACTCGCCCGACTCGCCCGAACGCCGCGAATTATATTGGATTCCAATGTCCCATTTAAAAGAGTAGTACCGTGGGTCAGTCAAAAATTGACATAAATGAAATGAAAAAAAAAAATATATATAATATATTATATTATTTTTGAATTAAATATAATGTCATTATTATTTGGACACTCATACATATTTATAAACAAAAAGTACATGCATTAGTTTGCAATGACTTAACTATTAATTGTAAGTAGTATAAAAATATCTGGAAAATTAACGATTTTTTAACCAAACCATGGATTTTTGACGTTTATTCGTTTCTTGACTCTTTTGCATATAATTTATTGAATTGGTGAAAAGCAGGTAATATTTTGGATTGCAAGTGACATTTTCTTCTTTGTTTATTTCAACTCTCTTGACCCGAACCATGCTTGCAGAAAAGTGTAGGCCTGAAGCGCCCGAAAATTGTGAATATAAAATTCGCCACCACTGTGGCCTTTGCACACACCCGTTAATATTTTTTAGGCAGCTGCAAAAAAAGTTTAATGATTGAAATTGCCTTACTTATTTTGACAATCATATGATCGTCAAATAGGAATTTACAGGGAAATAATTATTAAATAATGAATAATAATATTCTACTGAAATTTAACATAATTATTTAAAAATTTTAAGAAGGATTATTACACACATTTAACATTAAATAGAAATGTAATTAAATAAAATAACAATATTTATGTAATAAAAATGTTCAGTACGCATAAAATATTAAAACGTTGTTTTATCGCACTTTCATTGTTTGGTAGGTTCTCTATTATTATATCTAAAGAACTGCAACGGGGAATAATATGTGTAATTAAATTTGTCACTTTTGTGTTGTCAAAGTTAGTGATGCGAGACCAGCAAGACTTTACACATGCTGTGTAGGAATAAATTCGATGGAGGTGCAGCACCCCTTATTTAAAAGCAGGTGTGCGCAGGGGGAAGGGTGATTTTGCGCGCGATAGCCGATAACCAAGTTTTTATGGCCGGCAGTGGAGTGCAGATCGCACACGTGCAAACGCGCGTGGCTCGAAACAGACGGGCCGGCGGCTCCAAGAATAAATTTCAAGCCGGTGGCATATGGTGGCGCAGTTAAAAACAAAAACATCTAATGGAAAGCGAAAAATTTCCAACTTCTGTCGATGCTCTACTTAGAAAATCGTCCGTTCATTTTCAATAAATAAGTATAAAAGTCGAACCAAGATGCGCGTCTTCAGAAATGAGAAGATTCGCTCAGGCCCCACCCGAGGGACAGAGTTAAGGGTCTATTCTGTGCCTGCTATTTGTACTGCGGCTCACAGCAAAAATCGATAGCACTTCGCACTGCGGTAGCGCGCATATGATTGACGCGCTCGGCTCTTAAAACCATATCCAAGCGACCGTCTTATTTTCACATCTATTTAATTTAAATTTTATAGTAGGTTGAAATTTTTGAAAATTTAAATGAATTTAAAAATTTTAATTTATTAAAATCATAATTAATTATGAAGAATTTTTAATAAATTAATAATTCATTTCATATAATATGTATTCAAAAATCTAAACTAGTAGGGTTAATTTAGTTTATTTTCTTCACTTTTACTACCCTTTTTATTCAAAAATAACCTCGGAAATTGAGAAATTCAGCTTTGAAACAAAAATACCATCTAATTAAAACAAAAAATATTTAAAATTTTTTTAATTAATGAACATGTTTATTGAATACCAACAGTATACTTTTTATTATTGTATGAATGTGTATAATTAAAATTTCATTTCAATATTTTTATGCGAATATTATAAATTAAAATGCCAGCAATTTGAATTTAAAAAGTAGAGTATAATTTAAAAAAAAAATATTGAATATTTTTTTCAATGTTTCTGACTGGAAAAAATTTGTGTGAAATTTTGCTGATTTCGCAAGTCATTTTTCCGCGACCGCGGTGTTGGAGTTTGCGAGCGATCGCGGTGGTGCTTGGTGGTGGAGACACCTGGCGGGGTGCGTCGGCATGTGGGGGTGCGCTTTTCCACCCTTGGCGCACACGATTGCATATCCATTCCATTTCCCCCAGCGCTTGCGAACAAGAGAGACGACGGAAGGCCCCGATAGCGAGAGAGGAGTGTTCGCGCGCCCTACCTAAAATATGACTCACTGAGGGTGGTTGTGGTGGTGGTGTGTGTGCGAGTGTGATTCGGCAGACGGTGCAGGTATTCGGGTGTGTCAGTGGCGGCCGAAATGGAGGCGCTCGTCGGCCCGTAGCGCCCACACGACACTGGACCGGAGGAGCAGTGCGTCGGGAAATCGGGAAATTCGGCGCCAAGATGGCGATCACCCTTTGACGAGTGAGTGCGGCTGATTTCGCTCACCATGAATTGACGACCGATTTCGCGAGGCAGCTGCAGAAATGACGTCGACGCCGAGCGAGAGGAAAGTGGGCAAGGACCCTGTCTCTTCCGAGAGCCAGCAATACGTCGGGCCCTACCGGCTCGAGAAGACCCTGGGCAAAGGACAGACAGGTATGAAGAACAACCCACGCTGGTATCAAAAAGACTCCGGATTATAATTAGTTCGACCCTCCAATAGGAATTTGACTAATTGATTTAATAAAAATTCCAACTTCAAATTTACTTTATACAGTGAAAATTGCTGAACAAAGTTGAGGGTGATTTTTAAGAAATTTGCGCACGTTGAAGTAGTCCAAGGATGGTTTCTTTATGATTATTTAGCGTGCGTGCACGGTTATTTTCTAATCGAAGATAAAAGGGTTATATACAAATAGTCGGAAACACCCAAAACGCTTTGATTTCTTGCATTAAGTGTGGTAATCGTGTGAATGCAATTCGGATGATTAGTAAGAAGAATTAATATTTAAGTTAACCTCTGATGATTGTATTTATTTTTAAGTAAAGTATAGAAAAATATTAATTTCATAATTAAAATTAAATAACCAAACTAATTTGCTTTGAAAAAGGTCAATCTGAATTACAGAAAATTACTAAGTCATTTAAAAATAAAAATTAATCTCTCCTGTATATATTTTGCAATTTGAATCTGGACTTAAATAGCCTCTGCTAGGTTAGGCTCACCCTTGATTTGGGGGCTAACTTTAGTTTATAATTAATGTAACAACAAAAATGTGAAAAAATGTGTATCAATATCATTGAACTAACCCTCTTATATGGGTGGATTTGATGAAATTTTGCGCTCTTATTGAATGAGTTCAGGGAAAAAAACTCGTGAGTTAAAAAAATACTTAAAAAAATAAAACATGGTATTTATACATTTCAAATAGTCATTGAAGACGATAAAAAAAACCTGGACCAGGCGTCAGGTTAGGCTTTTGGATCAGTGCAATTATTTCATTGAGGATTTTTCTGTATATTTTTGTGCTCATTTCTTTATTGAATTTTTCTATTTCTAGTGCAAAAATATATTGTTAACAAGTTTAATTATTGTTGAGATTTTAATTTAGAAGTGGTTAAACTTCATTGCTTAAATTATTCTCCTCTCAAGCCGTGTCAAGCCTTTGCATAATTAAGTAGAACACCAACACCACAATTACAAACGATTAGAATCACCCCTCTGTATATATCCTTTTTTCAAATCCACCGGGGATCTATTGATTTTCAACGCCGCTCCTGTGCGACCCGAGATCAAGCGCAGCCTTGAACTTATCACATTTAATAAAATGATACGAAAAAGCCACCCGTTTTCTACAAAGGTGAATCAAACAAAGGTGAAAATAATACAGAAATATATACACGAGTTTAATTCGGCCTCTAGCAGTGACACTTTGACGAGTGTGTTTATACAAGAGCACATAGAACTACGGGCTCACTCACGGCACACAGCGCGAGTAATGTAAGAGAAAATCGATAGCGCGCGCGCTGCACACGTTTTCGGCCACATTAAAATAGCGCGGCGGCGAACGACGGGACAATCCCACGCGCCTGCCGCCGCAGCTCGATGCTGTGCTGCAACGCACGCCGCTGCAACTGGTAGCCTATGCTGCATCAAACGCCGCATCCTACGCATTATGATCAAATAATAGCTTCTTTCCCAATGACCCCCGAAAGGTCATTCTGATTTTCTTTTCTCAAAAAGATGGAATTGAATTTTTAACTGAAACGAGTTTTAGTAATTTAACTAAAATCTCATTAAAATTATAACTGTTTTTAAATTAAATTTGGCAAAAAATTTGTTTTTCTTAAATTTTTATTTTATATTGGATTCCACTATTTGAAAGACGGAATCAAACAGTTGGAACAAATATTTGAAGATTATATCAGTTTTTCATTTAATCTGAAATTACAAGAACGAAATTAAAGTCGGCTTAATTTCTTGGATTAATTTATTTTGTTTTTGTTTCATAATTTAAAAAACCAGCAATGATTCATAAGTATGATTTATTAATGCATGAATTGATTTTGCACATTGCTTATAAATCAATGCATTTTGTATTGATTTATTGGTATACCGATTTATTTAAAAAATAAGTAATAATAGAACAATTTATTTTAACCAAAAAATGCATCTCTTGCATTTTCTTTTCATTTCTTTGCATCGTTTAATTTTAAATTGTTAAATAGGCAGATTTCGTGTATTTTTTTGTTAAATCGTCCAAATTTTTATGACTATGATCTTTAACAATTTTTGAAATTTGAAATTAACAAGTAATATTTCATTAATGAAGTTTAACCGCACATTTGAATTGATCGTCAATAGAATATTCTTTTCAAGCATTGCAAGGTCGATAAACTAACTATTTTAGCAGTTTCTAAATTACTTTTCATTTCAAAATATAAAAAAGTGGGCCTCTAAACACTACATAAACATTGTTGTAATTTTCTACAGCAACAGCAAGGTGCACTAATAAAAACCGAACCGCCGACACCCGTGGAGGCATCAAATTGAATTATTCAACAGCTGGTTTTGCACTTTGCAGACACGCTGGATTTTGCTCCCTCTCTCGTCGTGTTTTCATCAGACATACACAACAGCTCGCACTTTCTTTGCTTTACGTTGCGGTCTGAAAGGAGTAAAGAAGGGCTTTCTGCGTCTACTCCTAAATATTTGCTTTGCGCCAAGAAATGAAAACATGAATTTTCCTAGCCTCAGTCGCCGTGACCCAGAAATTATTAATTAAAAAAAAGAGCATAATGTTGCCATAGAGAGTTTGGGGAGGGAAAGAGATGTTTGAAATAATATATGATCATATTTTATAATATGTATAGAAATATATTTGAAATCTTATGAGCTATAAAAATAAATAAAATTTATTTCATTGTATCTCTAAACTGGAAAAAATTGCTTTTCAGGTCGGTTAAAAATAGACCGTACGTTTCATAGCAGGGTCGGGAAACAGGTAAGCTAAAAAGGAAGCAAAAAGGAGCTCAACACAATTACAATTATAATAGAAAAGCACGGGAAAGAGCATGTTCCTGTACAGGCGCCGGCTGCCTTTCCTTAGAAAAGAGGATGAAAAGCTCAGTTTTTGGCTTTTATTCCGCAAAAAAAAACTGGCTTAAAAGAAGAAAAGTGCAAACGGCAAAGAATTGTGGTATTATTTATTACGTTTATTTTTACCTCACAACAGAAGCGGAAAATTGTTTCTCCGCCCAAACTTTTAAACAAACAAACAAAAAGTTAGAAAACAAGTATTAGCAGATATAAAATATTCTTGTTGAATGCGTTGTTATAGATTTTTTATTTTCTGAGAAAACCATTATGACTAGACATAAGCTAAAAGAGAGCTAAAAAATGTATAATCATCCTGTAATTTTTTTATTTAAAATTCATTAAAAAGTTAAAACTTGTAACTAATTCTAACTTTTGAGATAAATTTACTTTTTTAGCCCCTTTGAAAGTTGGCTTTTCCTCAATTGATTTTATAGTCGTTTATTGTTTCACAGAAAAAACAATATCCCGCATCCCAAACATATTAAGCTGGATATTGGTTTTTCTATGATAAAATAAACCACTCATAACCACCAATTGAGGAAAAGCCAAATTTTGATACAATCACCAAAATTTATAAAAGTTTCAACTAATTTTTGACGCTATTTTTTATTTTTTGATTATTTTAACAAAGCTTTGCTGGAGTCAGCAACAAAAGCTTGGCTAACTTTTTCTACAAAAATTGTATCGATTAGGTTTACGTGTTTTATTTTGACAAAAGATATTTTCAGTGGATCTATTTGAAATACAATTCACCTGCTTTAAAAAAGGAATTTTTAAATGGCGAATTCCGTTTCTTATATCGTCATTTACAAAAATTATTATATTAAATTCCAATTTTCTGCTTTGATTTATTCCAATGAAAAATGTTTTTCTTGAACATCAGTCAATTGAACGAGATATCCATTGAGTGTGTTTTTGTGCTGAGGCACAATGGTGTGGGAATATGGCAAAGGCAGAGAGCGCAACTGCTCGCGCTCTTTCGCAGCAGCAACTTGCCTCGTCGGCTGCTGCGTTATTTTAATCAATAGCGGCGCCGAGAGACCGGCAGCCAGCGCGTTCGTTCGCACACACGCTCGGTATGAATGCGTCTGTGCACGGAGAAGAAAGAAACAAGAGCTAGCGAGGGTATATTTATGCACCTTTGAGATACACCGCGTGGGTGCACCGTTTAATTGCGAGCGCTCCGATGGCCTCAGGGATCGCACCAGCCGTGTACTTTGCGCAATTTCCAGCACACGCGAGATTGTGCGGCAATATTTGCGAAAGTGAGAAACTTCACTTTCCGCTCCGCGTCAGCTTGCAGGGAATGCGGTTAAGTGCTACGGCTTCAATAAAGAAAGCAAAAATAAATCCGCCAATTAGAGAGGAAACACCCTAAATTCACTGCGGCAGAGAGTCTTGTTGTTCCTAACTTGTTATTTTTATTTCCACAAAAAAAGAGATTTAAACAAAATATTAACAACAAGATTTTATTTTCCTCCGCAATATTTTTTACAGATTTAGATTTCATGTCAAATATTAAATTATACTTCTTTTCCATCTTATTGCTAGTGACAGAAATACAATGGAAAATAATTGGTTACAAAGTTACAAAGTACGGTATTAAATTAAAATTCAAAATAAATATATGCAGATTTGTATTTGAAAATAATTCTGAAAATTTAATTTTTGGTAAATTTTATTTCATTTTGTTTTGCAATTTTTTGTTGAAATGTAGAAAAGTTATTCCGATTTATAAAAAAAAAAAAAAATATCTAGATGCAGTACTTTATTCAAGCTATTTGTGGAGACATCTCGATTAACGACTGCATAAATTTGCGGGAGTTGCGGAAATGCGACGGAAATTGTACGCAAATGAGCGGCATGCTAATTTGATTTTGATCATCTGCCGCATTATCCACTTGATGCCGGAGTCCAGCAGCAGAATGGATTGCGAATTTGGGCCACCGCGACAACACGAGCCTAAGCTCAGGGGGTTTCGCTTCCTATGCGAGAGATTGATTGCCTTTTCGCATTTGCACAGCGGTGCGAGCACTAAGCAAGTACATAAGAGGCTTTTAGCAAAAAATACATGCATGGAAATGTAGACACTTCTTGTTCATTACGTCATTCGCAATGGTATGTGATGTAATGCAATTAATTAATTACAAATAATTCTACTTGAATGCAAACAGTGGCTATTTAATTTTTGCTAAAATTTATAAATTTTTTCCCACAAGATACTTATTTAAATACCTTTTACTACTAAATGCAAGTAGAAAACACATATATCCATTTTTTTATTTTTTGCTAACAAAACCCGTACAATTTTAATATTCAGAAAAAAACTAAATTATTAAACAATAAAATAATTTTGAAAAAAAAATAAATTAAATGTAGAAAATAAGTTACTTTTAAATCATAATATTTCTCATAAATAATTTAGTTTGCTGTATTTTAGTAAAATCAGACTAACAGAGTATTATTAATTACTACTTATATATTCATAAATTCAGTAAAATTTAAATACACCTGGTTTAAAAACAAAATAGGTACATTATTTATTAATAAAAGCAGAACAAAACGCAAGTTTTGAATTGAGCCAATTCAAATATAAACCGGCGCCGATGTGAACGCTTGCCAAACCGAAACGACTCATTTTCGCGTGCGTGCTGCATGCCATACTCGCTAATTCCTACAAACTTGTTGTAACCCCGGCGTGCGTAGGTATTTGTTTTCAATTAGGAAGCAGCACCCCTTTTGTAGATCTTCCCTCCCGGCCTTGCCAGCTGAGTGCTCGCAGTTGGCTGGTCGACTGATGAAAAACAAAAAACGAGGGTTGTCTAATTACATCGCTGCTCTTTCCCATTCAACTGTTCTCGCATATTTGCAAAAGCGAACCATTGAGACGCACGCTCGCGTGTGATGCGGCGACGCGAATAATAGAGACACATCCATGCACGCGCCATTGTCTTTCGCCCCGCGTGTGCGCCTCTTTTAATTTCGCACTTGTGCACTAAACAAACACTCGATTATAATGCCATTCGAGTCCACTGCAGTGCTAACGACCTCGGCAGGGGTTGAGCTTTAATTCTCTTCTATCAAGTGCACTCGATGCTCAACGGATTTTCATCCCCTCGAACGAAAGGAGTAAAATAAATATTAATTTTTATTTCCTTCGACATACGGAAATAAAACAGTTGAACAAAAACCCAATAAATATTTTCTTAAACCTAAAGAATTTTCCAGACGATCTGAAAATTTTGAAACATAAGAGATATTTATTGCTATTGAGAAATGATTAAAAACTAAAAATGCCAAACAGTGAGAATTGTAATTCGCTTTCAAAGAATTGGCCTAAATCTTGGTGCTTTTTCTTCAACTTTTAAATTTGATGATGCAGCCCTTCCAACCTAACCATATTCAGTCATCATTTCTCTGTGCAACTGCAATTCAAATAATTTAATTCGCTATCTTGATCTATTTTGCCAATTATCAATCTGTAAAAAGTTTTTACACAATTAAAATTTATGTGATTTTTCAACGGTGACAATGAATAATAGTTCAAGTAAATATTGTGTAATTTGAGGTAACCACTTGGTAGAAATAACATGGCGATTGAATTTTATTCAAGCGATAAAAAGTTATCCATTGGTCTTGCATTCAAAGCGCTCCTTTACGCTTGATTTTATGCTGACTGATAAATCCACCAAAAGCGTCGATTGAGTCAGATTGAGTACTTAGGCGCATCCTCAAATATATCTCCTTTAAGCAATTCGCTCATGTATAATAAATATATATGCATATTTTTGAAAGTATTAAAGGGTCGCCTTTCCGGTGGCTGCGGGCTTGGAATTCCTGCATGAGCTTCGCATGCAAATTTGTGCGTGTGCATGAAATTCAAGCCACCCCCTCGCAATATTTCATTTGGCCATGCGAGAGAGCAGGTTTATTTTCCATCTCTTGGTCGGGCGCATCGAGCGAATGAAATTTATATTAATGCGAAATTGCGGGGGTGGACAAAAGAAAAAGAGTGTTTTTGCCAGGGAAAAAGTGAATTCCGACGCGAGTGAGTGAGCACCGTGCAGACCGCCATTGACGGCCCGAATTAATTAGAAAAAACGACGAGTGCTCCTCTGGGGCCGCGATCGAAGAAAGAAATGAAGAAAGTGCGTCGGGGTTGAAAACTCACCCCTGTGTGTGTCGTCGAACGGACGGACGGACGGACGCACCCCTCTCGAGATTGCGCGCGTTCTCTTTTCCGTCGGCGTCTTTTTGGTCATTCAATTTTTCCTCCTGCTGCATTTCGCCGCAGTGGGTGCAGCACCGTTTTTTTACTCCTTTTTGCTTCAGGAAATCATAATAAGGGTGGAAAAGAAAGGGGGAAATTTGAATTAATTTCTCATAGTGCTTGTCTGGCGAGCCATAAAATTGCAATTTTACTCTAAATTGGAATATGAAGTTACACAAGGACCAGAAACGCGTTTTTCTTATTTTTAATTCTGAATTACCCAATATTTATTAATTAATTTAATGAAAATTTTTGATAAATTAATTTTTTTAGAGATTGAATAGAGTTCTCCTTTGAATGACAGAAAAAAAATCAATAGCTAGATTGAAATGGAGAATTTTTTTGGGTATCATTTTTTTACAGAAGCAAAGTAGATTTAGAAAGATGGAAATTCGCTCCCCCTTTGTTTTGAAACTCGACTCACAGTCAGGCTCCGGTGATTTGCGAGATTATTCATTTCTGGTTCGCCGTGTTTACAGTCGAACTTTTTGACTGACTGCCAGAAAATAAAGCAAGGAACGAGGTCAGCTAGCCAGCAGCGAATGTAAATGTATATCTGGTCGGGCTGCCAGATTTTCCGAACGACCACACGAGACTTCCCCGCACTTCTTTTTCGCAGAAGAGGACCCTCTTTTTGTTTGAGTTGGCCACTGAGAGGATATGTGTGTGTTTTGCTGAAAGAGCTCTTAAAACGTTCCCTCCATTTCCATTATAAATGCATTACTCAGTTTTTCCCAATATTGCAGTTTTCAAGTTGGATTTGTTTAAATTTTTGATAAATATGGAACAGATTTTTATGTTAATTTGTTTTTAATTTTTACCTGAACAAAATGAAAAGAACTAATTTTCTCTATATTCTCGTAAATGTATTTTTAAATTTATTGATTTGTTTACGATTATAATGAACATAGCAAATATTATCTTCAAAGCTTTTGATTTCTACTTTACTTTAAATTTTAATTTTGGCTTGCATATTTAGTAATTATTTTGTATATAGTTATATAAACTCTTTGAATAAAATAAGTAAATTCAGGAATATATAATAACTAATGAGCGATTGTCTTTCCCTTCAGGCTTATTTTTAATTTTTTATTTTAAATTATAACATATTTGCAATATTTTGCTCAAAGAAAAATAATTTCCAAACTATTGAATGTTGGTAAATTATAAATTGTAACATTTTGAAGCACTTGATTAAAAATCAATGCTATCTCATTATTGGTGTCGTGCGTTCAAGACACAAACCCCCTAACAACAACCCTCACGAGCGAGATATTTTATTACAGCTGTTTGACGTCAGCAATTAATTTTTGTCCGCGTTTGTTTGCAGGGCTCGTCAAGCTGGGTGTGCACTGTGTACACGGCAAGAAGGTCGCCATCAAGATCATCAACCGAGAGAAGCTCAGTGAATCGGTATTAATGAAGGTGCGTGCCTACTTTTCTTCCCTTCTTTGTCTGTCTGCACACGTCTGTACATAATTCTTTAATTATCGCGGCGCCGGCGTCGACGCGAACAGCAATAATTCCTTTAACGACGCCGGCCGGCTCTTGCTGCTGGCGATTCATTAATTATTCATTCGCTAAAAAAAGCAAAACACGGCGATTAAGCCGTCAGACGTTGATAAGTAAAGTACATAATGTCGTCGGGCGAATAATTTTGAAGCTCGTTTACACGTTTTGAGATGCGCATTTGAAAATTTGCACGACGTTCAGAAGAGCAATTCATATTAATTATTGCGAGAATAATAATTTAATAACAGTTATTAAAATTAAAAATAAAATATAAAAATATATTTTAAATAAGTTTATGTTAAATTAAATTAATAATGTTGATAATTATTACGGTTATTTATTATATGTACAACATGATTTAATATAACATAGCAGAAGATTAGATTTTTATCGGATTTGTCTTTATGAATGACAAGTATATTGTCCGGCACAGTCTATCTCTGACTGAATGAAATCAAAAGTGTTTGCATTTGAAATTAGCAACATGAAATTATGCTATAGTAATTTGACCTTCTAATAGAAAGATACAGATTGACTTGTTTTTTTATTTGTCTTTGTGACTTCCTCAAAATAGAAAAAATTTTGATAAAGTTTAAAAAAATTCAATATTAATTGTAGTAAAACTGCAGCTTTTTTAATCAAATTCAACAATTTTACATTATACAAGGTCAAAATAATAATTATGTGCTTTTTTCCAATAATTAACCAAATTTAATTTTAAATAATGTATATTATTCAAGTCTTTCATTTTCAATTTTTCATAACATATCATTATTTGTTAAAAAAATTTACCAAAAAAATATTTTTCGAGCAAAATACATTGGAAATAATGTTTGAATTTGACAAACCATTGTGATGGATGAAATTGAGAAAGCATGTAAAATTGGTGCAAGCACCGATGCGAAACTGGCTCTTCTCTCTATGCATGTAATGTGTGTGCGCGCTGTTGGATAATTAATCATGCACGGTTCTGTGTGTCTGTTGATAGGTTGAGCGCGAGATTGCTATTATGAAACTGATAGATCACCCTCATGTACTCGGCCTAACAGATGTATATGAAAACAAAAAATATCTGTGAGTATCCATTAATATGAGCGGCGCCTTGCCCGGGCTTTGCTACAAATAAGGAGCGCACGTCACAGCGGAAAAAGACAATCGCGATTTTCCGCTGACTCGGGCGCCGCTCCCTTCTTTTTTTCTCGCGACCTCTTGATTATTGAATGTGTCTCAGGTACTTGGTGCTGGAGCACGTCTCCGGAGGCGAACTCTTTGATTATCTGGTGAAGAAAGGACGCCTCACGCCAAAGGAGGCACGCAGGTTCTTCAGGCAAATCATCTCGGCCTTGGATTTTTGTCACAGCCACTCGATATGGTGCGTTCATTACACTTAAATTAGCGTTGAATCTCATATTTACCCTGGTACTTGCAAATTTCCCGTTGCTTCAAACCAAATTTAAAATATTTTTAGTACTTAAATATTTTATATAAAAAATTCTTATCCATATGAATTAAAAACTATGATAATTCATAATTTTTTTCTATGGAAACAGTTTTTTATTCATTTTTTCTAAATTAAGTAAATCAAATCGTACCAATTGATTTTTTTTTATCAAACTTTTATATTTGGCATTGTATTTTTTTTTCAATTAATATAAAATAAATCTCTTAATAAAAATTGTTGCAATGTTAACTCATTATCATTTATTTTGTCAACCAAATTTCAGTCATCGTGACCTAAAGCCGGAAAATCTGTTGCTCGACGAGAAAAACAACATTAAAATCGCCGACTTTGGCATGGCCTCGCTGCAGCCAGACGGCAGCATGCTCGAAACCAGTTGTGGTTCTCCCCACTACGCCTGTCCTGAAGTGATAAGGGTGAGAAGTTGGTTTATTTTCGTTTCGCACGAAAGGCAATACTTCACCAAAATTATTGCTCATTCAAAACTCATTTTTTATTTATTTTTTATTTTACTGTCGCGCCGAGCTATTTTTACCCGCGGCTCCCTTTTATATCTCATTAATCATCGATTCGACTTGGAAATTTATTTCTACCCAAAGGATGTGTGGATTATAATTTTTTTATTCTTTTAGGGAGAGAAATACGACGGCCGGAGGGCGGACGTGTGGTCGTGCGGGGTCATTTTGTATGCCCTGCTGGTCGGCGCGCTTCCCTTCGACGACGACAACCTGCGTCAACTTTTAGAAAAAGTGAAAAGAGGGGTCTTCCATATTCCACACTTTGTTCCGCCCGACTGCCAAAACTTGCTCCGTGGGATGATTGAAGTCCACCCTGAGAAGAGAATGACGGTAAGAAACTCCTTCAAATTATAGATGGTACATTAAATATCACATGTTTGAATTGTATCAATTCTGATCACAACTGTAAATCAGTAGATTGTATAAGTCGTATTTAAGGTATAATTTTTTTTAAACACATCCCCTCATTAAGGGGAGGTTTGAAAGTTAAAAGCTAAATTTCTTAGGTTTAAATCTTGGTTTTGAACTTTATAGCCACATGAAGTTAAATTTCATTTAAATAATTTTATGAGAAAATTTTAAAGGTGAATTTATTTTGGGCTTATACAATTTCTTAAATTCCTCATGCTTTTTCTAATTAGGTTGTAAAATTTATGTTCCTATTGCTAGGGATACCCAATCAAATCAATACTTTTACTAACAATAAGTGCTTATATGATTTTACTAATAAAAAACAATATGTCTTAGGCAACCCGCTGCACGCACGTGTCCACCCGGTTGTCTACTTTAATGAAACTAGAAATAAAATTATATTTTTTATTTTGATTCAATTAATATTTAACGGTTTTATTATCATGAAAGTTTATTTGAATTAATTATTAATTTTTAGTTGTCGGAAATCAACCGTCATCCTTGGGTGACTGCTGGGGGGAAAGGCGAGCTGGAGTTGGAGCTGCCAATGATGCAGGTTGTGCAGACGCACGTGCTCCCCTGCGTCGACTCGATGGACCCTGACGTGTTGCAGGCAATAACTAGTCTCGGTTGCTTCAAGGACCGCGAAAGGCTGATCATCGAGCTCTTGAGTCCAAAGTGAGTGTTTCAAAATTTAAAACCACTTACTACTGAAACTGAATTTTTTGCAGCCACAACACAGAAAAGGTGATTTACTTTCTGCTGCTGGAGCGCAAAAGAAAGAGGCCGGCGTTTGAAGACGACACAGAGGCGATCATCAGAAGCCGGACGGAGACTGCAGACCCTCCAAGAAAAAGGGTGGACGCTTGCAAGCTGAACGGCGCTTCACCCTTCAAGTTTGGCCAAATCAGCGAAGGCTCACCACTAACGCCTAGAAGACAACACTTCAAGTACAGAAATTTCAGAATTAAAAAAAAAATCATTCTTATTTAATCCTTTGAACCTTTTTTTATTTGTGCTAAGATTGAGTTTTAATTTACAAGGTTTTAGTGATTTTTTTTACATTTTATTGAAATTGCAAATTGACATGAGCATAAATTTTATCGATATATTGCAGACCTGTGAATTTGCTGGAAACGGGCACTCCCCGGCACAGGCGGTCTGTGAGTGGCACCGGTTCGGTGAACCACCACACACCTCTGCACAGCCACAACAGCTCTCCCGTTGTGTCACCCCTTCCTACCAGAGCTGCTCACCACAACAGGACAGGTAGAATTATTTTTCTGCTTCAAATCTCTTTTACAAGCAACACTAAAATTGGTACCCCAGGTATAAATTCAAATCATCTAATGACTTCAATTAATTCAATATTTTTAGTATTTTTTTTTTGATGCGCATTTGTTTTTAATTAAATGTATGATTAAGAGGGATGTGAAGCTTAGATAGTCGATTATTATTTTCGTGAGTTCCTATTAGTTTAAAAAGCATCGAGTTTGAAAGAATTATAATATTTCAAGGCAATTATTTAAAATCGAATGAAAATAGTATTGAAATTTTCAGGTCAAAAATAAATTTAAAAGCGTTTGCCTAGTGTATAATTTTGCTCTCTGATCAGTAATAAAGTAATTTCACCATAATTTTTGTGTAGCTTAATTTCTCTTTATGTTAATTATCTTTTTAACCAGATTATTCTGTTATTCACAAAATTATTGTGAGCTATGCAGCAAATCATAAAATCCCATATTATAAGCTTTGGTTTATTTAAATTTTTTAACTTTATAATTTTTGTAACCCTCTCAAACTCGAAAAATACTATTAAAACATTTTTTCTTATTATTTCACTCTTTTGCCGCTAATTGCCAACTTTTTAAACATTGCTTTAAACTTTTTTAAATAAAAAATTACAATTTTTTAAATAGGAAGTGGAGGTGGAAATTTGTCTGCAATCGGTCTGGGCAACCTGTTGAGTGCGGCGACCTCGTCAACGTCGTCCGCCGCTCACCAGTCAAACGATTCGTCGGACCAGTCGGCCAACAACATGGCCACGCCGCCAGGGTCGCCGCACGCCGGCCACCACTGGAGGACCAGACTCACCACCATCAAGAACTCGTTTCTCGGCTCGCCGCGTTTCCACCGCCGCAAAATGCAAGGTATAATATTTTTCACCGTCGCTCAACACAATTTGGACTAACGAAAGGAATGAAATTGAGAAATTGCAGCGAGCTCGGAGGAAGTGCACTTGACACCAGAGTCGTCGCCAGAGCTGACCAAGAAGTCGTGGTTCGGCTCTTTGATGGCCACCGAGAGGGACGAGACTTTCACCATTTTGGTTAAGGGAAAGCCTTTGGCCACTGTTAAAGCTGACCTCATTCATGCCTTTCTCTCAGTGAGTAGAATTGAGGTTTTTGATGATTAAAAAAAAAAATCAATTTTTATTAAATAATAAATAATTCAATTTAAGCCAAAATAAACTGCAATTTCTTTCTTTCCAACGTGTTGTTAACTTGTTTAATTGCCATTTTTCAGATTACTGAGCTAAGCCACAGTGTGTCCAGCCCAATGTCCTTCAAGGTGGAGTATAAGAGAGGCTCCAACGGTCCAGCCATGTTCCAGCGACAAGTGAGATTTCAAGTGGACATTTCCACAATCGCCAAACCCGAAGATCCAATTGAATCGATTTATGCCATCACTTTCACCTTAATATCAGGTCAGTTAAAAAACCATTTCATGATAATTATTAAACAGCAATAATTCCTCCTAATCATTACAAAAAATTAAACTCTTTTTAAACAAATGTCTCCAATTTTATAAATGACATAAAATTTTTTGGTTGTTCAGGGAATATCCGTCGCTTCCGACGGGTGTGCGAGCACATCCAGGCGCAGGTGTGCAGCAGGCGGCCGCCGGCGTCGCCCAGGGCGCAGCGGAAAGTGGCGCCCGAGCTGAGCGAGAGCTCGAGCTGCGGCTCGGACACTTCAGAGCGGCTGTCCCCGTACCCTGGCACGAGACAGGTGCACCCTCCAACCCCCGCTTCGCCCCGCCGCTGGCTCCCCTAGCACACACAAAAAACTCCTCAATCCCCCTCACACCACCGGACTGCTGATGTTGCTGCTACTGCATTCATAACTTTGTGTATGTGCGCTTCTTACCACCCTTGCATAAGCATTTCTCATCCCATGCTAGTTTTTACATTCATATGGTTCATCTTAATTCAACAGTTTTTTTTTATTCATTTGAAAAAATAAAATTTGCAGAGAATAGGCTTAATTATTAAAAATTAATAATTCAGAATAGATTATCAAGCCTGACGCGCTGGGGTTAAATTTAAAATTTTTTAATTGTAACGAGTATTTAAGAATTAAATTACAATTAGGAACTCTATATTTTTTGTTTTTAATTCAAATCTAGAAAATGTTAAAATCCCAGCTAAATTATAGTTATTTCAGTTTTATTTTAAATAATTTGCTTATTAATTCTACAATGGAAGTAAACTATATTTAATGTTTAAAAAAATCTCTAACCAAAAAAATAGGATTTTTCAGATTTAACCGATGCAATCAGGTGATGTGGTAGTTGATTTTAACCAATTATTTGTTTTGGAATAAAATATTTCAAAATTTAAAGGCATAAACACATATTTTTCGAACTCATTATTCATTGCTGGAAAGCATGTCATGCATTTTTATATAAAAAATACTCATTGTTTATCGCATGTGTTTTTCCTTCTTTGTTTAATGGTTTTTCGTTTTAATTGATGTTAACAAAAGGAACCAAAACATTACTGAATAAATGTTCTTTGATCACGTTGTTCTCCTGCCCATTTTGTTAAATTATACAATGTTGCGCTAGCTGCTTTTAGGAAAAATTGCACGCTGGTTTCATAATTTTTGTAAACGCCACTTCTACTTAAAACACCTACCTATTCAAAAACCTCCAGCACCCAAAATTAATGTGTTACAAGACCAAAAATCTAGAAACAATAATTTCATAAAATTTATAATCAACTTCATGTCACCAAATTTTGCAAAATTTCGTAATTGATTATTGGAAAGATTATTATCCAATACTTTGGTTTATTTTTAAACCCGATTAAAATGAATTGAAAAAAATCAGTTTGAATTTGAAATGAATTTTTCAAAATGAGACCTATGAAAATTTAATCAGGCATTTTTCAAATGCATGCGAGTGAAAAAATAATTTGATTGAAATTTCACAGATCGAGTCTGACCTGGAGAGTGAGAGTTCCGTTTTTGACAACATCAAGTCGCCAGGACGTTCCCACGACCCTTGCTCGTCCGCCCTGATGACGACGTCCCTGGAGGTCGGTTCGTCGGCGTCGAGCAGCACCACGACCCTGGTGGTGCCGTCGCCGTCGTCGGGTCTGCAAAGCGGGCCCGGCGGCCCCTGAGGCTACGCACCGTCTTTTTGGTGCTAGTTTACGACGCCGCTCGAGTTCACCGTGCGTGAACCACCTCCGTGTAAACTGACCCCAAAAAGAACTCTCCAAAGAAACAGAGCGAGCAGCAGCGAAGGAGCCACGCGCCGCGAATACTCATCATTCCTGCCATGACAAGTTGATGGTCAAAATCTCATATTACACTTACGCACTTACGAATAAGGTGACACACACACACACATACACAGCTGCAAGAAGAAGAAGCAACTTGATGAACACTCACGTGCGCGCATACTGAATGAAAATTATTTAATACGTAGGGAAATTAACCAACTCCTAATACTCTCCTAGGCCACCACTTTCCAGATTTCTGGCGAAACTGTAAAAAAATGACTTGGTCTGATCTCTGACACGTGACTCAATATAAAATACTGCTTCAAGAAAGGTACACTGTTAACAAATTCTCTTGATTTTTATTTTTTATTTGCCATCCATGGAATTTAAGGCTTGGAAAAATAAGGGGATTTATTTCTTCTGAATATACGGTTGAAATTAAGTTCCGTGATTAATTTAAAACTTTGCATCATTGCAATTTATTCCATTTTTATTTAAATCTATTTATTAAACACGTAAATAAATTTAATAAATGGTTAAAATAATTACAGGTGTTAAAGAATAATTGTTAATCAAGCTTCCTTTGTTAAACGACTCTGATTAGGATTTGAACCAATTGATACTTTTGATCAAATACCAACCGTTTCTTAAGTCATCAGATGCTTAATCTGGCCAAATTTTAGGTGGTCAAAGTCTTCTGATGTCGGCAAACCGCTAATCCCGCGTATATCAAGAATCAAGAATCTGCCTCGTTTTTGGACTGTTTCACTTGATTCGTGCGATTTCTTGATATATAAGTCTGATTCAAATACCAAAAGATTGTTGCCGGAAATTAAACGCCTAGCATATAAAAAAGTCAGTCAAATATTGTAAAGTGTGATTTAAAAGGAAATAATAAAATATAATAGAAAAGGCAATCTCGAAGTAAAACTGCGGAAAAGGTTATAGAATTTTGAATTAATAAACCAAAAAAATACCCATGGAGCTTGATGCAAATGGCATTTAATCTAAACAAAAAAGAATCCAATTTAAACCACCCCTCAACATCTCTGTTATTATTTTCTCTTGTATAAATTTTAAGTTCAGCAAATATTTAATTTTTTTATCATAACTGATATTAATGATTGCTAATCTATAATTTTTACCAAATGGATATGACTTATATTCACTTATTTTTTCAAGCCTAAAAAATATAACGTAAAAATGCCAAAGGGAGAAGGGGTTTATGTTGCGGTAAAATTGTGCCAAACCACCTTAAAACCCCAAAACGCATAATATTCATTCCGGCGTACTTTGTTGAGAGAGAAAACACTATAATTGTTACGTTGGATCGCATATCCTATACATTAAACTTGCACGGTGTTTGCGTTGAAAAATCGTGATTGACTTTGAAGAGGAAACACGCACTCCTCAGGGTCAACGTGGCGCTTGTTAACTGCACGCTTTCCTTCGTTAGAAATACAAGTGAATGAGAATTAATTATACCACGTGTTTGTTGTCAGAAACTCACACACCCGAACCAATCAAACTAATGATTTGTGCTGAGATTTTTCCTATATTATTGCTCTCCTATATTTAAGTAAGGCTTTGCAGAGGTAAATCGAAAGAAAACAACATTTACAACACGAGCTTGTTAAATTTTAAAACTATTTTCGCGTATATAATGAGATGATATTTGCATAATTTTACAATTATTCGCTCTCAATTATTGCTCTTTCCGAAAAACTCAATGGGATAGTAAAAAAGTAAATTTAGAGAGGGAGGGAAAAATTATAAAAAAATTATTTCGGTTAAAATAACAAATGCTCAGAGAAACCTTTCACAACTAATATTTCGCCACCACAACTTTAGCCAACCAGCAATGTAACAAGTAAAAACAAGAATTAGAAAATTTTCTGCCAGAAACCGTTGATATGCGTTATAGAGAAAAAAAACTACTACTATTACTGGCAATTGATAAGGACTTTAGAGTGTAGCAGAAAAGTAAGAATAACACGTACGCTAATCAATAAGTGTCTGTCCAGAAAACATGTTTAACGAATCAGCTGAAGAATCATATAAAATGTATAAAAAATAATGCCTCCTAGCCTGTCAGGTGGTTTGAGAGAGATTCGCTTCCGAGAATTATTGTAAAAGAGAAAAAATACATGCAACACTGACGAAAAACAGCTCGAGCTTTTAAATTAAACTGAATTTGATGAGAAAATTAAAATAACACAACATCTAGATGCAGTCACGGTGTGAAATATCAAATATACTTTTTTGCTTAAGACAAAAAATAGAGATTTTTGTATGAGATGACACACGGAGTGCGTGAACTTATACCATTAGCGGTGTGCTAAAAAAACTAAAAAGATATTGAGCGTGATCTCAAATCGTCCATTAAAGTTACTTCCTGTAAATTTATAATTATATATTAATACCCTCATGATAATTGTTAGCTCGCGTGGGAGAATCACTCTCAAACCGCAGTATTTAAGTGAAAAAAATTTGCATAGGAAAATTAGTCCTATACGAGCTGTACAAAAACAAAAATCATCAAAATCTGCAATAAAAATTTGTATCGTCAGGATTTTAATGTGCAAAGTGCTTGGAAAAACGCAGATTTTTTTTCTAATATTTTTTATTCCAAAAAAAAAAATTACACCATTTTAATATTTTAAAAGGAAAAACTTGTAATTATTGACTAGGCGCAATTTCTGATATTTTGATTCTTTTGGCTGAAATATTTTATGTAAATCTGCGCATTTTTCCATAAACTCTCATCAAAGTCAAAATCATATCTTTTTTGGAAAGAGGAGTCTCATCACACCACCCATGTCACCTAAACTTGATATACTTGAATGTACTTGTGCGAGAGAGAAACTGTTGTTATCCCAAATGATATGTTACGTTTGAAGATATGCTTGCGTTTTTTGACCAATTCCGGTGTATGTAAAAATTTACATCGCGGTTTCTGTTAGTCCGGCATTTGAAGGAAGTGAAAATGTGAGACTATTAATAGAAGCTTGAGCGCCTGTTGAAAGCTGCAAGTGCAAAAAGTGTGTGCGGGCGTTTGAGACTTTGAAAGAAAAGTGCAGTTCGTTAGACAATGAGAATTAAAAAAAAAATAAAAAATCGAGTTGTGGAGAATGTTAGCGAAAATAAAAATGTATAAAAAGCGAGAAAAATTAAAACTGCTAACCTGCCAGACGTTAAACTGTATAAGAAAAAAAACACGCGAAAAGTTAAAACACATAATGTTGGTGTATGTTTTTGCTCTGTGATATAGCTGAAAACAATTTTTTGCCTAACAACTTGTCAATGGAAGACATTTTTATGTGTTTGTGAACCAAAAAACCGATATTATAATTCATAATAGACGTTTGTGCAATTTGGTGAGACAAAAACAAAAAAAGAATCACACCGGTGGATTTTAAATTATTGTTCCTGTAAAAATTTGCGACCACTAAACTTCATTGATATAATCCTGAAATAAATCGACGTATTTCTGATTTTTCCTAATCCAATTTTGAGACCTGTATCAACCCCCGTACTTGTGGAGCAGTGATCAAGAGAAACGAATTATATAAAAATGAAGTCCTTTTGATGATTTTAGTGATATTTCGAATGGAAAATGACGGAATTTACTGTTGATGTGATGAATTAACCAACCGCGAATTAAATTTGATCAAAATAGAAGCAATCCGGCGCGCGCACTTTGGTGAATTTGAAGGTGTGAATCAAGTGCGGATTTTCCATGATTATTTGTCGCTGCTGCAATCAATAATGTCCTTTGTAAATTGTGGCTAAAATATGTGAGTTCTGAAAAGGAATGTGTCAAAGTTTTCGTTGGATGAGTTTTACCTAATTATGTCACAAATAAATACACAAAACACAAGCTTAAAAAAGCGTCTCAATATTTATAAAAGAAAATATGCGAAATATTATATTCATGGGCCAATACCAGCGTCATGAAGCAGATTGTAAGCTCAAAACATTTTTATTTTGAGAATTTTTCATTTTATTGAGAAGTTTTTTGATAATTTAAATTTTATTCCATTGTTAACAATACATAAAAAATTAATTGAAGATCAGCTTGAAAATAATTGTATTTAATAAATATTTATTAGAGTGGTGCCTTATTCATGGCCATTGGTTAAGAAATAATTTGTTAAAAAAAGCAATGTTTTAATTTTCACATTTTTTTTTATTCTACTGTAGAGAAGCATTTGTCCAGATTAAATTCAGGATTTCAGAGCAACGTGCACATTTCCAGGATTCTGTACAAAGTTCCAACTGCAAAATTTGACTAGGTATATATATAAAAATATTGGCAGTGATTCCATTTTTCAGCTCTTCTGAGCGCCTTTTACAATAGTGAAGAAAAACCAAAGCAGCCTGTCCTTCTGACATGATGTTGGCAGGCTCGAAAAGCAAAATTGGCCGTGGGAACATGAGTAATCAAAAGTAGCGTGGAATGCAGTTCGTTTCTGTCAAACGTTGGACAAACAGATTCAGACTTGATTATGAAACAGAAACTGTCGAGTTAGAGAAAACAGTCAGTGCACATTAAATTTCAACATTCTACAGGGTGCTGCAGACGACAAATTCTCAAGGAAGAGAAAAACAACGGGAAACACTAATCGAGAGAATTTTTTCTTAAACATGATAGTTGATTTTTACAGTGAGCTGCAAAAATAATTTCTTCGAAAAACAGTAACGTTGGAGAGTTTTGATGGCAAACAATTGTGGGCATAATAGAAGTAACCCAAAATAAAAATTTTAAAAAAACCAATCAAGAGCAAAGTGGCAATTTACGTTGATATACCATGAACACAAGTTACAGTGTATTGACAGCAGTTTGAGCTTTGCTTCAAAAATATTCAAGTAAGACACTTGAAGCGCGATTAAAGGCTCAAAACCCCCAATTTAAAATCAGTTTGCATTCACTCAACCAAAAGAAAAACAGGAAGTCTGGGGAAAAATCAGGCCCATTTGAGAGAATTTCAAATTTCAAAAAAGAACAAAAAAGGAGCAGTACAAACAAAATTGGTTCTAGAGGAGCCTTTAAAATTGGCAGGATGAAAACGCACAGGAACCTAACATAATGCCCTAGTTATGCACTGTTACAAATTTAATATTTCTAAAATAGGATAAAAATTATAAGTGGCGAAACAGCAAAAGAGGGATTTGCAAGGCTGAAATTGGACACAATAAATTCGATCCAAGAAATCAAAAGGAAAAAAAATTACTTTAAAGAAATCTGTCCGATTTCAGCCTCGGCATTGGCGGTTCGGGTACAAAAAAAATAACTAACAGATACATCACAGCTAAAAAAAACTGCGCAACGAAATGGTATTTACACTAAAAGGTAAACATATGATAAGCTTAGATCGAACTAAACCGAATTGGTCTCGGCAGGTTTGAATCGAACCTTGCAAACGGGGCTTTTATATCACAAGAGTAGATTAAAAGTTCACCGGTCTGTCCCACTCGATGAGGTACTCGACCGTGCCGTCCAACCTCGTCCGCTTGCCGTTGATGTTGAAGCTCTCGCCGTTGATGATGCGGTTGGCCGGACTGAAGTAGTGTCCGATGGCCATGCGCAGCTCGGCCGGCGTCAGATCCTTTGCGGCGGCCGAGGTGCTCGGGGCTTCCACGACCACTTCCTCCTCGTCCTCCTCCTCCTCGGTGGGCTTCAGCTTGAGTCGCGCCGCGTTCAGCGCAAACTGCATCAAGTCGCGGCCCGAGCGCGCCACCAGAGTTCCACTCAGTCTTGGGTTGATGCTGGCCACCTGCAAAAGTTCATTCCAAATTTCAATACACCCATTTTTTTTAGCAAGTTTTATTCAGTTTGAGGAATTTAAAATGGCAGAATTGTAGCCTTGGTTTTTGGATTTTTTAAGATTGCTGGATTTGGTAATCAGAATTAGCCCTAATTTCAATTTTAATCTGGGTATAAAATCAACCAACCTTATTTAAATTAATTATTTCAAATCCTTGCATTAAAATTTTATAAGTTTTTAAACTCTAAAAGAGTTTCATTTGATTTTTTAGATGTTATATTTATCAAAGAAGAATTTAATAATTTAAAGAGATATTAGAAATTTGAGCATAACAAAGCTCTGCATTGGATGCTGATTTGAAGAAAGAATTTGTATTAAAATTAGGAAAACTTCACAATAATACCTTTACGGAACGGTGGTATGTGGTGCGGCAGTTGCCCTGTACAGACGGATCCTTTTTGTAGAGGTCGTGCAGACTGCTGGCAGGAATGTTAGTGCCCGGAAGCGTGTTTCGACGCCGGAAGCGACGTCTCTTGATCTCTCCGTTTTTGCCGATTCGAATGTCCTTCTCGCTGAGCTGCCTCTTCGTCGGTCTGATGGCCACTGGTAAGGGTGGGGCGGCCGTTTTCTTTGCAGTCTGTTGCTGCTGCGACTGCGACAGTTGCTTCAGGAAATCTTTGCCTGCCTGCAAAGCCGCCTTGGTTTCTTCCTTGACTGGAGTCGAGTTAGTAGAAGCTGCTTTGCTGAGCTGAGTTTTGCTGGGCAGCTCTTTGCGGTCGGCTCGCGAAGGCGACGTTTTTAAGAGCTTTTGGCTCTGGAAATTTTCAAAATAATTTAATTAATTTTTAATTCTAAGAAAGATGGTTTGATTTGAACATTACAAATAAAAATCTCACTCACCTTATTGATGGCGTTCTTAATGAGTTTTCGTGCAGTCTTGTTTTTTATTTCCTTCTCGCCTTCCTTCAGGCCGCCTTCAGACCTCATTCTTTTTCTACCGACGGTTTCCTTCTTGTCCGGTGTTGCTCTGAGGGAAGCTCTTCGCTTCTGGAATTCCCCGTCGAACTGAGTGCCTTTGGCTGGTCTGCACTTTACACTGCCCCCTTCAGACTCTTCCTCTACTTCTGAGCTCTCGGAGTCATCCACACTCGCCTCGGAACTGACCGACTGGAGAAAAAAAATTTGAATTGCATTTTCAAGGAGTGATAAATAAAATTTTTTTACCAATTTTCCATCCGTTGCGTCAGATTTTGAGGTGACAGATTCTCCAGAGTTTTTGCCCAAGTACGTAATTCCATCTGGAAACTGCACTCCACCAATTTGGCTGCAAAATAAAAATGAATATTGGAATTTACAAATATAAACAAGTTCTCACCTATTGTACTTAGCATTTGAGTTGGATGGGAAGACAAACTTGACTCTGCGATTCGACTCACTCGCATGTCTCAAGGCAGCGTCGTCTATTCTTCCAGTAAGTGGCACATTGAACGGAGGCGCAGACGGAGGAACTTTCAGTCTCAGGGCGTACAGGGTAGTTTTCTTTTTCACCTCCTTCCCCCACTTGAAGCGCTGCTTTTCAGACTGCAGGATTCGGAAGATCTTTTCCTTCCTCTCTGTCACACTTGCCGAATGGATCTGCAAATTCACAACATTTAAAATTCTTTTCTGATCTAACAAAAAAAAGGGAACTTACTTTATCTGGTAGGTTGAAATTGTCCCAGTTCTCGAGGATGAAACTAGTGATGACTGTTTCGATGTCATGGTACTTTTTGATACTGACCAAGGTTAAATTGTACATGGATAAGTGGACCAGATCTATCCAGCCTATCTCCATTCTCCTCACATACTCGTAGCCCTCATTACAGTTTTCACAAACAAACACGAAAAATCTGAAAATGGGCAATTTATTAAAATCAACCTGAAATTTCAATTTAATGAAATTCTCACCTATCACCATAAAACAAAGGGTGTGATAAAGATCTGACACATTTTTCATGGAACCACTGTTTGCACCGCAAGCACTGCAGCATTTTGAAAAACCACTGGCCCGTCTCGCCACAGTAGCAGTACTTTTGCTCATGGTTGGTTCTATGAGCAGAGTCCCATGTCAGACTTGTTGCCTGAAGTTGATATAAAATACAGTAATTAAAAACCTGCAAATTTTAAGGATATAATCTTACATCATAGGCCAATTTTCTATACAGGGCAGCAGGTTCTTTCAAACAGGCCTCTTTAGCAGGTTTGCTAAAGGACTTTCGGGCCTTCTTTTCCAACAGCCCTATCTTCTGCTGCTGGATTTTCTTCTGCTCCCTCAATTCTTTTTGAAGGCGCTTCTCCTCTTCCTCGGAGCATCGTTGGCATGTAAATTTTTTCAGAGGATTTTCGATTCTTGGCTGAAAAGGATTATTTTGAATCAATTTTGCTGCTACAAAAACATTCCCAAATTTTAGTCTCTAGAGAAACCAAAACATTGAATTATCGTACCACATGGCACTTCTGGTGGTAGCCGCGGTCACACTTGACACAAGTGACCACCTCGTTCGACTGGCAGTTCTTCGGGGCTGAAGTTTTGCACACAACACAGCAAGGACCATCGCTGACCACGTTGCTCGAGAGGCGCCTGATTGTGTGGAAAAAGGACCACTGCTTTGTATCATCTCCAAAGTTGATCAGGCACCTTTTATTCTCATATTCGACCTGAAATGCATCAAAATTAATAAGTATAACAAAACCATAAATCAACGTGAAATAATAATTTGTATATTTTATTGTTATATAAGTAAAAATCACCTGTACAATAGTGCCGAAGTAGAGGCGACCGTCCTTTTGCGAGACAAAAACATCTTCGCCTTCGACAAAGGTCACCTTTTCCTTAGTTGTGCTGTCTGGAAATGCTGAGTGGTTCTCCTGTGGATTATAATTATTTTGTTAATTTAACCGGAGGATTCATTTGAAAAATAAAATTTAAATTCCAAATTTGCTTACATAATTCAATATTATGCAACTTGATTTTTTTGCCACAACGCATTCAACAAAATGGGTATGATCAAATCGAAGGAATAAAAAATTAGTTTTTGAATTGCAGTTTTTGAAAAGGAAGTAATTCTTTGTTCCGCTCGAATTGGCATCAAATTAACCGGAAGTGCGAATTTGAAGAAAGCGAACGAGATTATTTGAGTCTGGCGAAAGAACAATTAAAGCGGCCGCACAATAGATTCGCGCCCCACTGTGTGAACCTTTTGTCTGTGCGGCTGCCCTATTCCATTGTCACCGCCATATCGCCATATTCATTCGCATAAAAAACAAATCGTCCAAGACGCCGTCGGTTGCGCGAGCCGAGCCCGCCGGCCGACCCGAAGTCGCCCCGCCGACGTTTCTGATCGGCCGCCGAACCGAATTTGCGAACTTGCAGACACTTGCGTTCCGTGCGAATCCGGCGTTGGCACTGAAAATGATTTCGGAACTCGGGTGCGGGAAACTCACCATCTTGGGATCGAGTGGCTCTTCCGATCGCACTCGTGTGCAGGCTACATGAAACGGCAGCGAATCCGACCGCGATCGCGAAATGGTCCATCCAGCTTTGTGTCGACCCCTAGCTCCGGCACTTGGGCGTACGAAATGCGCTCATTTCGCCACTGCAAAGTCCAACTGGCAGTCTGGCTCCGAGAGGAATTCGAGTCCGCGAGCAGCAAACACAAACATCCCCGAGAGAAAAACAAATGAGCGCCGCACTGCGCACGCGCCCTCGTTCAAAAAATTCGCAAGAGGCCTACGGCGGCAAATCCGCAGATAAAAACCCCAATCATTCCAATGTCGGCAAAGCCTATTAATGGTTTTTTATGAAACGAGCAGACATTAACTCTTTAGGAACACTGACGCACAAATTCTAGGACTAGACCCTTCTAAATTTATGTCAACATCATTATTACATTGGCTAAAATTAATTAATTGTTAGAATATTTTTTTTTGCGGAATGGAACATAGCGATTAAGATTTCCACATTTTCATGCTGTGATCATTAATCAATCAAATTCTAATAACAGTTAGATTTTTCTGCCTATATCAGAGTTATAATTTTTATTTTTAGTGCAAAGAATATAAACAAAATCAATAATAATAATATATTATGAGCTTACTTTTTGATAATTGTGAAGTAAGCCTAATCAAAATTTGAGTAACTGCAAAGGGTAAAAAATAATTTAAAATAAATAATAGACTTTTATTCATTTAAAAAAAGTAAGTCCACTGCTAAAATTATTTTTACTATCGAATTGAATTAATTGGAATTAATTGCCTTTCCAGATTATGCTTTTGTTGGCTTTTATACCACCGTGAAGATTTTTTATAAAATTTCTGGTTTTTTTGCAACACCAATTTTAATAAACATAAAATTAAAAACATAACGTGGGTCAACACCCTGATAAAAAATCTTTGTAGTCTTTAATTAAACGTAAAATAATAAAAATTTTGCAATCAGGTTAACCAAAAAGGTAGCCGAAGCTATTTTTTAATATTGGGCAACGTTTTTTTAATGAAGACACAAAAATTACTTGCGAGTTCAGAAAAACACGACATTATGCAACTGTCCTTCTTTCTTGCCAAGATCTCCATTTTTTTTTCGTGTTTCAAATTAATTGTAATATTTTACGTTTTTATAGAAGACAAAATAAGAGAAGAAAAAAAATATAATTTTAGAATTATTATTCATATACGTTTTTTAACTATTCAAGTTTTTAAATACAAATTTAGTTCTGATCTGATTTTTTAATTGCGCTTAAAATAAAATAATTAATTTTAAATTGCATCTGCAATTTACCATCCCACAAAATCCATAATTATTTTCAAAAAGGTTTTTTTTGGGTAAAATAAAACAAGTCGGCGCGATTTAGTACAGTACAAAATTTATTCCTTGTAAATTTCAACAGGAACAAAAATAATTATATGAGCCCAGCGTCCGCTCTGGAGATGGGCATCTAAATAAAAAACACACATTACAATAAATACTTGACACTGTGAGTGCTAGTGTGTGATACTGTGGTTTTACGCGCGAGAGAAAAACAAGTTGATCGTATAATATTTTGCACGCTTCATTCCTTATTTCGTCTTATTTTTTTTATCATCATCAAAAAATTAACAAATCCTAACCAAGCATTCGCATTGGCAGTCGTAACCAGTGTGTGTTTTTTTCTTCATCAATGAAAATCGATTATTAATCTTAGTTAAGCCACTGACACGGGGAGAGCGAAAGATATAGATGATTCAACTAACGGACACTCTAAATTGCACAACATTATTTCCAAAACTACCAACTTTTTTAGAGTCATTTCTTATCAATTCATCAAAAAACCAGAAGCAATTTTCCTTCATAAATACAAATATTGTTTGTTGTTCATATCGAGCAATAGTTTTGAGTGTGTGTGTGTGAGTGTGTGGTCTTTAAATTACAGTGTAATAATAATCATTTGATTCTCAACTTGGACCTCAGAATTTTCTCATCTTCAATTACATATGTTTGAGTGCGTTTTTTCCATTTCACTTTTTTTATGCAACTCTCATTCTAATTTTAATTTTAAACAGTAGTTGTTTTTCTCCGTCGGCATGGTATTATTTTCTTAATAATTTTCATCCTCAGCTAATAAATGCAATCGCCTTACAATTATACAAAGAGTCAGCCAGCAATGCGAGTGCCACGGTTACATTACAAAATATTTATGCTGCCTGCTTATAAATTAAAAAATATAATAATAATAATTTAAGTAACATATAAGAACCCTTGCATGAAGTAACGAGTTGATACCAACAGTTGATAAATTTCGTCTATATTGTCTAACGCTGCTTTTACGAGAGACGAATGAGAGACAGATACTTATTATTATAATTTTCCAACCTCATGACACAAAACGAGCAATGTATTACTTACTTGTTACTTTTAATTAAACCGTTCAGTTTGTCTGTCACTAGAGAGATGGGAGTGTGTGATAGAGAGAAAATGGGTTTTGTTGGTTGGTTGGTTGGTTTGTGGTGGCGTGGGTGGTGTTTGTGTGTGTATGTGCTGTCTACACGGCTATAAAAATAAACCTGTGACTAGTCAATTTTTTAAAGAAAATTAAATTCAAACGAAAACATAAACAATAACAATCGAGATTATTTTTAAATTCATTATTATCAGCAGCATCAAAGAGCACTATAATTTGTTTCTTTCATCATCATCAGCTTCTTCATTGTTAATTATGTTTTACTTTTAATTTGAGAGCAGTGGTGTGAAAAATGAAATTTTTTTCAGTTTCTTCTGTTTCATTTTTTCCTTTTGTCTTGTCTTATATAAAATCTCAAAAACTTACTCTGTTAACTTGAGGTTGCCTACGATATATATCAACACTACTACGATTTTATATCTTAGAGGGTAAAGGAGAAGCAGTAGTTTCAAATACTTTTAGAAAAATAGAGTATATAGAGTTAATCAATGGACCACATATCATTGTCAATAAAAATGATTGGCATGAGCATGGAATTTGCTTGCTTTTCCTCATTTTGTTTCTTTTGTTATTTCTTTTTTCGTCTTGTTTCAATTCCTAAAATAGCACGTAATAACTTTGGGTCAACAAGGAAGGCAGACTTTGAAACAGAACAATCATCAAAATCATGCCAAAGGTCTTGGTTCGCATTTTTAGACTCCATTCTGCTTGTGAAGTACACATCATCATGTTACACTATACAAAACTACTATAATATACTCCAATCATTTATAATTATCCATCGTGTTGCGTGTGTGTGTTTATGTGTGTATGTGTGTGAGAGAGATAGAGAGTGTGTCTCTGCGTTTCTCCAAGAAATTTCTCGCCTCGTTCGTTTACAAACAATTATTAAGTTGACAAGTTATTAATAAGTTAAGATCATTATAATACTTAAGCTAACATTAGTCAAATGCGTTGATTCTCGTAATAATTGTCGTTCGAGCCCTCCGTCGAGCGCGAGCGGCTCGCCGCAATCATTCTTTATTCATCTCATCTCGTCGTGAATTTTTATCAAAAATAAAATGAATATATTAATCATAAAATCAAACAAATAGTAGTAATAATAACAGCAACAAAGTTTCTCTTATCAGTGTGGTAAAAAAAATTAATGGGGAATTCTTCGTAATTGAGATCCTGTGTGCGGGGATTTTAAAAGTGAGAGGCATCCCAAAACTCAAAATAAAAGTCGCGGGCATGTGCGCGTGCGAGCGCCGGTTCCGATCGTTCCCCGCGCGCATGTGCTGAGATTCCATGGGACGGGGGACTGCGCGTGCGCGGTTCCGGCTCGCAAAAATCAAAAGGGCGGGCAGTGCCGCGAATACACAATGCATAGGCTTCTCGGGCGGCGGACAGACCTGGCTGGCGGCTGGAATGGACAGTTTGCTTCATTTTTCATGAATTTGATTGTGGTAAATCAGTGCCGGGGAAAAAACCGATGTAAATTGTGCGCCGTGTTTGTTTTTGCAAATTTTTAAATAGACTATCTGCGCGCCAGCCGCGCGTCTGCCCGCGCCAAACTTAACAATCAACAAAACAAAAAGTTAAAATATAATCGATCAATTCAAAATGTTGTCCTGAAAATAACGGGCAAGCGGCCTCTGGGGCCTCGCTTTGAGCTTCAAAAATTCAATATCCGGGGACTTGACTTGCAAGAATCGAAAGAGTGTTCGATCGGCACTGCTCTGGAAAAAAAGAAACAATCAAGGCAAAGGCGACGACGGCCGCCGCACCGGGCGGAAACAATAATAGTTTTGATATATAACCAGGGGGGAGGGGTAATCAATGTGTGTTGGCACAATTTGCAATAATCAACGATTCATCATCACTATCGAATGGCCGAAGATATGTTTTCGAGTATGCGCGCGAATTTTACATTCCCGAGGGAGGAACTTGAACGTAACGGTAAATGTACAGGCGGTAGTCCTTGGAGGCCAGCACGACAGAGCCGTCGTCCATCAGGGCGACGTCAAAGCACTGTGCGTGCTTGACCTTGGACTCGAGCGCCGACACAAGTTGGCCGTCCTGCGTGAAAATGGTCAGGTTGAAGTTGTTGTGGTTGTCGGCGATTAGGATCTCGCCCGACAGGTTAATGCCCACGCCGATCGGGTAGTTGGTGATGCCTTCGCCGCCGATCTGACGCAGGTAGGTGCCCTCGTAGTTGAACACCTTGACGCAGTGGGCGCGGTTGTCGCTGATGAATATCTCCTGCTTGTCGTTGACCACTACGCCGTTCGGGAACTCGAGGTGCTTCGAGCAGCCGAACTTCTGCAGAACATTGCCGCCCTGGTCGAATATGATGACGCGCATCACCTGGACAAATATATATTAGTCAAAAGATACATTTCATTAAAAAAATCATAACGCAATTTTCTTATTTAGAAATTTTAAATGATAAAATTATACAAGGCTTACCTTGCATTCCACAACCACGATGCGTCCCTTGTTGTCCACGGTGACACCTCTGGGGTGCTGAAGAATGTTGGCGCCAAATTTGCGCACGAACTGGCCATACTGGTTGTAGATCTGTATCTGATGCGTTGGCGAGCGCTCGGTGACAATTATGTCTCCCGAGGGCTTGACCACGGCCACCCGGTTGGGGTACAGAAGCTGCCCGTCGCGTTTGCCGCACTCTCCAAACTGGAACTTAAAGCGGCCCTCCTTGTCAAAGATCTGGATGCGGTGGTTGTTGGTGTCGGCCACTATGATGTCGTTCTGGGCGTTGACAGCGACGCCGCTCGGCTCCGTGAACTGGCCCTCCATGACTCCGAACTCACCAAACTTGCAGTGGTATATCATCTTCTGGCGCTTGATCTGCGACTTGGGTGGGAAAATAGTAGTGGACATGAGTTTGGAGGTCAGCTCCAGGGGGTCTGGGGTGAGGAAGGCCGGGGAGGGCGCGTCCGAGTGGTGGAAGATGCTGTCCGAGCCGCCGTTGGACCATTTCTGGTAGGGGTCCAGTCCGGTGGTGGTGCCGCTGCTGTTGTTCAGGTTCAGGTCACCAAAGGAACTTGAGGACAGAATGTTGGCCGAACCAAAGTTGCCGACAGAGGTGGCGAACGGTTTGGACAGAGAGTCGCCGAAGAGGCTGCTGGTGTAAGACTTGTCGATGACCGTCGACTGCAGGAGACTGGCCGAGTTGAGGCTGTTGAGTGAGGAGGTGCTCGAGGTGCTGGCCAGCGAGGAGCCGCCGTTCAGGTGAGCTCCGATGACTGAAAGGTTGGCAGCGGTCGGACGCGCTATAGGCGCCATCTTTCCCGGCGCCAGGGCCATGTCTGCGTTGCGCACGTAGCCGAAGGTGTTGCGCACGCCCACCTGGATGGCCTGGTAATTGGACACAAACTCAAGGTCGCACACGGACTGTTGCAGCGGCTCTGGGTTGAACGCCATCAGGGTGTGCATCTTCTGGTCCAGCAGCTTCTTGAACATCAGCAGTTCCGTGGTCTGCCCCTGCTTGAGCATGCGCTCCAGGAATTCGCATGTCTGGTACAACTTGTCCACCTGTTGGTGCAGAAGGAAACACAAGTTATTTTACGGCCGTCATCATTTTATAGACATGCAAATGCAGTGATCGGAAAGGGTTTTTAACAGGAGTTGAGCTCAAAGTTTTTTTTTCATATAAATAATTGAAAAATATTTAATTTAGAATATTGTTTTAAGTTGATACTCGATAAAATAAAATAATTAAAAAGGAGTGGCAAATACTAAATGTTCGCAAAATAGCGTAAGTAGCAAAGGTGCAAGGTAAGAGGTCTCAGAGGAACTTTCAAAGCTTTGTATAAACTTTGTGAGAGTTCCTTTAGACCTACTCAAGGGACAGAGTTTTGGTTTTATTAAATTATCAATTACCAACTAGTTGAGAAATTAAGTTATGAATTGACAAAGAATTTCTCCTTGTAAAAAAACCAGAAGCAGCCCTTATTTTAAATTAGTTTTTACTAGACAACAATATTAAAAAATTTATTTAAATAATTTTGAATTTTTCTATTGGACAAATTTTTAACTCGGTTTGCGTTTGCCTAAAGGAGCATTGATTTTATTTTCTCGGACGCACCTTATCCTGACACTTCTGGGAGGTGACACTGAGCGTGACCGACTTGTTGCTGTAGACAGACTCGAGCTCCTTGAGCAGCTCCTGCTTGCGCTCCTCCAGCATGGAGGTGTAGAACTGGAAGGTCTCGTTGATCTCGTTCTGCGCCTTGTGGTGCTGCATTTGCAGACGCTGCGAGTCGTAGTCGACCGTCTTGAGCACGTTGCGCAGGTCGGCCGCCTTGCCCTTAGCCTCTTGCACCAGCTGGGTCACGTATTCGACGTGTTTGGCGGCCGCGTCGCTGATGTGCTCCGTCTCGTGGCCGGGGTGCTCCATCGCGGTGCACTCGGCGCACACGGGCATGCTGCACGCGCGGCAGTACAGTTTCAGTTGCTCACTCTTGTGGCGGGGGCAGCTGACCACCTGCAACAGACACACACACACCTCGGTTAGTTTCGATTATTTCCTGCGGCCGGTCTGCGGTCGCGTCGACGGGCCAAGTCGAAACAAGCAAACTCTTCCGTCATCTGTTGAGCTACGCGGAATTCCGAATTGCTCACTTTCATGAATTTGACTGCGTTTCCTCTAAAGGAAATTAAATCATCACTAAATGGCGCACGGAAATCAAATCATCAATTTCAACAAAATTGATCAAAAAAATCTGGCCCCTCTGCATTTGATAAGGCGCTTACCAGTCTGATCGAATTAAAAAGGCCAGAATTGCAAGTCAATCAAAATATTTGCGAGTTTGATTTTGTTAAGTCTGCATTATTTTCTAAGTCAAATGTTGCCGTCCAGCGTCCTTGTGAGAAACAATTTAAATTCTTCCAAGTACAAGAAACTTCGTGTGATTGAAAATATTTTCTTAAAAATAAATACTCCGTACAGTTAAGTTTCTGGTTTCTCTCATTTTCTTAAAAAAATTTATTAAAAAATAACATTGAAAAAACCTCATATATTTTCTGTTTCAAACTTATGTTGTTATAATTTAACGTTAAAATGAATATGAAGATCACTTACAAATAATTTTGACCAAAAAAATTCTGATATTTTGTCACTTTTTTGAAACGCGATTGGAAAGAAATGAGCCGCTGTGTTCGTCTGATCGAACAAAGATCTCCGTTTAAATGCTGCGTTATCTCTCAGCTCTATGTACTTTTCCTTTCGAGACAAGGACGCTGCATTATGTCATTGGCCTGGTTTCCACGCCTCCTTGAAGACGAGACTCGCGAAAATTAAGTGAGTCGCAGTTGCTGTGCATTCGCTTTTCAGCGCGATCTTTATTTTATGATAGGTTGCGGCACAGGAAGCAGGCGAATTTGGCTCTTATCTGACTTTCGGCGTGTTAAATATAGACGACGGAGGCGGCATTCGGCGTGCAAAATTTCTCACCAGCAGTTTAATCGGCTTTGCCACTTGCGGGCGTCAGTGTGTTTTCGAGCGCATATAAATTTGGAACGAGTGACGGCGAAAGGAGGGAAAAACAAACCGTGACGGCCGTGAAGGCGAGATAAATCAATTGGCGGCGCGAATTTATAAAAATCCACTGATTGTTTCAAAACTGTTCAAGGCAGGAATGATTTGGGTTCCGACATCAAGGATAATAATGAAATTATCGAAAAGAAGGCAGATCATATTGATATTTGGGAAAATGATAAAAACAAATATAAAGAAATTGCTAATAATGTTAAAAATTAATCTTTATTGTTATTTTTCTGAAATTTAATTTTTTAACTAATTATTTAAACACCAATACAAATTAAAGATTGATCTGCTTAAAGTTTTTAATCAAACTTTATGAACTTGGATGTTATATTTTCCAAATAAAGAAACACAAATATTGTGGTTCATCCCAAAAAAATTAAAAAATTTCATACTTTCTCGCAATTCTTTGCATTTACTTTTAATACAGAAAACAATTTTTTTTCCCAAATTGTTTCCATCATTACTTTGAGTGGAATAAACAATAATAAAATACAATTTTAAATAATTTGACGAATAAAAAACTTATGGAGAATAAATGAATAAAGAAATTTTTTTAATACCTCCAAATTGTCTCTTTGAAGAAAAAAAAATTGAAGCTGATGATTCGCTCACGGAACAATTTTAATTCTTCAAATTTTTGTTAACGTAGGTGTGTTTTTCTGTTCTTATTAGTGAAGAGTATTGTCTGTGTTTGTTTTGTAAAGCATATAACAGTTTCAGGGTTTACTTTTAAAGAGGTTTTTGTGAGGTTTTTCTGAAACTGTGCGAGAAAAACTTGGCTTTAAAGAATGGAATACTTTCCACACTTTGGACTTTTAACTAAGAAAATGATTGTAAATGACTAAAAATATCAAAACTTAATTAAAAGCAAAAAATTCAAGCAAATAGAACAAATACAGGCCTGGCATTTCAATTAATTTATTCTCTCCCAACAGTTCATACAATAAATTTTGCAATTAACTTTTTAATTTTTTTGAGTCACTACAAAATTATTTTATTAATTATGGTATTATTCCATTCTTTAGAACCAAGTTTTGCTTGCAATTTCAGAAAAACGACAATAAACCTAAAAAAAAAAAAACAAAAAATAAAACAAAACTGCAAAATTTGGCTATAATTTTGTTACCTTGTCTTTTCTGGGCTCGTCCTTGCCCTCGAGGCTGACGACGCGGTGGCCCTCGAAGCAGTGCATGAATTGGTGCGCCATGACGCAGTTGCCGCAGAGCAGGTTGGCGCAGTCGAGACAGCGTCCGACGGCCGGTGAGTCCCTGCTCTTGCAGCCGGTGCAGGAGCGATTGGCGAAGCTCTGGGGCGGCGGCGGCGGTTCCGACTCGAGGAGGCCGAGGTCGGACAAAAGCTCGGTGATGCCCCTGGGCAGGAGGTGCGGGTCGCAGCAGCAGTCGCTCTTCTCACAGCCGGCCTCCGGACATCGGGGGCTGCTGTGGCCAGAGGCGCTGCACTCACTGACGGTGCGGCTCGACGAGGTGCTGCTGCCTTCTTCGGTGCTGCTGAACGCTGAAGTCTTCTTCAGCTGCTCCACCGGCTTCAGGTGCGACACGGAGTGCTCGATGCTTTGGCTGTCAAACAAACTTGCTGATTCGGGCGTCGATGTGGGCGAGGCCATTTTCAAGCCACCAACATGCCTGCAACAATGCACCAAATTTTTTAACCAGAGTCAGACCAAGCGTGACATAACCACGCAGCCCTGAACTATCTCTTTGACTGGCGGCATCAGTTTGTTTTAGTTAGTTTTGTGACTCTGTGAACGCCGTGCGTGCCTGCTTGTAATCAAGGCCAATGGAAAACGATAAAAAAAATATAAAAAAAACTTTCCGCTTTTTCTAAATTTATAAATTAATTTTACAATTTTCAGCTCCATGAACCTGATGAATGAAAGGAAATGGTTTTAAATAATTTTTCAGACAAATAATGCCGCTTTTAAATAAATTTCAATCAATATTATTCAAAATAATAATTTATTTTATAAATTAAAATATTAATTATGTTATCAGTTAATAAACTGGAATATTTTTAAATTTTAAGGAGAGGCTTTTGCGAAAATACGGCCCGATTGATTTTGATGATAATTTTTATTTGCATAAGCATTGGTTTGTATATGAAAGTTCCAAGGAGACATGGTAAGAAAAATTTAATTTATTGGAAGAACTGAATTGTTGAAATGTGACATGTTTCTTAATGAGAATTTTCCAAAATAATTTTATTGTGAAATTCGGCCCGACCAAAATTGATGAAAATTTCACCAAAATCCAAAATCACGTACCACAGTTAAGATGGAAAATAAAATCAATAGGTCAGTTGACAAAAAAGTTACGTATTTTGCGAAATTCTAAAAACTAGATTGTTTTGCTTTCAGCAGAATGGAAAGTCAATTAATTAGGCAGAAAGTATTAATAATTCGCTATTTCTTCCTTGCAGCGAAACGGTCCAGACGTGAAGTATTGATTTATTAAATTAATCCTGTAAAGCCGCTCGACGCGAAATAAAAGTAAACGGGGTGGTGCAATTTTGCAACCTTGGCCATAATTGCGATACGCAAGTCCCGATTTACGACACAATTCCGCCGTGCGGCCTTTTCGTCTTGGATAATAATTATTATCACCCGCGAGCCACCGCCGTGTACGTTGTTGTTTGTAAGAAAAGTAATGAAATATCTTTTCTCTCGCTCGCCACAGGTAAAAATTATTGTATTTGGCGTTTATTACGTATGGGGAGGTCGTCGCAGTAGCAAATCCTTTCAAGTCTGCCGAGCGTGAAACTACACCATTTTCGTTGGGATGCTGCCGGCGAGGAAATGCCATAATTCCCCGATTGTTGGTGTTACGTCAGTGCCGGTTCGGAGATTTCATTATTATCTGTGACGTCATTGGAGCAATCAATTATTAGTTCCGTCGAGAGAAAGAGCGGCTCCGTCGAATCGCAAAATTATTGCTCGAAGAAAGGCAGGGCGAAACTTGTGCACCGCCACCATTATTGATGACAGTTAGTTCCTTCTTGACTCGAGATATTACCGAAAACATTTTGCCATTCTCCGAGATAAAACTTATTTTGCTGGCATGATCAAAGTTTTGAGTGTCGGTGCGGTGATTAAAGCAGCTCTGCTTTGCTTATCAATCAGATTACAAGGCAAACAAATATTTACGCTCTTCATGACAATCTGTTTTCACTAATAATTTCTAAATTAAAGCAAAGTGAGTCATGGCAGTTAATTTTAATTTGGAGATGATAAGAAAAAGTCATAAATAGAGAAATCAAAGTGATTGTTTTGAAACTAATCGTTCCTATTGAAGAATAAAATTTAAATCAGAGACTTTCCAAAAGGAAATTTTAATTTGATAAATTTTTAATCTACATTATTTTTCTTTCTTTTTTTATAAAATCTTCTGATAAAGGAAATCATTGTCGGTTTAAGCAGAGTTACGTTTGTCGATGGCTGTGAATCAGCGTCTTTGTATTTCAAATCTCATCGGGAGCGATCACGGTTTTCCGAGCGAGTCGGAAACATCCGCCCACTCGAGACAGACGGCCCCGGATCACCATTCTATTTACACGTGCCATATATGATGTGATGTTCTAGAGAGAGTTAGTGGAGGAGCTAGCTCGTTATATTTGAGAGGAGAATCGGAAATAAAGGCGACTTGTAAAAATAATCACATCATACGCACAAGAAGCAACAGAATTCAAATTGAGAGGGAGCGAGAGGAGTTATTTTCGGAGGAGAGCGAGCGCGGCGCCGCTGGAAGAGAAATAAATTGTGGGGAAGCAGCAGTTAGTGTAGTTTCTTCTCGGACGGGAACTTGAGCAATAATGCCCCAAATATGGCCATCGTGCGCCGCACGCCGGCGTGATCTGGAATTCAAAAAACAGACGCTCTTGAATTATTTCCGAGAGGAACGCGCGCGCAATAAATTCTGGAGCCTCTCTCGATGAATTACGCACGCTTTGTTGCCAGGCGGCGGCGGCAATCGATTGCATTCATTTCTGTACGAAAAACGAGAGTAAAAAAACCGACTCCCTGCTCGAATAATAATTTTTTCCCAGCCGCCGGTGACGTCATCGAGTGTGTCTGTGAATCGGCTCCATTCACTGGCGGCTGCAGCATCTTTCCAGTCCCCCTGCTCGTGAAGCAAAGGGGGAAAAGCAGTCTCGGCCGTCTGCTGTGCCTCCCCATGCACGAATTACGCACATTTTAATATGCACGCGGGTAGCTTTTATCCGATTATTTTGCAGAGATGCGTCACAGCCGTGCACGGGCGGCGGAAAATCGCGGAAATCCCCATGATGAGCTCCGGACCACCCCCATCATCATTTCCGTCTCTCCCTGGGGCGGACGATTTCGACGTTTTGATTGTTCGGCGTTTCGTTTTTGATGGAAATTGCGAATCGAGACGGAAAACGAGTGAGCGTGACTCACCCTGAATTCGCGGCTACTGCGGCTGATAAGGATGAACAAGAAGAAGAGCCTGCACGACCGACAAAATATTTATGTATGATGAAGTGATGAAGTCATCTAACAATTAAAGCTTTTAAAGCAGGGCGCCGAAGCTTTGGAACTACGAAAAAACTAAAAGAAATTTATTGTATGCAAGATAAAAGAAGATTTGTTTCACATTTTCAAAATTTAATCTCTATTTGAAGCAATTATAATCAAATTTGAGTGGATCTTCACTTACAATTTTGATTGGAAGAATTCGTTGACAACTGGTTGACAAAAAATATAATAATTTGCAAATGTTGGGCATTTCTATGAAAAAAATGGTATTTTTTGTATTTTTTAAACTTTTACATTTTGAGCTGGAAATGACACTGGCACCCTAAAAAAGCAAGTATAGCTAACAGGTGACGGTTGCAAACGAGATCAAAGTTTTCATTAGAAGCGAATTTGCTGCAAATATTTGCTTGCCTCGTGTCATGCTGATGATATTTAAAAAAGTTATATCAAAGCAAAGAGCACGTGGGGATCGTTATCGTCATTCGCTAAAAAGCAATAAATTACCCGGCCAATAAATTCAGATTCTGTGAAGTGCGTCCTTTGAAGTTGCAATAAAAAAATAACAAACACAAAGCCCTGCTGAGTGCGCAAGCGAGCAGCGAAATTAATTTGGGAGTTTCCGAGTTGCACCTCATTAATTCGCGAGCAGGAGGAACGAGAGGCTCGTCAAAAATCTCAGTAAATTGGATTAGATCGCGGAGGAAAAAGTGGCAAAAAGTGGTTATTTTTGTGTTGGTTCGGAGAGGGCTCGGAAACGTGGTGCAGTGCGCAACAGCCTGCGAGCGAGCGGGTCGGCCAGTAAAATCGCTTGTTACAATATGCGCTCTCACGAGAGTGCTGTCACCATGGAAACGCGGCCAGATCAATGAGTGGTCCCGGCAAGGTCTAGGTCGTCCCTCGCGCGCACACCGAGCCGAGCACCGACACGGCGGTGAGATAATATTTACAACTATCCGCTCTCGCGCCCCTGCGTGTCGACACCTCGCGCAATCGGACCCCCAAAGGGGCCCCACGAGGGACTCCGGAAGGGCCGGAAACGGGGGTGGAGGGAGAACCGACTCGATTAACGTCGTGGCTCGCGGCCAACGATTCAAACTTGAAATTATATTCCCTGCACACCTTCGTAACGAGCTTTTGTTTCGAAATTCAGATAAATTAATTTGAAATTTTTCAAATTATTTTCAATTTAGAAAAAGAATTAGAAAAAAATCTTAAAACATTTAATTCTTTTGCAATTTGGAAATTTTATGATAATTTTGGAAATTTTCAGAATTGAACTAAAGGAATTTTACAGAAGTTTACATTTTTTAAATATAGTTTTGTTATGGTTATTTATTTCTATTTTTTTTTATAAATTTATTGCTGGGCAAATTTATCGCCTTTTAAAATCTTAATTGCGCCCGTGGCACTACTTGAGACGCTGCTTGAGTGCCCTCGCCAAATTGGACTTTCCCATGAATTTTCTGCGCGACAGACGACCAGACGTTGCAGGTGAATCAGGCCGGTGTCGGCGCTCATGCAATTTCCCAGTCTGCAAATTCAAATCAAAAAATTTTTATGCCTCGGCGCTCTTTTGCTACGGAACTGCGGCATTAGTGCAAGACCCGGGGGTGAAACCGTTTGATCTTTCCGCGGATTTAAAATCCCATTCATTCGCCAATAGCAGAACTTTTAAATATATAGGACTGCGATGATTTAGGCGATTGTTAAAGCATCAAAGAATCTAGCCAGCAGGAGTGCTGATGGTGCACCATGGATGGATTTGTGAAAAGAGGCTCCGTTTTGCACAATTCTTGCAGCATCGCTGAAAGCCGAACTCCGCTTATTCGACAAATTTGTCGCGCAACTCTCTTTTCTCAACACTTTGTAAAGAGAGCAATTAAATGTGAGGACATTTATGAAGCTCGTATTAAAAAACACGAGAATTGTGCAGAGTAAGATTGCTTTAGGTCTAATTGGAAAGAGCAGTACTTTGGTATTTAAAAAAATACAAGGTTAATGAAAAACAAATAAGATTAAAAATCTTTAACTAAAGAAAAGTTTTTTGTTCATAAAACTTTGGACCACTTTCAGAGTTCTTTTCTTCATTTTAAATCTTTACACGGTCCCCAAATATTTAAATTTAAAATTCATTCAACGCGAACAAAAAGATGATATTAAAAGAGGATGAATAGATAAAAAGAGCAGCTCACGAATCCAGTTTTTGAATAAAAAAGACAGGAAGGGGCGCCGAGGGGCATTAAACACCAAATTGAAAACTATTATCCACTTCCGATTTTACACAGGATTCGAACAAAGCGCGTTTGAAATAAAACCCCCGAGACGACGAAATGAGAGGTCATTGGATTTATTTGAGCGGTTCCTGTATTAATTTTTCTCATGTAAATGAAGCGCGGACGCACGGCAACTGCGTATATATAAATAATATTCAAAGCTGCAGCTGGGCCAGGTGCTTGCCGTGGCTCCTGCCTGCCCCATTATGCGCCGCCGAGTGTGTTTGTTGTGAGCTTTTTCCTTTCAGACGGACCCTTTTCGCCGGCGCGCAGATGTTCGGCAGAAGGTTGATGACGAAATTATTCCAAATGTGCGTCCAGACCGCGGCTGATAAACAAAAGGAACACGCCGAGGCATCAGGTCAGAACACCTTGCGAGAAAGGTGCCGTAATCACTCGGACCTTGTGCGTTTTTTCCGAGCGCTGGCTGCTCAAGCACGAGCCGAACCAAGGAGGAAAAAATATATCGTAAACCTGCGGAGACGCGAGAAGAGCTGCTGCTATTTTATTTGCATAGCGCGCACCACAGTGCCGAGCATTTTGAGAAAAGTATCGTAAAAAGTTCCTTCCCAGAAGTGAGCTGTTAAAAAGTGCTGAAAGAGGCGGCGTAATTAATCCGACGGCACTTTCGCAAATTGTCTCTGGAGCACCAGCCGTCTCTAAATCTTACGGGCGGGATTAAAAAAGGGTACTAAAGTAGAAGAGCATTTATTGCAACAGTTTCATTAATTCCAATGGTTTTGTCTACTTATAAATTTGATCGGGACAAAGTTATTTCATTTTCGCCGGGGAAGTTTGAAGGTTTTTATTTAAAGTTATAACCTTCTAGGGAGTGAGACAAAACAAAAGGAGCATAGATTTCTCGGCCAGATACGCTTGAGGGAAGGACTCTGGATGCAATAAAATGCAACTTTGTTTTTGAATACAAGGCTGAATAAAATAATTTATGCAAGCGTGCTTTCAAACAACTCTGTTACATTGTCTTGTTTAAAAGGGGCTTGACGATTTTTTATCCAACCTAAATCAGCTCTTGAAACAACATGGAAATTCATTAAAAAATTTTAAATAAACATTATTCTCAAATCATTAAGTTACGGAATTAATATGTAAAAAAATTAAAACTAAAAGCGTGAATTATTTTTGCTATTTAAGTTTTTTCACATTAGAAAATACTACAACATTAAGACTCAATTGTAAAATATTATTTAAATTTAAAGGACAATTTTTATGAATTAATTATAAAAGTTCAGTGTGAATTATTTTGACTGTTGTTTGTCAACAAATGACATATTGCAACATAAAGACTCTATATTATTATTTATATTTACAGATTTTTTTACAATTTTTAGGTTTTATTTTTGCTTGACTGAATATAATTTTCCATTCACAGAGTATGAAAACGGCGCTTTTTGTAAGAGCTGAAGAGCGTCTCGTTAGACGTGCACAATCGCGAGTGTGTCTAGTCGCGGTGTCTCGCCTGCGTGGCGGCGTGGGTGCAAAATCTGCAAGTAATGAAGCAGTCTCGGGCCGGGTGACCGCACGCATTGATTTGAAGCGTGGGATTTTGACGATAGGATTTGGTCAGCGGCGCCGGATGAGACGGGGTTGGTTCGCAATCACTTGTGTGTTGAACAGGTTGTTTTTTGGCAAACGCCACCGCCGGCGCGCACGACTGGGGTGGGTTAACACTTCCGAGAGGGGATGCGACCCGCGTTTCTGAATCTCTCCTTCTTCCAGCAATTTCGCCCCGGCGCGCATCCATCTTTCTAGATAAGGAGCGAGTGCAACCTGTTTCTTTCTCTGCTGGAAAAGTGGTGCAGGCATAGGGTTGGCCAAAATAAAACACTTTTCCAGCAAAGTTTGCAGCGCTCGTTAAATAAATCAAGCGAGAGTCGTAAATCGTCGCAATGGGCCTATTGTAAATATTGAGGAGGCCCGAGAAGAGAAAGTTTGGGATATAAAATAAAATAAAAAGGGTGATTTGAACACCTATAGGTTAAGCCAAAGTTCTTTTCAAAAGTAGAGGAGACGTGCATGATATTTTAAGTAATCCTGGCCATTCGGCCCGGGAGACACACTTATACATCCAGTGTAATAAAATTGATAATAAATAAAAATATGAATTTCGATTTTCTTACATAGTAAAAAATTAATTACATTTTTAGTCATATTTGTATAAGGAAGATGGAATTTTATGAAGTATTCGTATAAATTAATTATTTTCTTCATCTCCAGATATTTGAATAAATGTTTTATTTTATTTACTTGAATATTCTTTGTTTCATGAAAATATTTTAATGTTAAAGCTAAAGTTTAATTTTTTTTATAAACCTACGGCTATGATATTTTTCTTCTGTATCAACGATGTTGTCTATTACAAAAATTTAAATTTATTTCAAACAATTTATTCTCAGCAGACAATTAAGCCGATTTATTCAATGGCCAGGGTCGGGTCAAGATTATTTATTTTGTAAACTGCCGTGTCCCCTTTATTTCGAAACAGACTGTTTGCTGACAATCAAATGTTTTGGAAAATGGAACACACGCGAGGAGGAAACGAAATTACGCGTCGATAAGAGCGCGGCAAAGGTGTGTGTGGCACTTTTCCCTTCCAGACGACATTCACAGCTCTGCACATCCTCGGTGGCAACAATAGAACACCATCATCTCTCGGCGCCGTTTTTAAAATTTCTAAGCAGGCGGGACCCACATCCTTAGATTATCGCAACGGGGAGCATTGTTCTTGCAGCTCGCCCGGCATAATAAAAACCAAAGACGGAGATAAAAACGAGCAACAGGGGGACAATTTTATCGGGCGTCGTTGGCGCGCTTTCCGAACTTCTAAGTTGGATCTTTTTTTATATAAAATATTATTTTCGGCGGTGAAAAATGGTCGAAATTGAATCTTGACCGATTCAGGCGAATTTGAGCGACGTGCGTCAGCGCCAAGTGGCGTTGCGTGTTCGCTGTCAAATGCAGCTTGCCGCCGAGTGATAACTCTGAACATTTCATTATTCGTCTGTAAATATTGATGCAGTCTCGCGATAAATCGAGAGGAACATACGCGCGGGTGGATTGAAAAGAGCGACTCTCCCATTCCATTGTGTGACCGAGTGCGTATATTATAATATTCAAGGAAAAGAATGAGAGAGAAACCCAAGGCCCTCTGATCATTTATCATGAGGCTCTCTTTGTGTGAATTTGTTTTTCCCCCGTATTCACGTTTAAAAAGGGCACAAAAATGGATCCAGCTTTAAATTTTACACAAGCTTAAGAGATTGTTTAAATAGTTGTTATTTTCTAACAACAGCTTTTATGAAATACAAAGAATTTAAATTTTTGTTCACAACAAAAATGGTAAATTTTTATATTTATTTAAGTGAATTTGTTATTTATTCAGCGACAATAATTTCTAGTAGAAAAATATATTTATATGCTTTTTAATTTTTGGAAACATTGTCAACAGAGAGACAATATTAAAATGACAAGCCTGAAGTAATGTTTTTAATTTTTCAACCCAAGTATAAACGCTGCAAAATTTTAACTTTTTTGAGTGTTTAACAAAAATTTCCCTCGTACCCAAAAAAAGGCAAAGATAAAACGTACCTTGGCTGTGTGCTCTCAGTTCCCCTTTGTGGGAGCTGCAAAGAGCCATCCTGTAAACAGAGAAAAGATGCTTTTTAGAGAGAGGATGTGGATTCACATACACGGGGCAGAGATATCGATATCGCTTTGCGGCTGCTTCAAAAAACATACGAGTAAAGAGGATATTAGCGGAAGAGCGTCCGTTTTTGGCGTAATATTTCGCGCACAGGAAGCCGGGCGACCGAGCGAGTTAGCGCGCCCTAATTTCCATATATAACATTTTGCGCCATTATTTATCGATATGAAAAAAGGGGAGCCTTCCTTTCTAATAACAATCGCGTTTAACGAGCGCCTGCGTGTGTGTTTGTGCGTGGGCGCGGACCATTTTACGAGTTAATTTACTGCAAATCGGAAAAAATGTATTATTTTAAAATTGAGCGGCTATTCATGAATGCACGCGGTGGCGAGCGACCGGAAAGTGAAATACATTAAACGACTTTTTTCATTATTTGGCGCATCACGATGACATTGCTTGCGCCGTTTTTTCCCTGTTTGTTGTGCTGAATACTTTTGCGCAAAAACAACGCAATGCAATAATACATTGTATAGAGACGCACAAAATTTAACGCAAGTCACGATGCGGTGGCACATCTTATTTAGAAAACAAAAGCTGTCACAAGAAAAACTTGATTTCCAACTTGTTTGTAAATTGAAAGTTTTGAAACAAAAAATAAGAAACGAATAAGAAAAAAATTAACATTTTGAATAATTGAAACTATTAAGAATCATCGCAAAATTTGTTTAAGTGATAACAAGTGATAAGAACAAAGGCTCACTGCGGCGGATGAGATCTTATTGATTTGGGAAAGTTTTAGCAAAATTCATGCTAAAGATGGGTGCCTTTTTGTCCAACAATTCCTTTTTTGAAATAATTTTTTTTCAACAATTGAATGTGAGCAATGTATTTTTAAGAACGTGGACAAATAAAAAACAATAGTAATAATAATAACAATAAAAATATGAATTATAGAAATACTAATTAATTTTTGAAGAATAAACATTAATAACATAATTTAAAAAATTGAATCTTTTAATGCTAATGATATTTTTTCAATATTGATAAAAATAACGCAGAGTTTTAATCATTATCTTTACGCGTTGCATTTTTGACAGGATATTAAAGTAAGCAAACAACAACATTATCAATGGAATAAACGAGAATAAAGTACATCGCAATATTTGAAATGAAATCCACTCTAATCTGTCATTTTTCAGATTAATCCTGATTGATGATTTCAAAGTTGCTTCATAAATACGAATTTACCCGTTACGCAACACAACGCAATTAAAGTCGAATGAATTATTCAGCCGCAACACAAAGTGGTCGCAAAATTAATTTGAATGCGAGTTTTGAGAGGCGCGATAAGATCGGTAGGTAAACAGCGCTGTGGCCGGGCACGAATCGCGCAGCGCAAATCTGGTTGGAAACAGCAGGGGCGTGTGGACGAGAGAGAGAGCTGGGAACGAAAAACCAACCCTAACCCAAGCGACATCGGCAGCAGGGTGTTTAATTGGAAAGGAATAAAGCGCGAGCGAAAGGAGAGGAGTGTAAGGCTGGCGTATTTCCCGATGAGAAGGAAAGAAAGAAAGAAAGAGCGAGTGTACGCTCGTGGGGCGGCATTTGTGCAAACATCACCCTCCGCGAGACTGGGGTGGCGGGTGGATTTGCACCCCTGCGTGGCCTCTCTGACTCACCCCGAGAGATCGCGAATCGCCCAGAGGCCGCTCGGATTCGCGCGTCTTTCGCATTTGCCATCGGATTTTTTGTCCCGGGGGGCTCTGCGGGGGCGAGACGACCCCGCCGGATGCTGATCAATGAAAGCATGCGAGGCCCTATCAACAGTTTGACGTCTGCTCCACGGCGCAGGGGTGGCATAGCAACAGCGCCCCCGCAGCCCCCGGCAACTGTTGAGCGCGTTCGGCGGCGCCGCCCCCGGCGCCCGGGGCTCCCGAGACCCCGACGCGGCCCCCGGGCCGCCCACGCCGCTCTCGGGGTGAACGACGCGGAAATGGGCGTGGTCAGCAGGGGTTGGCGTGGAGCACACACGTCAACCCCGCGGACGGGTGGGCAGAGGCCCCTGAGGCCCTTCAGGGGGCCCCGCCGACGCTGTCAGTGGAGTTTTCGGGAAAAAGGGGGTTCGGGCACAAGTGGGCCGGGGGGTCGACGATCGTGGGCACTCACCTAGCGTTCGGGCGGGCGTCGACTTGTGACTTTAGACGGAGCGGCGCATATCACAGTGAAGGAGCGACTGAGTGAGGCGAGTTTTGGCAGCCCTAGCAGCAGAGAAGCGAGAGCAGACGGCTTGTCTCTCTCCCCGTTTCACATGGACTGCGCTCGCCCGCCGCGAGTGCCATTAGGCATGCCTAGCAACTAGCCAACCTTCCACGCAGCCAGCCAGTCCCCTTTCAAACGCGCCCCTGCCTTGCGCGAAGGGGAGGTTGTGGAACTAACAATGAGCAGCGTGTTGTCAGTGGGGATCCAGTTATGTGTTGCAGCTGTCCTAGCACAATGATCCGCGCTCGCTCGCGCGCGGGCAAAAAAGCGCACTGCTGCCGCTTTCCAAAAGTGGCGTCGCCAGCTGCAATAATTTCGTATGCACCGGAGAAAAAAAATTAAAGTTGATGCGAGCATCTGCCACCAAAACAATGTGCCAAAACTCCTAATCATAAAATTATATTCAAAGTTGAAAGTGTTAAAATTGTGAAGTTTTTTGCTAGAAAATATTAATAATAATGTTCTTTGAAGAACAGAATTATATTTTAAATATGATGGCAAAATAAATAAAATTACTCGTGCACTTACAAAAAAATAATAGCAATATTTTAATATATTAAAAAAAAATTAAGTACAATCTTAGCTATCAGTCTGCCAATAAATTAATGTTAAAACGTGAATTGAAATTCTATCTGATTTAAAAGAAAATACAAGCACTAAAAATATTGTTTAATTTTTAATTTCTTTGTAATGAATGAGAAAGTTTTGTAATTTTGTTAGTTCATTATTTTAAATCAATCCAAATGATTCTAATTTATTTGTTGGTTTTTATTATCAGTGACGAATGCTTGCATCTACTTTAGTGCGTTGAACGCGCCCTTTTCACTCTTTCGTGCACCCCCGATCATAATCGCAGATTCGCCAATTAAAGGGGCTGCACAAAAGGAGCGGCCGCGCAGAAGCGATCGAGACAATGACGTCGCCGGCGATTATTGTTATTTTCATTTAATTTCGTCATTATTTGTGCTCAGCCTCTGATGGACTGGCCGCTTATTTCGTGTTGTTCTCTGGCGACACACGCACTCGCTCACATACAAAGCCGGAGATAAGCGGGCGGATGCTGACTGCCTGGGAGATTTCTGATTGAAATGCGACTCTCGCGCGTGTCTCTCTCTCTCGCTCTCAGCACTTTATGATACATGGAGAGCAGAGAGAGAGAAAGGCAAGAGCTACTCTTGCCGACTCATAATTAATTGAGAGGGCCAAATTTCATTGAGGGCTGCAGGGACCATTATTCATTCGACCAACTGATGCGCCCGCAACAACGCCATATGGGTCTCTGCTCGGCTGAATTATGAATTTGCTCGCTCGCTGGCTCATCGGCAGAAGCACATAGGGGTCTGTTTCACGTCCAGGTGCAATTCAAAAGTGCAATGTCAATTGCGTGCTTTGCTTTGGCTTTGATGAGGCGCAAAAAATAGCAATTAGGATGAAGTACGGCATCTGGCCTATCCTATATCCACAATAAAAAACGTTTAATATATTTTCAAGTAAGTTAAAATTTGGAAAAAATTGAATAATTTTAAAGGAAATAATAAACAAAATTCTAACTCTATGCTTTAGGCAATCCGAAAATAAATATAATATTTTACAGAAAATCCGTGAATGACAGTTTTAGAGTGTGAAATTAAACCGTAAAATAATGACCCCGAAAACAAAAAGGCTCCGCATAATGGACCTATAATAATAGTTCCATAATACACATCTCTTGCCCTACGAGGCCTTGAGAACGCGTGCAAAATATATTACACACGTCCTTTATGATTACCCCACACACAAAAATAGCCGCTTTGTTACAACCGCTTAATCAAAACATTTCCAGGGAAATTTATCAGATCGTCGGGAATGAAAGCGACCTTGCAAGTCCATTTCTTTATCTGTCAGATGACACCGAATTTGGGCTTTGTTGTCGCGGAAAGAGTTGGAAATGGCCGGATTGCATGCTACCGATTATTAATAACAAAATATCAAAACTTTTCTTTTTGTTAGGCAACTCGTGACGGTAAACGCGAATGCGCGGCCCATGTGAAATTGCTAATTGTGCGATTGGAGGTCACGGCTTCGGCGCGCGCTAACAATGGCATATACACACATCAGAAGCGATATTGTTTATATTTTTGTGCAGCGAAGGCAGACGACGGACGTGAGGTCAGGCATTCCTTGAGCAGACACGCGGGAAACAACACAATGCCGAGACGGAGACGCCGGGCACAAACTAATTAGCATCGAGTGGGCGCGCATTCGCCATTAGAACGATATTTATTTTATTCTTTTTGAAATCGACGAGGAAAAAGGGTCGTTAATACATTATATACTGTATTCTTTGTACCCGAAGGTGTGCAATTGGCACAACAACGCCGACGGTGCCGTGTTTGTTCAGAGATCGAAAACCACTTTCAACAGGTTGCGACTCTTGTTTTGAGGCTCAAAAGGGTGAAGTTTAAATTCGCGCGGCGGTCGCTTGCTCATGCAAAGGTCCTTTGTTTGCTTCTTTCCAACAATTTGACCAAAACAAAGCGAATTCCGCGGCAAGTTTATTAACAGCAACAATGACAACCATCATTTCATCTTCTGCGCTTCTTTATATCACAGAGGAAAAAATTTATTGTGGCAGATTTTTATCCAATTAATATTGTGATAATTCCAAAGTTAAGAAGAAAAATAAAAGAAAATCTCCATTATATTATTGAGCTTGCACTATGAGATCGAAATTTTCCCTTTCCTAAAACAAGCCAAGGGGAAAAGAGTTGCAATTCTGGAAAGTTTAATCATTTTTCAAGTCCGCAGCGCCCTTCTTTGCTTTTCGGCGGGTAAACAACTTTTTTTGTGGTACCCCAACAAGGCTCATCCCGCACACTCGAGAACCATTTTTGAGGAAGGGCTCGAGCAAATTAAAGAGGGAGAGCAAAGGAATAGCAAAAGAAAAGAGCCGGAATCTTGTTATATATTCCCCTTTGCATTCGCGCGCATGCAGAAGGGCTGAGCGGATTCAAAAAGTTTTGAGGGCACTTTTGGGAGAGCTGCACATTTACGGAACAATTGCCAGTGCGATTCGACAGGAGATTGCCAAAATTCCCGCTGACTGACTGAGTCGCGGCGAAACGCGTCGTCAAAAGCGATTATGATGCAGTTTTGGCCGCGGCGAGTGAGAATTATGGGGGTTGGCAACGTGCCAAGGGAGGCACTTTTAATTGTCTTTCGGGAGCACTTTTCTTTTTGTGTGCGCAGGATACTGTGTGATTAAACTGGTTTGGGGTCTCTATCGCATACATGAATGATCAATCATACGTGAAATGTAATATAGGCGGCCGGCAGCTGGCGAAAACTAACTCGTGTGCTGGTTGTCTCGGCGACACAGCCTCCCCGCCGCACAAAAGCGGCACGCAATCCGGCCGGCAGCACTCGACACTGAATTTCCGGGGGCCGTATTCCTAGGTCTGCCCCCGCTTTGTGCCACAAAAGGCCGCAATTACTCGCGGCAGACGCACATTAATTTCGGTCTGGCTCAATCGAAAGTGTTTTGTGTGTACGACGCAAAAAAAGAGGGACGAGGACGACTAGTCCCATCGGTTGCAAATAACAGTTAATTTAATCGTGAAAAAAATTCTCTTCAAAGAATAGCGCTCACTTTTTTTTCAAGTTGAAACAAAATAATTTACGATTGTATAAAATGGAAACTTTTAAAATATTAAAAAACATTTCGCATTGGATTAATTTTTGTGATAAATAAGAACGAAGGAAAAAATGCTTACATTTTCCCCAAATTTGGCTGCTATTCGGGCAAAACCGTAGAGTTGTAAATTTTATTTTTCTTCCCCAGCGATTTGGAATAAAACCAAGCGTTTTGAGTTCGCTTTTTATGCTTGCAGTGGAGTGTTGGCTCGTAAATCGCGCACTTTATCGCGGAAACGGGGCAAGCTGACGGCGAAGAGGCGCGAGGGCACGGAACGGAAGAAACTTATGCAACCAGCGCAAACCTTTTTTGCCGAGTGGAGGAGACGGCGCGGCAAACAAGACCTTGGGATGGTATTCAACCCGAAGAAGCATATGCTCGGGAACTTTCAATTTAAAGAAGCGAAATACATGCCAGAATTTCACCTTGAGACTCTAATGCTCCTAGGAAAAGGTAAATTCGCTTTCGGCAATAACAAATTTCGGCACTCAATTATTTTGAGCAACGGCAAATTCTTTACTTGATAAAAAATTTGGTTTTTAAATTTTTGTTTTCACAAGTAGGAAAATAATTTTATTCACAAGACATAAAACGCTTGAGGCAAACACAAACCATGAAATTATTTAAAATTTTTAATTATTTATTTAGTCTGAATTATTGGTCTCTAATATTTTGGTGATTGACTAATTCCAATATTTTGGAACCATTCACGTATTTTATCCACATACAGAGCACTAAACCTTTTTTCTTTTTACAGTTCTGACGAAGAGAGGCAAATTAGCAGAGTGCCAGCAGCATTCAAGCTCATAGGAGAGCATCTTGAGAAATTCGCACGAAAGACTGACTGACTGCTGGCGTCTGAATGGAAATAACAAACTGGCAGACGAGGGCTCGAATTTAAAACCGCACAGCTGCAACGTGAAGAAGTTTTCACTGGCCGAGCAGCACATGAGCGGGCGGGTTGTGTGGCTCGGGCAAGTATTCTTTTCGAGCCGATCTGCAGATGTCTTTCTCGCCAGAATGAACTGTTAATTGCTGACCTTGCAATATAATGGCGCACTTAAAATACACGAAATAAAAAGGCTCACACGGAATGAAATCGGCCGCGAAAAACGAGTGCAAAAAGAGCGCCGACATGCAACGCCGGCCGGTTTTCCCAGCATGCAGCCGACGAGATGCAATTTCGATTTAGTTTTATTTGCATTCAAGACTCGAGCCGGACTGGAATGCGTCCTGATCGCGAGAAGAAGAAGTGAGAGGCGCTCGAAAGGTCAGCCCCATGCACCTCTTCTGATCTTCGAGCCATTTCAGTTCAGACCCTTCCCAAATTATCATTCTGCTACCTGCGCCGCGTGATGCAACCAAAACAATCCGGCGTCAAATTGAATTGAATTGCGGTGCATTTTGTGTTTACCAGAGAATTGCAAGAGCTCAAAAGAAGCGATGTGTCTCAAGTCTCAATCAATTATACCGTTTGAAGTAGCATTAGTTCCAATTTTTAACAAAGATAAATTGTTATGAAATTCGCATGGATTCCATAAAGAAGAAAAAGGTTTAAATTATCATTAGGTTTAATTTGATTTTATCAAGATTTAGTATTGATTTAATTAAAGAGTAACATTAGAATTTTTAGATAATAGAAAAAATAGTGTACTCACAAGTCACAATAAAATATCAACAGCCCAATCAATTTATTTGTGTAAAATTAAAAAAAAAGTATGGTCAAGATATATTTTAGAGAAATTGAGCTTTTATAGTGTATAAAACTCTGAACCAAATTGATCAAAGGCAATTAATTTAAACTCTTGCTAAGCAGCCTGTTAAAAATTTATGCAATGAATGGTCCTTGTTCATCGACTAAACAAACCGAGAGACTGAGAAAAGCGCCGCCACGGAGACCGTCTCTCGCTGCTGGGTACGTTGCTCAAATATATACCCCACCCAGAGCGGTTTCTTTGCCAGCCTATGGAATTATATTTGACAGCTCTCTGATGGTAATTGCAAAATCGCGACAGATTTGGTGTCGACGGTGCGTAGGATGCTCTAATCGCGAGGTTTGCATTGCTCAATTATTTTATAGGCCGGAGCCTATTTTCGTTTTTGAATGCTTTAATAATTAATCAAACAGACGTGTTCATATAAAAATAATAGGCTGGATGAGAGAAGCCCGTCAATAGGAAGCAGATGACGCCGTCTGCAAGCAAATTGGGGCGCGCATGATGAGAGAGGGACAAAAAAAGAAGAATGCCGAAGCCAGTGACATTGGCGAAATGTGTCGGTCGCAGCAATAAATGACATCCAATAATAATTCGCATCCTCCCACGCTCCTTCGTTTTTACGGCCCGTATCCAGCGGCTCTGCATGGAATACGTTTAAAACGGCGGCGCTTCGGCCTTCATTGCTGAGCCAATAAAATTTTATTTCCGGAGATGTAGATTAAAAATATGGAGAGAGAGAGAGAAAGAACAAGACTATTATGCGTTTCCGCCTCTCCACACAAAATCTCAGCTGTTCAAATACGAAATAACAGAAAAAAATACAGCTCTTTATGGATAAATAATTAATTTCGGAAGAATCCAGCAAAATAAAATATTTATTTTTAGTCTGTTTTGTTATAGTTTATTTTTATTCAATAGTATTATTGACTTAATGAATTCATGATTAAATAGTACATTCATGGAAAAGACAATCAAAATACCAAGATTTGCAATCCAATTTCTAGATTCATAGCAAATTTGCAGAAAAAATTAATTAATTTTATTGGTGACTTGAAAATGGAAAAAATTAATCAATTTGAAATATTTAAAAAATCTTCCATATTTGCATTCTAGGGAATTACAATATTAGGTTACAAATTGATTAGCTAATTTGAAAGTTGTATCGAAGCACGGTTTTAAAACCACCTGTTCGAATTGCAGATGAAAAATTAATTTAACAAATGTATCTTGCGAGATAAAATGCTAAACGTTTTTTGCGGCTTATCCTCTATTAGGGAGGCTCTCCGACAAAGGGCATGGCTTGCGAAACGGCGCATATTAAAATTGGTGCGGAATTATACAATTCGTGAGGCAATAAGGTCAGGATAACTTATCCAAAACCAATTTCAAGGACTGTTGTAATCGGGGCTGCCTTCAGAGTCTGGTCGGCGCGGCATAACTTTCACTGTGTGGTACACAGCGTGCGTGCCGATTTTTTTTATTTTTATTTTGACGCAGCCAGACCGGCGCGAGGCAAATTCCAAATGAAAGCAAGCGCGGCTAAAAAGCAGATCTTTGCCACCAATTCTCAAGGGCAGCGCGCATTATTAATTGTCTGTGTGAAATGCTGCACGAGACCCGCGCGCACCGGCCGGGCCGGCATTGACCCAAAAATCCGGCCTGCATGCAAAATCCTATTGCAAAATTTGCCCGCTCGCTTGCTCACTGATCCCACGAATGAATGTCAGTCGTTGACTAACTCTCGGTTTCGCTCGCCCAGTTGCTCACCGCCGATTGTTTCGCCGCGTCCACAGAAATCCGAGCAAAAAACTTGGCAGACGCCGCGGCTTCATGGTGCGCAAAGCAATAATTTTTGGAAATCGGCGACAGGCTAATGTATCGACGTCAAAAATATTCTGCAAACTAAAAAGTTTGCAGTGAAGCAAAAAGCTATGGTAACATTTTCCCTTGGAAAAGAATCATGCACATTGTTGTAGTTTTTTTTTTTTAAATCCTATTTATTTACTAATATTCAATCAAACGAATTTTTATATGAAAAAACCTTTTCCGTTCATATTCCAATTTCTGAGTTTTTTCCAAACCAGACTACAAAGGTCATTCAACGGTTTTATCAGCGGACACAATTATCATGAACAAGTTCGTTTCCCGGCGTCCGCATTTGTATCAAAACTTCATATTTTTTATCGCGTGGATGTTGGTTGAGCTTGTGAAATTCTCATTTCATAGATATCTGCCTCTCTAATCAAATAAAAACTCTAAAAAGAATTAGGGGAAAATAATCTTTGTAAATTCTGTATGCACATTTTGAGAGGATCTTGAACTGCGTCTTTTTGCGAGTCATTTCATTTCGCACGCTCGCTGTCTCGCGTGGCGATAAACAGAGAGACGATAACAAAGTAATCATGCCCTACTGTCAAGGGAGACGAGGAAAAAATTTCAACAAAAATTTTCAGCTCACGTTCTTTAACAAAAACAAAACAAAAATTCAACATGAAATACATCAATTGTTTAACTTTTGTGATCAGAACCAGAAAACGTACTTCAATGAATTTTATTCAGGAAAAAAAATTTAATTTGAACTATTTAATTATTTTTAAATAAAATATATAATTTAATTTAAAAATTTAATAAATAAACTCGCAATTTTTTAATTATTTTTAAAAATAAATAAATAAATCGTTCAAAAGGTATAAAAGGAAGAAATAAATAAATAATTCATTTTAAACAAATTTAACATGATAATTTAATAATGAAGTATTAAAAATTAATTTAGATGATTTTAAAATACAATTATGTTAATTTCTTTGTATCTGCCAATTAAATATTATGTTTTGATTCCAAGTCTTCAACGGTGTGAACAAACAAGTTGAGGAATGCAAAAAATAAAATGCACACCCAGAAGGAATCGGTGCGAGCTGCGCAGAAAATGGTAATGTGGAATGCATGTGACAAAGTGCTGCACCTGCGAGCGAGCCGACTTGCACACAGCAGTGCTAATGAGCTAATTAATTCTTCGGCGAACACAAAATGCGCCCGTTCACGGGTCTGCACTAAATTGGTTATTAATTGGGCCTCGTCAAAGTCGCGTGGTATCATTTTATGTGCGCCCCAAATGACGATAATAACGAGAGAACACCGGTCGGGAAATTTATCGATTCGCTTCCGTCGGTTCGCAAAATGGCAAAAGTCGAGTGCTGAATATGTTATGAAGACGTCTTGCTCCTTTTTTTTTTGCCGCGGAAATTTTGAGCCTTTATCTGACGAGAGGCTCGGAATTGGTAGATTGTGTGCTTAGCGAGACAGGAGCAAAAAATTGAGCTGTTGAAATAAATGCATGTTGTGCTGAGCGCGAGTGCTTGACTGATAGTGCACGGGAACACAATGACAAATCATTTTTGCACAAAAGATTTAATGAGCCATTTATATTCACAAATTGCCCACTTCTTGGCTTTGTTTCTTACTAAGCAGATATGAGAAAATGTCTTGTTGCGGATTAATTGTTTTATTTTTCAATACTTCGCAAAAACTTGATTATTTTAAAAAACGAGAATAAAATAAATTTTATCATGAGAAAGTATTTTAAATTTAGGACAATTTTGATTTAAAGTTCCTTAAAAGATTTTTTTTTTAAATTTCAATGTAAAGCGATAAATTTTGGAATTAACGTTGGTATCAAAATAATTAACAATTTTATTTTGCTGTCGTTTTCTCATAATTTTATGATATTTTGACGACACGCTGCGAAACAATGTGAGTTTAACTGTGATTATCAGCGTTGATAACACCAAGAACATATTGTGCGATAAAATGCGCGAATTTTAATCCATGCGTGTGTGCGCAACCATGTTCACGACGTTTGTTAACACAATGTACGTGTACGCAGCGTAAGGGAATGGTCTTGTGTGCCGGATTGGCCAATTCTCATAATAATCTTTTTGTAAGCCGTGCCAAGTAATGATGTCATAACTTACAAGTAGTTGAAATTTATGGATTTGTCATTTTGTTTATTAACAAGCGACGCTGCAAAGAGCAAAAGTAAGTGTGCGCGCAATTGCGTTATTATAAAAACTCTCTCTTGAATCTAAAAGGGTTTCCGAGAGATAAAATTTCCTCAAGCTGCATGGGAGCTTGCCAAAGCTGATAAGCAAAATGAAAAATTACTACAGTGCAACAACTAATTACTATAGGAAAATATCTTCAATGTATGTTGAATTAATTGAAAAAATATTGAAATGCTTCAGAGTCAGGCTTGAGGATTAAAAACTAACCAACTTTTAAACAAGGAAAATTATCAAGCAAATAAAAATTTCCTTGTATTTTACCAATGAAATTTAAATTTCAAAATAATAACAAAGCTAAATAATTATTTCAAGCAAATTTATAAACAACGGATAAAATAAAAATTATATTTGAAGTTAATTTCAGTTTCAATTTTTATCAGATTTTTATATAACAAATTAATTTCAAAAGCAGTACAATTCAAACAATTTGCTGAATGCTATTTAAAAAAAAAATGAATAATTTGGATTTCCTTACTTCACGAAACTTCCAATTAATTAACAATCATCCTATTTTAGAAAAAAAAAACTAACCACTTTTTTAACTCTTAAAATTTCACTCCTCAACGCTATTTACTGAATTTGTTTATTTATTTTGCCAAAATATAACAAAACTTGGCCGCAAAACTGTAAAAATTCTCCCACGAGGTTTTGATAAACATTTTTGCAGCGACGGCGGCCACTACACAAGTTTTACTTGCCATCTGTGTGTTGTGATGACTCACACGAACAGCATTATAAAGAAAGCAAGAGTGAAGCCAGCGAGTGTAGTCGGCAACCGCAACTTTTTCCATCTCTTCCTCCTTTTATTCATCTCGCTATTTTTATTTTTTCAATTTCCACAGAAGGAAAGGGCAATAATTTTTCACTCGGTTCGCAGAGGGACAGATTTCGAGACGACGGAGAGCACCATAAAAACTTCTCTTCTCTCCTTCCGAGGATTATTTTTTTATTTCTTTTTTCTCGTACCTGCTGCCGGGGCCGATAATGCATGTGAATTCTTGCTCAACGCAGTCTCTCTTATTTTGTGTGGGAGGCATGACAACCGGCGGCGGCAGACATGTTTCTCTGATGCAGGGAGAACGAATCTGCTCGCACGGGCAAAATGTCGAGCGGGGGTGCCGGGGGTGAAAGCAGCGCACAGCATCCCTCTCTCCCTCCCCCAACTTCTGTTGCATCTGTTGTTGCGTGCATTAAAACTTTAAAGACCTTCGCAAGATGGTGGGATGAAAGAAAAACACACAGAGTAAAAAAAAGCTAGCAAAAATTTCAACCCTTATAAAAATGGAAAATTTCAAATCCTCGGAATTATATTTTGATGTAAATTAAATGTCCATAAATCAATCGGAAATATTGTACAAATAACCGGAAATTGGTTCTCTCCAGGCACTTTTACCTGAATGGATCCGAGGAATGCCTTTATCCGGCGCTAATGGAGTGGAATTGATCAATTTCTTCCAACTTTTTAATTCTCCCTTTTCGTATTATATTCTTGTAGCAGGAAAAGCTCTAGCTCATTCCAAGGCTGCTTCTCCTGGCCCTGCGCGCCTAAATTTCTGAGAAGCTCGCGAGGCCGGTCCGATTCGACACGCGCCAAAATTGTTTGGCGACGAATCTCTGCCGAAAATTCGGCATTACGCGGATTTTGAAAACGATCGTCTGGCTTCAGACGGAGTTGAGGGTGGAAATTTTAAGTAGAGACTTTTGATGTTGCGGAGCGGCGGCGGCGCGGCACCGCGACGAATGGGGAATTTTTGGACGAAAACGAGCAAAATCATCATCTCTCACCTACGCGACGAAGAAAGGGTAGGAATCGTTGTTGTCCTGCAGTCAGTGTCGACAGACAGCGGGCATGTTATCAAGGAAATCCACAAACACTGACGCCGCTTCAGGAGCAAGTTGTCCAGGAGTTGGTGTGAGCGTGCGAGAGCGGCTCCGTCTAAATACAATGTACAATGCAATGGACTGTCAAAGCAAGATGATGCTCGTGTTGTGTTGCCGTGCTGGAGTTTCCCGAACGGGCCGCGAGAGGCGCCACCGCGCAATGACACTCTTATTGTGACGTCACAACTCTGATACTCGTCAGCCAATCAGAACGCGTGGCCTTTACCAACTCCAACTTCATGGCCCAAAAATCTTCACCGTTGTCTTCAACTCTTCACCCAAGGATACCCACTACACAGAGAGGAGAGCCACACCAAATAAAACCAAAATTTTAACCCTTTTCCGCACATTGCCAAAATTCAACCCTACGCGCCTGCTTTGCTTTTTCCCAGCGAGACAAAGTAGCTGCGTCCGCTTTATTAGACGGAATAAAAAAAAAAATTACAGTTCTCACTTCAAAATTTCAAAGCTCTAATTTAAAACTAAATAGCTTAAGAAATTGATAGGGCATTAAATGAATTGTTTGATTGTAAAATGGAAATAAATTATCTATTAATTAAATGCTATTAAAATAATATGATTTGATTTGCCTAATAGTATCCCTATTATTAAAAAAATATATAAAAAAATTTCATAATCACTTCTTCAAACTATATTAAATAATACAAGGTAGTTTTCCAAAAGAAATGTAACGTGAAAATCTTCCTTCTTTCAAAACAGATTAGGGCTTCATTTTTTTTGTTTCCAAAAAAAATATTTTTCTTTTTTCAATGATAGCGTATAACACTAGAAAAACGGCAGCAAACTGAACATATATTATTTTGATTTTGATTGTTAAGTTCTAAATGGAAACAAAATTTACTTAACGTAGGTCCTAATCTGTTTTGAAAAAATCAGAAGAAATCTAGATTTTCAATTGAAAATTATAAATTAGACATTTTAATTAGTCAACGGAGCAGAGGTATTCTCGCTTACTTTTTAAATCCGCTAATTTTATTTAAAAAATTGAAATATGAACTAGAATTAACTAAACACAAAAACAAACAATATATTGTCACAAAAACAAAATCACACACACTTTACTTCCATAGTAGTAAATTGGCAAAAATATTTGGCATTTATCATAATGTGAACATAGTAATGTATCAAGACAAACGTTTTATTTTCATAGAAGTTCAAATATTTAAAATCAGATTCTCAAAAAATTAAAAATCGACTGCTAGCTGTTAGAATTAAATGTTTTTATTTATCCCAAGCAAGTAATGACAGGTTCATAGGCCTTAATAACAATGCAATTAATAAAGAAAATTTTTCATCTTGTTTTAATTGAGCATATATTATATAAATACCAAGAATTTTCATAATGACTATTCAGTCAGATCCTCTTATAGAGCACTCATCTAACTTTTTCCTGAGCAGACATTTCAAGGTAATTAATTAAGAGGAAATACCTATTACGGATCTACAGCCTGCTTCAGTCCTCAGCTTAAGGAAAATACAAGCCGATCTTCTTTGCAAGCAGCGGAGGGACGGCATTGCCAACCTACAACAATTATCAAAATTGAATAATAAGCTGTTTCTGAAATATCGCTGAAGTCAAAAGTGCAATAGAGGAAATTGAAAAATTTAATTTAATATAATAAATTAAAAAGCAGAAAAATGATATAGTTTTGGGTATCGAGTTCAAAGCTAATTATAAAAAAATTGTAATTTAAAAAAAAATAGCAATAGTAATAACAGCTCTTGTTCAAAGGCGAGCCAAGGAATGCCAATATTTAGGCTAATGAAAGGATAGAATAGATGCCAATTATAATTTTATTACCTGGCGGTATTTGGCAGCCAGAGGTCCACTAAACTCAAAATGGTCAGGGAACCCCTGAGATCTTGCATATTCACGAACAGAGAAGCATCTGTTGTGTTTCGGATGCACTACAGTGCCCTGTGTAAAAAAATGCACATGAATCCAACAATGCAAATTCATATTTAGTGGAGTACCTGCTTTCCTGTTGGCTCAGGAGCAGTGACTGTCGTCTTGAATGGCTCAAATGGGCTTGGTCGTCCGTACAATCCTGCCCATTGAGCGTGTCTATCTGCGGTGTGAGGGAGGCACCAAGGAATGACGGTCTTAGTCTTTTCTCTTGTGCAATCAGGCTTTTGCTTGCCCTTCTCTTGGCTGAACTGGCAAGGGCAAACACCTTTAATGCCGTTTCTTTGAATGTACTTGCTAAAATGCAAAGTAAAAGTGAGAAGTCAAAGGACTTGAAACTTGAAATGATGTAAAAATCTTACAGAGGGGTTGTTTTAGATCCATCAGACAATTTAACTTCTATATTTGGCAGATATCGCCAGTCGCCTCCGGGAGGAACCAAAGATACCCTGGCTTTGTCGAGAGGCGACAGCTTTCTGGTTACATGGTCCGTCAACTTTTCCGAATGCTCTCTAGCCTAGAACATTTTAATTAGTATATAAAAAAAATGTAATATTCTTGACTACATATGCTTGGAAGGTAGACTTGCACTGCAAGTACGAGCATTTTATGTCCTCTTCACCATTGCTAGGAATGTCTGGTAGGTCTGAAATGGCATCATAAACATTCACGGATCTGAACGGTGCGTCCCTGCACTTTTGGCTGACGATGGTTGTGCCATCTGTAATCTGCGGAAAAATTTATTTACGAATCAATGACAATTTTAAGTATTTCATTAAAAAAATACCAGCTGGCCTTCCACAGTGAGAGTGTGCGTCCTGTGGTTCAAAACATGAGTTATTTTGGGGAAATGAGGCAGCTTGTTGCCAGGGAGAGCACCCAGGATAATGATCCTATAATGCATGATTCATCATCAGTACTTATCAAAATTATTGAAAATTGCATTACCTCTGGCGAGCCTGTGGCACTCCGTACGCCCCTGCTTGTAGTATAGCAAATCGCACTTGATAGCCAATCTTCAAGCAGCATGCAATGACTGTCTTCAGATATCTACTCTGCTGAGCAGAAGCAAAGTTCTTCACGTTTTCAAAAATGAAGTACTTTGGCCTCAAAAAATCAAGGAAGCTGCAGTAAGTAGACACCAGAGAGTTCTGCAATTTGATAAAAATAAATAAATTGTTAACGTTTCTACGTATTGCTCCTTGCTTATGGAAAGACCTTGGATCAAGTCTGGAAATTATTTTGAAATTTTAATTAAAAAAAAACTACAAAAATAAGTTTTTTTTACATTAATACAACAGAATACTATGATTTCATTACTTTGAACAAAGCTGCCTGTCCTTTGGTATACTGATTCATGTTTGAGAATCCTTGGCACGGTGGACCTCCCACAATCATCTGCACTTGATCCTCTCTTGGATATGCTTGACCTTTGGAGTTCTTACTCTTCCCCTGAATATTTTCAAGTTTTAAGAAGTTAGTATAAATTAAGAAAAATTTTTACCTCCATCATGTTGGCCAACATCAGATTCACATCTTCGTTGAAAACTGTTGCATGTGGGAAGTTTTTACTGTACGCCTGGGCAGCATGAGGGTCAAACTCGACAGCCCATTTACTGTTGCACAATCCTGCCTCATGTAGCCCAAATGAGAAACCGCCACACCCAGAGAAGAGGTCCATTGTGTCTAGTTTCTTGGTTGGAAAATTGTAACATGGTGCGCCAACAGGTTTCCGTGTCTAGAAAGGTTATTTTAAATTACTATTGTTAAAAATGCCTATCATAATATCTGTATACAAACCTCCAGGTCAATGCAGCCATTGGATTTTGTTGCTTCAACAGGTACCTCCTTAGGTGTTTTGGTATGCAAAGAGTATTCCTTGGAATAGAAGAATCTGCTGTCACCTGCCTGAACCCATTTATTTTTATCAGGCAGGCGACCTTCGTAAGCCACAAAGGCTGGACCATAGATCTCATCTGCCAAGATATATTTCTCTGAAACAAATAATGAAGAGATTGAGGAAATATTAAAAATTAATTGTAATTACTCTCTTCTGTGTAGTACAGCTCATGGGGACAACTTGTATTATTCGTTTCGCTCGGTCTTCTAAAAATCCTAACTTTCAGCTTCACATCCTTAGCTTGGAGTGGTACTTTGTTCCCTTTGGTTGTATACTCCAAAATCTCACAAACTCCTAAAACCGAGAATTCTTTCTCCACAGTTCTACTCTTGGCCAGACGGTACATCTCTGGACACAACTTAGGGTCAAAACCGTTAAAACGTCTCTGATAAATGAGATCAATGTTAAAAAAAGTCAAACAAGCAATTCAAATACAAACTGTTTTGTCCGTTTTGGCTGGATTTTGGTCAGGGATAGGAGAGGCAAGTCTCTTGGTAAGAGCATATGAACCAACACCGTAAGTGTTTCCTTTGTACTCAAAGCCGAACTGTAATTCGTTTTTTTTTTTAAGAAATTCAATTAATTAACTGAATAATGATATATCTCACGCTTTTCAACTGGACCATCTGTTCTAATCCTATTTTCTTCTTTTCTTCGCACAAATCACAATTAGGCCCCATTCTTGGTTCCAGATATGTTAAGGCTCCACTCTCTGCATCATACCTATATATAAGGATAAAAAGGTGTTTACCGCTGAAAATAACAATAACCAGTAAACAGATATTACCTCATTTGGTAAAACTCCATTCCACTTTTGTTCATCTGTGTATCGAAATCAGTCTTGTGTTTCAGTTGTGGCAGGTGGGTGATGATATTTGAATTTGGAACATCAGCGCACCAACGAGTTCCAAAATATTCCTCTTTCTCAGCAATTTCTCCCAAAAAGGATTTCGAGCTTTTCCTGATATTTAAAAAAAAAATTACATTATAAGTTATTTATACGAGTTTCTTACATGAACAGCTGGATATGGCAGAAGTCACCATTTTTGCCAATGACACGCCCGACATAAGGTGCTTTCAACTCTGTTCCCCCATATTTAAGGGACTTCTCATTCGTAAACATGACAAAGTCTGTTGGTAACTGCACAGATGCATCTCTGATTTTACCAGGTTTGTCCAATTTGCTGAAAACCTTTGTGTTCACTTTGCTGAAAACCTGCAAGATTAGGTATTGTGTCGTCATCATTCCATCCAAGCAAAACTTTCTTAATATTTTTGTCTAGCGCAGTTAAAAATAAATTATAAATTTATTTATTTATAACTAGAGTGAATAATCTATTGCAGCATCTGCAAACATGTAAGACTAAGTAAAATATTAAGTGCATGTACTAACATTCTCTTTCTCTTGGTGCATCTCCTTTGTTTCCCCTAATGTCCTAGAGAAGACTTCATAGACTAGGGGAGTGTTGGTAGCTTTGGTGCTCATTGGCACTTTTTCTATCCTAAAATTTCGATTCTTCTTCTTCTTCTTTTTCCGTTTGAAAGTCAGTGCAGCTAAGTCGCAGAATGCCTTAAAGCTTTCTTGTTCCAAAAGATGGGCATCGTCGCTGCCATCTTCATTTGGTTCGAGTACGTAATTCTCGATCTGATCGTAGATAAACAGACCATTCTCTTCGAAATCTTCGATAGTTGGCATATCCAGCAGGTGAGCCATTGGTCCTGTAGGCTGGAACATTTCCTTACATTTTTAACAGTATTCTTCTAAAAATTAAATTCAACTTACGGAAAAATTCCCGATCATTTCATCGAGAGTTGTGCCATCCATGGTCGTCAAGGATCTTAAAAAGTGATTGGCCCAGTAAATCTTGTTTAGAGTTTTCTTGACCAATGGCTCAGTCTTTGTGTCAAAGGAGAGGATTTTGTAATGGCCATACTCAGTAAACACATTCAAGAAGATCTCTGAAGAACCAAGCCCACTTGTGAACCACTCATGGATTTTGCTGGACAGGTTGATGAATGGGCCTGAAAAAGGATTTTTTTGTTATCGAATTTATCATATAAGAAAATGGACTAAAACAAGCAATATTTTAATGTCAAGTAGGACCACATATATTTGATTCTAAAAAAAGCAGCCACGAAAATTAAGGAAGATGAATATATATAATAATTAATTTGGTAGAAATTAATTTAACGCAGAAATATCAAAACTCAAGGGCAATTTTCTTGTACATAATATACATACCCTCTGTGGTGTTTGTTGGGGCAGAGCGATTATACTCTCGCAAGTATCCAGACATGTACATTATCCTATCTTTCTCTACTAGACCCTGGTCTAATCCACAGATATGGAAATTTCCGCAGAAAAATCTATCGAGAAAACATAAAATTGAATAAAAATTCTGAAACAGAAAGTTATTGTATTGTACAGAGTACATACCTGACATTTTCAATACTGAAGTAAGGCAACTCATCATCACTGAATGGATGAAGTGATTCAGGGGGTACTTTTGACGAAAAGGTGTGAAGAGAAATAACTTCATCATCACCCTCACCCTCTACAGAAATTGCTTCTGCGAGAGCCAAGTCAGCACCACATTCAGAACATAAGCCATCTCTAAAATAGAATATACACAGCAATTTATTCAAATGTAATGAACAAGTTACGCAAATTCATACTTTTGTTTCTTCGAGACGGCAGTTGAAGATGACGCAACTCCAGAATTTCGTCTTTTTCGAAGACCGACGGCTTTTTGTGGTTCTGCCATTTCACCTCATCAGCGAAAGGGCGAAGGCAATTTTCTCGATCTCTTCTCAAAATCTTCCAGTCTTTGGGCAGGATGATTGATGCTTTGGTTTGAAATTTGTACGCAGAAACTTGAAAAGAGCTGTCGAGTCGAGCAATGATCCAGCAGAGTCCGAATCGAAAATCCAAATTCGTAAACCACTTCAAAAATCCATGTGCTGAGCGACCTGCTCAAATTCGATGCTCTTGCCTCTTGCTGGCTTGCTCTCATCTGCTACGAAATTTCGAGCGGGAAACACAGTGCACATCACTACTTCACAATGTTGCCGGTCTGTGCTTGTGCTGATGCTGATGTGCTGTTACTTCAGGTTATACATTGGGTTATACTCTTGTTTCTTGTGTTTTTGGTTGCTTGCTGGCGTTTCTCGTACGGGCCGCGAGAGGCGCCACCGCGCGTTGGCAGTTGGCAGGGTTGGCTCTCGTTGCCGCCAGAGAGAGTTGCCGCTCTCCTTCACATTTTTTGACTCCTTGTTTTTTGACGTCACGAACTCTGAATACTCGCCAGCCAATCAGAACGCGTGGCCTTTAACAACTTCATCATCTGGCCAAAAACTTCACCCAGGAGAGCCGCACAAAATAAAACCAAAATTTTAACCCTTTTCCCCTGAATTTCGACCGGATTTTGACAAGTTGACATGGCGGCAGCAGTCAGATTGCGTGTAGCGGATCAGGGTAAATTATATCTTGCTCATTTGCAGTCAATTTACCTTAATTTTGCCCCACTTTGGTAACCTACTCCAAATAAACAAATTTGTAATTGGTTTTTCTGTTTTTTTTTTACGTAACTATGAACTTCATTTAAATATCAATTCTAATATTTCTAATAATAATTTCCTCGCTGTATTTTGTTATATCATTTAAATTCGATTATGTATGTATGCATGTATGGTATAATTATGTAATAGCAAAAATAACATGCCTCCTTCAATGTTTTTATAGCTCATATGTAATTTTAATTTATTTTCAGCCTCTCAGATGTTAAGAATAGTGAAAAGATTCAGTTCAAGCTATCCCAAGATCACAACGCACTACACTATCGTTCCTCGCGACACCGACCCAAGATGGAAAGGTGCAGTTTGTCATAAAAAAATTGATTTTCTTTATCATCACATCACAATCTCTCTATTCCACTCTTCTATTTGCAGAGGTCAGCATGGAGAGATTTGAAGATCAGGCTGACGTTGTCATCGTTGGTGGTGGACCTGCAGGATTGTCTGCAGCTATTAGACTGAAACAGCTCGCAGACACAAATGGCAAGGAAATGCGAATTTGTGTTGTCGAGAAAGCGTCTGAAGTTGGTACTTAAAAGTTTAAAAATCATGGTGGCCATATTAAGTGAAAAATGTATAGGTGGACACATTCTCTCTGGTGCTTGCATCGAAACGAAGGCCTTGGATGAACTGATTCCCGACTGGAAAGAGAAGGGAGCTCCGTTAAATACTCCTGTAAAGGCAGATAAATTTGCTCTTTTGACTGAGTCGTCCAGAATACCTATTCCTATTCTCCCCGGTATGATTTAAATATTATTTTAACATAAAGTCAGCAGCATTAATTTTTTCCTAAAACAGGAATGCCAATGTACAATCATGGAAATTATGTTGTACGATTGGGTCACTTGGTTAAATGGCTTGGGGAGCAGGCTGAATCTATGGGCATTGAACTTTACCCAGGATATGCTGCTTCAGAAGTTTTGTACCATGCGGACGGATCTGTCAAAGGCATTGCCACCAATGATGTTGGAATTGCCAAGGATGGTTCACCTAAAGTAGGAAAAAGATTTTTTTAAATCACGAATTATTAAAAAAAAAAATTACCTTCAGACCTCCCCATATTTATAAAATGATTGTTATCAGGAAATTTATGAGCCTGGAATGGAGCTCCATGCCAAGTGTACAATCTTTGCCGAAGGTTGCCACGGGCATCTGACTAAGCAAGTCACGAAGAGATTTAATTTACGGGAAAAAAGTGAACCCCAGTCCTACGGCATTGGTTTGAAGGAAGTTTGGGAAATTGACCCTGCAAAACACAGTCCGGGTCTCGTCGAGCACACTGTTGGATGGCCTTTGGTATTGATTCATGCATTATGTAAAGAAGAGTAACTTTGGAACATATTGTTCATGCAGGATAAAAACACTTACGGAGGCTCCTTCCTCTACCACTTGAACGAGCCAACGCCCCTAGTTGCAGTTGGATTTGTAGTGGCTTTGGATTATACCAACCCTTATTTGAGCCCCTTCAGAGAGTTCCAGAGGTTCAAACATCACCCATCAGTAAAACCAACTTTTGAAGGCGGAAAAAGGTACAATCGGAATCTAGAAAGAAAAAAAACTTGAAATTCCATTTTAAAAAGGATTGCATATGGAGCAAGAGCTTTGAATGAAGGTGGCTATCAAGCGATTCCCAAGCTGACCTTCCCAGGTGGTTGCCTGATTGGTTGCACAGCTGGCTTTTTGAATGTCCCTAAAATCAAGGGAACCCATACTGCCATGAAGAGTGGCATCCTTGCTGCTGAAAGTGTCTACGACATTGTTGTTGACGAAAATACTCCAACTGATAAAGGTTTGCATTGTAAAATTTGGTGACCTTTTTAAGTGACTAGAAAAAATCAAATAGGCTTGGAGCCTGTTAAGTACGAGGAAGCACTGAGGAGCAGCTATGTCTTCAAAGAGCTGTACGCAGCCCGCAACGTCCGCCCATCTTTCCACAGCTCCCTCGGTCTGTATGGCGGATTGATGTACACTGGTCTGTTTTACCTTATTGCCAGAGGAAAAGAGCCCTGGACTTTGAGCCATGGAGGTAATAATTTAATTTTTATTTAATGATTCCATCTTTTAAGTCATAAATTGCAGGGGCTGATAATACAAAGCTGAAACCTGCCAAAGACTGCAAAGCCATTGAATACCCTAGAGCCGACGGAAAAATCAGTTTTGATCTTTTGGAGTCGGTTGCGTTGACTGGAACTAATCATGAAGGTGATCAGCCAGCTCATCTTACCCTACTCAATGATGAACATCCAGTCAAATATAATTTGGCTATTTATGATGGACCTGAGCAGAGGTTCTGCCCGGCAGGTTAGTTTCAATTAAAAATTCCTTTAAACTTAGACTCAAACCCAAATTGATTTCAGGAGTCTACGAGTATGTGCCACTTGAAGAGGGCGATGGAATGCGACTGCAAATCAATGCTCAAAATTGCATCCACTGCAAGACTTGCGATATTAAGGACCCTGGCCAGAACATCAACTGGGTGGTTCCCGAGGGTGGTGGCGGACCTGCCTACAATGGCATGTAATTTAAATTGAAACCCTTTTTGCTAAGGTCTTGTTATAAATAATTGAAGAATATATTTTGTTATTGCCTGCCGACTGGAACTTTTAAATAAAAATTATTTCTCCTCAATAACATTGTATTTCATTTCATCATGTACTCACAATAAAAGATTTTAACTATTTTCCATAATTAGAGTTGTTTATTACCAGAAACATAGTAATGAATTTTGCAAATTTAACTAAATTTGATATTAATACCAGATAGTAAAAAATTCATATCTCATTTAGCACATTACAAATTAATCCTTAAAAATTAACAAGCCAGGGCATCAATGCGAACTTCATGACTCAGCTGAGTTTGCAAATTAGACAGCTTCGTTTTCAGCTCTCGAACTCCATTCATCACAATAGTTTCCGGCTTCAGGGAACCAACACTTTCCACGGTGATGTAGAACTTGTTTGGCTTGGCGTCCCAAAGGTACTTGGCTTCATTTTCTCCCTCGGGAAGCTCGGAAAACTCGCTGCTGTGCCATTCTTCTGGTTTGGGGAAGAGAGTGTGTCTGAGGGCATTGTCAGGGTCATACTCGAAACTGACCCCAGCGGTTGGGTTCCACTTGGCGTGCTCCTTTCCAAAGCCTTTTTTAGCGTAAGCCCTCAACTTCAGCTCTTGCCCTTTTCTCAATTTCACAATCAAAATATCGTCATTTTCTCCGTACTCATTGTCCTCCTCCCTGTGCCTGCTTGTGACAGGAATGACCCTCGAGTCTGATGATTTCAGATCTGCCGTGGTCACGTGTCTGGTTTGGTCATCCAAACATTTGACGTCAAGGGTAAATTCAACGCTGCACTCGGGACAGAAATCTATGCAGGTGCATTCTCGTGTGTACTGCATCTTGTCGACGACGTCGTCTGAGGTCAGAGGAATGAGACCAATGCGGTGCGCCAAGAACTCGTCACTCAGGACTGTGGAGTTGGCTTCCAACTGCACCCAGTCAATGGCCATCGTCGGCGTTTCAGCAATGAAGACGCGCCTCAGGCTGTTGGCAACGCTCAAGTCCGTGTCCTCGATGAAAAACTTGACCGAATCTTCCGTAAGATCACTGATGTGAACAGAGGGCTGGTTGGCGTAAGGCATGTTTCCGGCCTGAAATGAACAATTATGTAAGTTTAATCAAATCTTTTTGTAGGACGGCTTCAACACATTGACACATTGTACGGAGAGAGAATGAAAATCACAAATCATATTTCATTTTTATGAAAGAGTGAACTTACTGCTCAAGTTTTTACCGTTTTTACAGTTTTTATGTTGAAAAAAACTCTTATTTTTCATTCAATGTTTTAAAAGGTTGGTTAAGAGATTTTCAACGATACTTTTCAGAGAATGTCCAAAAAGTTTCGAAGAGTTTGTTTGTTTCATGGACCTAATTTCATGGACCTAGTAAATCAATGGTTTGTTTTCTTCTTTTTCAAGCCGCAAGCAACCAAACAATAAATTGAACCATGGAACATGGAACATTTCGATTGGTTCGCGGAATGGTCAATGGATTGATTGGAACAAGGGAATGGAATATGAAATGCAAAACCTCCTTGGCTTTTTATTTTTATTCACGCTAGGAGGTTTATTATGATTCGGAGGTTGAGCTCATGTGGTCTCATCGAGTTATCGAAATTTAAAGTTAAAAATTGAGTTTTAAATTATAATAGAAAACAATTTGATTGTGACGACGAGGTATGGTTAAAATTGAACATAACCAGTTTCGTTCCCTAAAGTGCTTAAATGAAAATTCCTGAATCGTCTCTTCTTTTTTCGCCTTTTATTCTCACCTTTTCGTTGAAACTTGACCTTGCAATTTTTTTGTCACCTTTTAACCCTATTTATCATTTATCTCTCCAATTAAAACGCTCATGAATTGCAGATGACACCACATCGCCGCTAAAGCCTTATTCTAAGGCTTACCGCCGACATGAGCACGGTAGCGGCACTCTTGGCACGGCAATGGAGCTCCTGCCATTCACCCCTTTTACTGAAGTACCCGGTTTATTTGTCGAATTCGTTTCTGCAACTGGTTTATTGATTCTGTTTTCCTCTCATTTTAATTGTCTAACATTTCAAAATCATTCAGCGTTGTCGAAGCAAGGCCGCAGCAAAAACTAAGCCTGCTGTCATCAATGAGACGGACGATATTTCCCTCCAAAGTGAGGTGTTGGTACGTCCCGTTCCTTCTAAGGAGCAGGATCTACCTGCACTTTTCATCAAACCGAGGGGTCACCTCATTCTCCAACCAAAGTTCTCACCGCTAGATATAAAGGACCATGCAAAGTTAATTGCTGCCGTTCTCAAAACACCTCAGGTAATATTATAATACACAACTTTTTTGTCAATTAAATAAAAACATTGATTTGTAGGATCCGGAGCCGATTCCAGGCATTCCTAACCACGAAGTCAACTTGTCCGATTCGGTGACCCCACGAGATCTCGAATGGAATTCGGTGAAGGTGGATTTGAAAGATCTACCAAAGCAGTACTTGCGTCTTTCGAAAATCAGACTTACTGGTCTTGTTGTGATCACGACTGTGGCTGGCTACATTTTTGCCCCTGCCCCGTTGGACCCAACAGTTCTTGCCCTGGCGTCGCTGGGTACAGGGCTGATGTCGGGTGCTGCAAACTCCATCAACCAGTTTCTGGAGGTGCCATACGATGCCCAGATGTCTCGTACTAAGAGCAGGGTTCTAGTCTTGCAAAGCCTCAGGTACATTTTTTATATCAATATCAGTACCATTGAGATAAATTATGTGTAAATTTAATTTTAAATTGAAACGTATCTGAATTTAATCTTTTTCTCCAGTCCGTTGCATGCAGTGGGTTTTGCCCTCGGTGCTGGCACGGTGGGGCTAACTACGCTTTATTTTGGAGTCAATGGTCTGACATGTGCGATTGGTGCAGCCAATTTGCTCCTTTACACTTGTGTCTACACACCTATGAAACGGATAAGCATTTTAAACACTTGGGTTGGCTCGATTGGTAAGAATAAGAAAAACATTGCAGAAAATTGAGGGCAAAAGTAATTTTTTAGTTGGTGCTCTTCCTCCTGTGATGGGCTGGACAGCCTGCACTGGTGAACTGGAGGTTGGAGCCCTCCTTTTGGCTGGACTCCTGTATGCCTGGCAGTTTCCTCATTTTAACGCCCTATCGTGGAACCTCAGGCCTGACTACTCGAGAGCTGGATATCGCATGATGTCAGTCACTCACCCAGGTATATTATTAAAAGAGATAAATTTAATTTGGACATGAAAATTAGGGAAATCATTCACATGTATTAAAAAAGTGAACTGAATAAGTTTGCTGCATGCATTTTTTTTTATCTCTTAACTTGCTAGGAAAATTTTCAATTTTTATGTTTTATTATCATATGTAAAATGATTTAATTTTCAATCTTTCCACAAGGTCTGTGCCGACGTGTTGCCTTGAGGTACAGTGTGGCCATCATGGCCATGTCCTGCGCTGCTCCCCTCCTGGACGTCACTACCTGGACGTTTGCAATTGACAGTGTACCTGTGAACGCCTACTTAGTCTACCTTGGTGAGTACCATTTTATTTTCTTTACTCAATTTTTCTCTGGGAACCTCTATCGAGTATTGACCACGTGTCATTTAAATTATTTCAGCGTGGCGATTTTACAAAGACTCGGACAGTAAGAGCTCAAGAAAACTTTTCCGATACTCTTTGATCCATCTTCCGATGCTGCTGATTTTGCTACTAATCAGCAAAAAGCACCCGGGCAATAAGTCGGAAACTTCAAGCCCCATAGTGACCAGTGCAGCTTGAGTGTGCTTTTTTTAGCTGTTGTAAATATTTTACCAAAATAACTGACCTCTTGATTAGATAATTGTGTCAGTAACATGGATCAAGGAAGGGGTTCTTTTTAGAAATAATTACGCTGAAAATGTTAAAGGCAAGTGATAATAAATTTAATGACCAAACACACCATTGTGCAAGGTTCAATGTCATCTAATTTAAGAATGTGATTACAAAATACACTCAAAATTTTATTGATTAGCAACAGTGAAAACTAATTTTTCAAAGCAAAATAGTAAAAAAAGACTAAAATAAATGCAAATGTGAATTATTACAAAAAGAGAGTATTAAGATTAACACTATTGAATATAGTTTTAGTTTCCAAGTGAGATCCACTTTGTATAAGAGATTTTGCATATATATTGGTCTGACAATTGCACACCTAAATTGACAAACTTAAGTCATTTTTGTCTTCTTCCATAATTTCTGGCTCGATCGTTGTCATTTTTCCTTCGCTTTCCTCATCAGGCAGTACTTCTGAAATGATTTGTTCCTCGACCTCCTGTGCCATCTTGACTTCATCCTTAATTTTCTTCTCCACTGCATTAATCTCGGGAAATTGGAAAATGATGCTTCTATCTTTGTAGAACCAGTGTGGAACAGACTTGAGGCGTTGCAGAGTTTTCCCCATACCCAGGGGATCGGATCTCCTCAATCGCATGCTGTCTTGCAACACTGTCAAAATAATTTTTTTAATATTTCAGTAAATTAATGCAAAGTTGAACTGGCTATAAATAGCATTGTATGAAAATTCAAATTTTTTTAACTGGACGCAATCAAAACTGAAATTGTCAAGTTTATCATCTTTTTAAGGCAGGTCTATTTTTTTTCTTTAATATTTGATAAAACTTTACTGGCAGCTGGAGGTGTTCTCGGTTGGGTCATTCCAAGGACAAAGTCTTGCATGTGCATCGGCATTGCTGTAATGACTTGACTGCGGAACTGGGCAGCCACACTTGGCACATACCGCATCTGCAAGGATTATCGGTGCCATTAATTTGAGCAGATCTTTCTTTCTTTTTTGTTCCTCACCTTGGGCTCATCTCCAATGACTGCGTCAACCATGTCGTCGATCACTTCGGCAATCTGCTGTGGCTCGCGGGCCTTTGTTAAAAGTCCACTGATGATTTTCTTGAATTCGGCAAAATATTCCTCGCCGTAGATTTTCTTGACATTGTCCGGGCTGCTGTCCCAGTGCTCCTGCATTGTTCCCTGAATTATCTTCGGCTTCGTCAGTGGCGTCCTTTATTTAAATTATAAACAATTTTCTGTTTTTTCTTATTTTTATTACTTGTAAAGGGTCGGCTCAATCGTGTGCACTGTGATGGACCATTTTTTCATTTCTCTGCGGAGGCCGTCAGCAAACGACACGGCCGCGCTCTTTGACATTGAGTAGGCGGTGAAGCCAGGAAATGTGTAGCGACCTTTAATACAAATTTACACCTTTAATTTCATCTAACTTTTAGTTTGCCACGCAGACGCGCGAATTATGCGGATGGTCTCACAATCAGTGCAAAGAGCACTGGCATTGCTGATAAAAAGGTCATTTATTTGCGACGTTTTTTTATATTATCGACTGCAAACGTGCATCAGACCACATTCTAATTTTTCAAGGATTAAAATGGTCAAAGTTCTTCATTTTATTTTACAATTATGATAGGAATAAATCCTGTTACTAAGACAATAAAAAGTTAAGCTAATTTTTTTCTAGTTTATTTTAAGTACAATTATTTCCATTACTAATTATTTTTATTTTGTTTAAAAACCAAAATTTCTCTTCAAACTAAAAAAATACGAAATATTTAGAGAACTCCGTTCATTTTCTCCAGATTAACGAATATTTAATTAAATAACCATTAATTGGGTAATTATATACATATAGATAAATTTAATATATAAATATCTATTTTAGTATTTTAAATTGAAATTTTACCTGCCAGGGAAGCAACCACGACCACTCTGCTTCCGTTCCCCTTTCGCAGTAAGGGCAGAAAAGCCTGCGTCACACGGATAGGTCCCAGGGCGTTGACCTCGAGAACCTGTCTGTACGTCTCGAGAGGGCACCATTCAACCTCCGTGACCGCGGTCACTCCCGCATTATTGACGACGGCCTGCAACTCTTCAAAAGGCTCGTTCAGAAAATTTGCATCTTAATTTATTAATATGGTACTGCGTTCGCCCAGGTCTGCGTTGATGAACTTGACCGCCCGCTGCACGTCTACGTCGCTCGTCACGTCCATCGGCACCACTTTCAGTTGCGCGCAGTTCTTTGCTTTCAGTTGTCTGGCACCCTCCGAGTTTTCGTTCAACACCCCTGCATACACCGCAACCCCCATTAAGTGCAGGCGGAGGGCCAATTGCAGACCAAATCCTGAATCACAGCCTGAAATTTTCAATAAATTTTAAATTTGTTATCAAAAAGCATTATTAATTTAACTTTTTTATAATAATATGATTAAACCAAATGAATATCTTAAAAGCTTATTAGTTTAAGTAAAATTAAGCAAATAATTAAAACTTTTTTTCATTTGAATAAAATTTAAAGAATAGAAAACTGCAGCTTTTTACACCTCATAAAATAATTGTATAATATAATTAGTACATTATTTGTGTTATTAAATAATTTTTGACGTGGTTTGTAATTATTGTTTGCATTTTCCACACAGAAATATGCCCTTTTCTTGATTTTCATTGAAAGTCTCCTCTCATCAGATAATTTGAAAAATCAAGAGTCACATTTTTCTTGAGATCATGTGAGGAATTCCAAGCCAATTAACTTTGTATTTCTCCTATTTTTTCATCGTCTAACCTTCTGTCTCTGTCGCCACACAACATATGTATTTTGATTGAATCGCAGAGGGAATTTTAATTGCCGGTGAATGGCAATAAATAAAAAATTCCACATTTATGTGGAACATGAAGGATTGCAATAACAATCTCAGGGTTTTTGTATTTCATATAACTTGTATAAATTTGCATTGCCAGTTAACCCTTTATCTGATAAATTATTCAAACGTCTTTTTTGTACAGATTGAAATTTTGAATACAATGCCCAACGGTTATTCGTGCTGTCTGTCTGGAGTTTTATAGCTTGATTGCACTTAAAGTAATTTGGTACTAGAATTTATTCCGTCCTTACTCGATTAGCATCGGACTGCAAGACAGGCTTGAATTGCCGTTTCATTAAAAAGTATGAGCTCAACTTCAATTGCTCTCTTTCCAAGACGCCGGGGGGCTTCTTTTTGAAATACTACAAAGTATTGCAATAAGCGTTATTTACGAGATAAAAATAATTTGTCGGTGTGAGCGTAAGAAGCGTTGCAATCGGTTATGTTATGCATTGCAAAATGCAATCAGTCAGGACGCTCGTCACAAACTAGAGTAGTTTACGAGAAATCGGGTCAAGGAATGAGGAATGTGCGCGAGACTCTTCAAGAAAATAAGAAGAAGAAAAAACGAAAACTCAAATGTAAATTTAGCTTGGGATTCGCCAAGCAGTAAAGGTCTTTAAATTTTTTATTGAGGGCGGCGCATTATAGAGAAAACTTGTTTTTGCGATGATGTAATGAAATTAAAATATATTGATGATGAACTCATGGAAAGGTGACGCGATGGGTTAGAAATTTATAATTAATTTCAGGCTTCGCGTGTTTGTTTTACGAATAGCACACCGTAGCCTCAGCAGGAGATAATTTTGATAGTAAAAAATTATTTAATTTTGAATTAATTATTTTGGAATAAAGTTGCAATTATTGAAGCATTTAACTTTATTTACTCCAAAATTTTCTTGTAATTTATTCAGCGGAAAAAAGTGAATATTTATAGTAAATTAAAAGAAAAAAAAAAAAAAAAAAAAAAAACATTAAATTGAGGAAGCTTGGGTGAAAATTTGACAAAAAGCAATTGAATGCAGTTGGCGCGATCCCTTGAGCAATAGATTTAAATAAACTTTCAATAAAATTTGATTTAAAATATTAAATAATTCATTTTTAAATAAAGTGACTCAGCAACACACAGGATTAATGAGAAACTTGCACATTCATCTTCTTTTTCAAAACACAGATGCATGCAAATGAACTAAAAAATTAAATTTATTTGATTAAAAAAGGTTACAGCTGCCAGGATATAATTTATTATCGTCGAACGTCACAAGTCTGACAATTTTTTATCGGCCATTTCTTTATGAGTTTTTGTGTGTGTGGAAACAACAGTTAAGTAAGGAAAATAAGGCCCATAGCTGATAACAAAATATTCATCAACAATTGTTTGTTTTCTTTACTTATTTAGTTATTTATTTGTGAAAAAAATTGGCTAAAAAAACGGACATATAAAAGTATGGAGTTTGTATTAAAAAATACTTTGCGCCATTCTAATTTTAAAAAGATCAGCCCCCACTACTAAATGTAAGCAATTTTGTGCACCTCTTCATACACTTGAATGGTCTTCGTGTCTGCAGAAAACTGTCTGCCCCATTGTTATTTTAAGAACCACAGACATCTTTCTTACTATGAGATGTTTATTTTCACGGTCAATGGCGTTAAGATGCAAAAGTTGCTTTGTAATACTTTTTTAATGACCAAACGTTATATTTTTTCCATCGTGACCTCGAGTTTTCCTTTTTTTTCCTCGCCACAAAAACTCGCGTCCCGGAAGTTTATACCGCATTTAGAACAATAATATAAAATGATTTCCACTTCCTCAGTGGGCCCCGAGGCTTTTTATCATTATAATGCACCACAAAGAGCAAACACTCGCCGCCATTAGAGAAGATAGATTAACTTAAGAAGAATAATCTGGAATGTTAAAAATAAGCCGAGTGCCACAAGGAGCTCTATTTCGCGCTATCGAGATAGCTCGTGCATGAAGAGAATTATAAATTTAGCCATGTGTTTATGTTTTAAATATATGAGGCCCAAGGCGTTTCAGGGTATAACTGCCTCATTTTCTTGCGGTTTTTGTAAAGAAAATATAACGAGCGATTCTTAAAAGAGCTCAAAATTAATATGCGCAGTTAAAATAGTAAATGAAATATTGTTAAATTTAAATTGGTATGCAAACCACTTCTCAGCACTTAATTATTTTGTTCCATTACTCAATTAAAAGGTCATTAATTAATTCATCTTTTTCAAATACACAATACTCATAAAATGATAAAAAAAATTGTTTTTATAAAAGAAAATTAAATAATTTTATTGACATAAAACTTGAATTATTTAATGTACCTGTTATCAAAATTCCGGTGTATTCGAGGTTTTTGATGTACTTCTTGGGCAATTTGGAGGCGGCCAGAGTGACGCCCCAGGTGGCCACAAAGGAGGCCACCACCAGAATGGCGAGCCATGCGAGCAGAGGGTGCAGCCAAGGGCTGTAGGCCAGCACGCCAAGGGTGCCGGCGAACCAGGCGAAGAACAGCAAGAGTCTTTTCGAGATCATTTCCAAGTGGAAACTGTTCCCCAATACCCCGGCTACGTCCTCTTCTGCTTTGTCACTCATGTAGGTAGGCGCTGTTGCGGTACTTATACGGCGATGAAAAATACGCCCCACCTAACAACACCGCGACTAATTTTCCGAAATCTGACGATAAGAATTAATGAAAAATTTGTGGTTTTCTTTTACGCTGTTAAATCACAGGCGCGTTCAAGAAAACTGGAAAACGATTTAAATTAGTGTAGAAAGTACAAGGAATTTAAAATGTTATCAAATTCTTGATAATGCAAATTTATGACGTTTTTTATTTAATAACCATGGAAGTCCTGCACATGGCTCTTTTATAAATTAGCTTACATAATTATGTCGGCGGTTTTTAAGACTAATAATTCTGTCAACACACTTTATATTTGTACTTAACTTCATTTATTTAATTTAGTGTGAAATTAGTTATTTAAATTGATTAAGTCAAAAATGACATATTTTTACCATCGTTTTGTGATAAACGTAATGTAATAAAATTAAATAATAATTGTCCATTTCCAACAGTATTGCTAAATATACTTTTAAGTAGGATTTTTGGGAGCTTGTTTGATTTTCGTCCCGATCTTTCAAACGTCAATCTTGTTAGTAAGACTTGCTGGAAATACGTTGCTGGGAATAGCCCGTTTACACAAAATCTTGTCCTGGCTCGCTGTGGAAATCATCGTCAGCAAATTCACTCGGAACTTGATTGACGAAGTAGGGATGTACGTAATCTAGTTAGATTGTTTGTCAGATTATCTAGGACGGAAATTTACTTCATTTTTGCAAACCTTGGGATTTTTCCCGAGCAGCGCGTGGATCATTTCCTCGACCACTTCGTTGATGTTTTTCCTCGAGAATTCGTTCACTCCTTTCAAATACATGGCCTGAAAAAAGTCAATTAGCATTGTTTAATTATATACAATAATATATTTTAATTACTTTAAATGCTTGGAAATAGCTTTCTCCGTAGGATTCTTTGATTTCCTGGTCGACGCCGTCCCATTTCTTCTGCATCGAACTGTCGATCGTCTCGGCCGAGCATAAGGCAGTTCTGCGCGTAAAAATTCAAAATGAAAATCTTCCCTGGGAAATTAAAAATTTTTCACGTGTAAGCGGTTGGTTGAATTGTGTGGACGGAAACTTTGAACGGTTTCATCTCCTTTCTCAGAGCGTCAGCAAAGGAAATCAGGGCGTGCTTTGACATGCTGTAGGCTGAAAATCCCGGCAGGGTGTATCTACCTGAGATTTTTTTTTATAATTTTTTTTCCACCTGGATTAATTTTTGGAATTTTCTTAATCTGATTTTCTACCTGCCACCGACGCCGTGAAAACGATCCGAGACCCTTTGGTGGATCGAATCAAGGGCAAAAACGCTTGGGTTACCCTGACCGTGCCCAGCGTGTTGACCTGCAGCACTTTAGAGTAGACGCTGATGTCGCACCACTCGACTTGTCCGACCTCGGCGATGCCCGCGTTATTCATGAGCGCGTGCAGCTCTGCGTTTAAAATAAATCACATCTCGCGTGAAAATGCGTCAAAGAATTAATTCAAAACTAACTTTTTTCTCCCAAATCTTTGGCGACGAATTTGACCGCTTTCTCCACGTCCTTTTCTTTGGTGATGTCGATCTTGACGATTTTGCAGCCGTGGGCACCAAGAGCCTCGGCTCCTTCCGACTTTTCGCTCAAAACACCCGCGTAGACAGGGACGCCCATGGCGTTCAGGGTCAAGGCCAACCTGTGACCGAATCCTGAGTCGCATCCTGAAAATAAATAATGTCACCAGTCAGGGTTAACTGTTAGGATTTATTACATAAATTGATTATTTTACATTGAAGTGAGAAAGAAGCATAATTTTATATTAATTAAAGTATTTTTTTAATAATAAATAAATTAAACCCCAGTTTAATGCTTTATTATTATTATTATTAATATATCAAACTCATGGTTTTAGCATTTTTGTGTAAATTTAATTATATATAATTAAATGCAATAAGCACTTCATAAATTATGGCAGCTTGTTCTAGTATTTGATTTAGAAATTAAAGCTTTTCTACTTTTTTACACGTTTTAGCGAAAGAGAAACCTTCAGAATATTTCCTTTTTAGTAAATCAATCACTAAATTGAACTCTTAATCTTACCTGTAATGAATATTGGTTTGTTGGCCAGGTCAGGAATTAAACCCTTCTTGTTTGGGATAACCACACCCTGGTCAGTTGTACTCGAGGAACTGCTGAACAAAGACTTAAACCACGCCATCTCCTTGTCACTCGTTAGTTATTTTTGTTTAAAAAAAAAACAATGTTTTCTTCTTCTCAAAACCACAGTCACGAATTTTGAAGAGGAAGAAAAACGCACATCTCTTCACTCCACCAGAGCTGAACCGCAACTACTGCTGTAAGCTTTTAGTCGCTATGCTTGCTATCGTGCGTAAATATATACGGGGCCCCTCCATAATAACACTGCAGACTACAGAGGTCGCTCTTGAAAATGGTTTTCATTGCAAATTAACTTCTGTCTACTTTAATTAAAAAGTTAAATTGCTTGAATGTATCAAGTTAAATCCTTTAATTATGCTAATGGAACTTGCAAAGGGTCCAAGATTTTTTTCCTTTGGTAAATCCCTCTCTGCCTTTTGGCAAATAACGGACAAGCGCGTGAAAATCAAATAGAAAATTTTTCCTGGATGACGTCGTTGTCTACGATTACAAAACATCAAAGTAATGAAATTTTCAAATACGATTTGTGCTGTACTGCGGTGTTCAAAAATTTATCAAACCATGTGTGCGTAATAGTTTTTTTTATGTGACGTCAAGCAAGCGATACGCTCTACCTCATAAAAGTTGTCTGAAAAATAAGGTCTCAGTGCTACTGAAGGTATTTATTTTCTTTTGCTTTTAAAGATGAGTAACTCATTTACGTACCAATTGAAGTTTGAACCATCTTAATTGCGCGCTTATCACATTTCAATGAAATTATTATCACCATTAAGTCATAATTATTAACGGACCGTTACATAAATGAATTAAAATTTTAAATATTAGCTTTTTATTAATATATTTTTTGCCATGAATTTTTTAAACAAATTTTAATGGAAAGCAAACATTTTTTTCACTTAAAGAGTAAGTATGCATGTACTTGTCATAATGGAGTGGAAACAAAAATTTGACAAGTCACTTGGTGCGCCGTCAAACAAAAACTTCAGACTCGTCGCCTCTCGCAGCAGTTGCAGTTCTCACTGCGCGGATTATCAAAATTTGCTTTAGTTTTTCGCAGATCAAGAGCAGTCATCGAGTTGAGTACCTGCCAGTCCTGCTGGGGGGACGTCAGGAATGGTCCTTTTGCAGAGGATGATGTCTTGCAGTCCCAAGGGAATCGTCGTTAAAAAGTGCACCATGAATTTTGTGAATAGAGATGGAACGTAGGAAATCTAAAAATAGCTGCGGTAAAAAATAAATACAGGAACAATTAGTTACAAACTTTTGGCTCTTTGCTTAGTAAGGCATCAACCATGTCCTCAACAACTTCGTTAATATTTTTTCTTGCCAAGTCCTTTATTCCTTTGATGTACATTGTCTAAAAAAATTTAATTCATCAATAGCAGAATTTTAAAATAAAATATAATTTTTATTCAGACCTTGAATGTTTGGAAATAATTTTCACCGTAGGACTTCCTGACTTCAGAATCGGAATCGCTCCACTGCTTTTGCAATGAATTTGCGACAAAATCTGTTGAGCTCAGTGGAGTGCTTTAAATAAAAAGTACTATTATGCGCCTTTTATTGTTACTCAACAACGATTACTTGTAGAGAGTTGGTTGAATTGTGTGTACGGAAACCTTGAACGGCTTCATTTCTCTTCGCAAAGCGTCGGAAAACGAAATCAAAGCATGTTTCGACATGCTGTATGCGGAGAAGCCAGGCAAAGTGTATCTTCCTTGGATTTAAATTTCAAAGTTAGTTGAATAAATTTTTAATATTTAAAAAGCGTACCGGCAACTGAAGCGGTAAAAACAACTCTGGTCCCTCTTTTTAATTTCAAGAGCGACAGAAACGCTTTGGTCACTCTTATGGTGCCAAAGGTGTTCACATGCATCACTTTTTTGAACAATTCCAGACTGCACCACTCGATCTGGCCGAACTCTGCAATGCCCGCATTGTTCACAATGGCGTGGAGCTCTGTTTAATATTTTTACTAATTAAATTTGGTTTAAAATTACATTAAAAACCTGCTTACTTTTTTCTCCTAAATCTTTTTTGACAAAATCAACGGCCTTTTTTACATCGTCATCTTTAGTGATGTCAATCTGAATCACTTTGCAACCTTCAGCCTTCAAACTTTCAGCCCCTTCAGACTTTTCGTTTAGCACTCCTGCATAAACTGGGACCCCCATCGAATGCAGACGGAGGGCCAACATTTTTCCAAAGCCAGTGTCGCATCCTAAATTTATTAATAAACAAAGAAAAACACCGTCAAAGTTACTTTTTGAAATTTTACTGTTTCCTGGTTTTTTGTTGATCCAAGCACAAATTTGTGAAATTCGTAAGTTACGAATACGAACCTGTAATAAAGGTGGCCCTTTTGCTTAAGTCCGAGATGAGGTTGACTCGCGCCCTTCTGCTGCTGGAAAAAGCTGAACCGTATAAAGCAAAGTATCCTGAGAGGAGCACAGTTCCGAGCCACGCAATCAGTCTTCTGCTGAAGCCAAACCACTGGATGGAGAAGATGGCTAAAAACCAACCCAGGTAACCTTTTACACTTTCTGTGAGCTGCATTTTTTGCGTTATTCACACGGGCAGTGTGCCGAAAAGAGTGATAAGCTCTTGGTGCCGGGCACGGTAGGATAACAGCTTGTCGGAGTTATAAAATTACTGACTATTTTTATCAGAGATATGGTGAAGAGTGTTTGTGAGAGAGTAGAGAGAGCGAGCTTTGGTAATATATGGCCTCGAGTGAATTTGAAAAGCGCAAAAAGCAAATAATTGTTATTGATTTTCTGATTGTGAGTGTAGTGAATCAAAGTTTAGTTTCTGTGTGGCTGCATATAAAATTATAATGACTCTTTGTTATCAAAGTGGGCGATTTCTCGGTCAGTAAAGCCTAGAGAGATAAGCTGAATTTCAATTGCACACTCAAAACAAAAGTACAGTTGTTTATCCCATAAAAAATTTTACATTTAATTTTAAATTCATTTTTTTCTCAATAAAAAAAATAATAAATACGAAAAAGTATGCTTTATACAGTTTAAATATTAAAAACAATTATATTTAAAAAAATGAATAAATTCATCTTCAAACAGTTTGACTTAAATTAGTTTAACTTAAATTATTGAATGTTTACCTGTTATAAAAAATCCAGTGCATTCAAGATATTTGATGTACTTCTTGGGCAGCCTCGAGATCCCCAGAGTGCGGTCCCAAGTGGCTACAAAGAAGACCACAACCAGAATTGCGATCCATGCAATGAGAGGGTGCAAGCCAGAGCTGTAGGCCAGCATGCCAAGAGTGCTGAAGAACAGCAAGCGCATTTTCAAGATAATTTCCAGGCTGAAACTTCTGCCTAGTATATTTTCTTATTCTTTGTCACTCGTTTTGGTAGACGCTGTTCCGGTTGAATGGTGGTGAAAAATAAGCCCCACCTAACACCGCGACCAATTTTCCGAAAACTGACAATAAAAGTAATGAAAATACTGTGGTTTTTAACAATTTTGGTTAACTTACAGGGCGCGGTTAAGGTAACTACTATATGAAAATATTTAAAGCAGCGATAACATTACAAGGATTTTAAAATGTAATCAAATTTTTGATAGTAAAAATGTATATACATGTGACGTTTTTTTTTTTATTTACTTACCATTTACATGGTTCTTTTCAATTTTAAAAGTAGAAATACCTTCCGCTTTTTATTTAATTCTGTTTATCACAGTGAATTAAAATTATGTCAATTTTTAAAATTTATTAAACCCTGGACGGTACTAAAAAAAAATATTTATTAATTAAATGTACCAATATCAGTTTAAGAAAGAAATTTAGGAGTTTGAAATTGGAACTGATGTGACCGTTCTTTTTTTTACTCATTTATTATTCCCTGAACCCACTGGGAATGCTGGTGATTTTACTCAAAATCTTGTAACGCCTCTAATTGTTAATCAATGGGAGTTTCAATATTAATTACTTAAATAACCTGTCAAAGTTAAGATATAAATGTCATTTAATTACTTCCTTTTAAATATTATTGATAACAATGATAACTTATTTCTTTGGTAAAACTGTAGCTTTTATATCAGTGAGGGACTTGATTATTTATTTAATTAGCCGGGATCCACTTAAATTATAAAACGCAGGAGAGGTATTTTCGTTTGTCGAATGAATTAAATTGACATGTTATTAATAAACACAATAAAATAAAATGAAAGAGAGAGAAAAATAGTTAAATAAGTGCAAGAAAGATCAATGACCAAATAAGCATATTGGATCACTTTTCTCACAGTTTGCCGCGGCACTGGCGGGGAGATAGAAGAAAAGCAGGGGCTGCTGGAGTTGGCGTGCTGACATTAGAAATGTTCACCGATTTAGGTTCAAAGATCGAGCGTGTTGAACTTATCATTAGTAATGCGAGCACAAATCAAATTACCGCAAATTGCAATGAAAAACATTAATTAAGTGACTAAAAGCTCCCTATCTCATCTCTTATTCCCCTAAATGCTCATATAGTATTGACCATTAGCTCTTCATTAAGTCACTGACGTGTGAATTAAATAATTAAAATTTTCTTGATGCTCTTTAATCGTTTTTTTTTTATTATTTCATATTGAAAATATTATACTTCAATCAGGTGAAAATTTTAATTTTATATAATTAGGATAGACATGTAACAGTATATTACAATCGTGTTCTTTTTGGAAATAAAAATTGAAAATTCACTCTAAAATAGATCGATGAATTCAGAAATTCAATTCCTCATCTAGTTTGATTGCTGCTTATACGTGACAATGAGCACCAAATTAATTAATTTTCGCGCCATTTTTGAGCACCAGCAAGAACTCCCGTTCTCCGTCGGAAGAGAGCAGCTCAAGCTCAATGTTGCCACTCTATGCTATATTAGTTTTTTTTCCGTGAAAAATTTAAAAATATGAATGTAATGTGTTGGCTTTTCACACAAAATCAATTTTTCTAAATAAGACAACAACAAATTTCTTGCACATTTTCAGTTTGCCAAATAATGATGCTCCTAAGCATTGGTGCTGCAAAAATCACATAGCCTGGTGTGTGCCTTCAGCTGCACGCGCACACCATGTGCGCATGGGTCTTGACCCCCGCCGGTCGTCGCGACAGGTTTTCACGGCGCAGTCAGTCTGGCAGCTGCGACTGGAGGCGGAGGGGCGATCGAACGAGTGAGTCCGAGTCTGAGAGAAACCGCCCCCGTTTTCCAGCTGATCCGCGAGCAGGCACCCCTTAAGACCTCCGAAGGCGCTCGACCGGTCGATTCACCCCCTCAAGGTGAGCAGAAAGGGTCGCGAGTGCTGAATGGGGGGCGCGTGCAGCTCGTCTCGCAACAACCGAAAGTGCCAAGCGCCGGCTGTGAGGGATTATTTTGGGGCGACGCGGGTTGTATTTTTAAATTCAACGTGCGCGTTTCTCCGTTTGTTGTTCCGAAACGGCAACGCGCACCTGATTCTTTTGCTCAATATGAAGTCTGATTAGCCAGGAGAGAATCTTAATTGATGGAAATGAATATGAAAATTTTACATTAATTAATTATAATTAAAATAATAAGAATATAAAAAAAATTGGAGTCAAATTAAATCTTCAATTATGTTATCATAATTATTAACGTAAGATTAAGATATTGTGCGAAAAAATTGTTTGCAATTTAAGAAATATGATTATATCATTGAATAAGTTAATTTTACTTAAAGTTTGTTATAAATTCTGGCAAATTAAGTTATTTTAATGAAACTGATTATTTCTTCACTAATGATCCACTTCTTCAAATGTGTTTAAGCCTCAATTAAGGCGTTTGTCGTGCGTGTTTTGCATTTTGGTCAAGTCCACCTGCTGCTCGTCATGCTCTCAGGTGTGACGCAACAAAACCAAACCAAAGCTACATAATATAGCTGGGCACTTTTGCTTTCAGCTTTTTACTGGTGTTGAGTTGGTCAAGGGCAAACCAAGGTGGGAGACGAGATCATTATTGTGGTGGTATAATTTACGCGCCACTTGTTCTTCTTCTTCGTTAAGCCGTTGCCGGGCTTGAAACGTCCAAAGTCTCATTGCATTGTTCCTGAGCGTGCTCGGATAATTCTTCTTTGTTGCTTTTCTTTCATTCAGAAATCCAATCTATTAAGATTAACATTGAAGTAGAAGAATGCATTTCTTATTTTATAATCATTTGCAATTTCCACGTGAAGCTTTTCAATTCAAAGTTGTTAAACTTCCGGATTATCAGAGAATGATAAATTATTATACCACCATAAAATCACAAAAAATGTATAATAATTATATTTTACATTAATCATAGACATTTTAATAAAAAAACATACAGAATACACCAGGAATACACGTTAATAATTAAAAAGAAATCACTTAAATTACAAATTTAATTATAAATGTTATTATAATATATTAATTTTATTAATACTATAAAAATTAAGACTAAAATATAAGAGAAATATATTTGTTGAATATTTTAATATTATCAATAATAATTCTCAAGATTTTTTCTACACAAATATTTTTGTCCTATTTAATAGGGTCGTTGACATTTCATTCCATATTTCTCTATTTCTATTTTTGTTTATCGCCACCGTTGATCAACTCCTTCTATATTATTCTAGATAGATATTTCGCATCTTGCGCAGTGTCATAAGCAAATATTTGGTCCCCGTCATGCCACGGAAAAAGCCCAAGCGAAGAGCAGCGTCTTTTTTATCAGACCGCCATAATGATAAGCGCGACCAACTTTTTTGTGGCTAAATGTCTATCCAAGCACAACAGACGGAGGAGACACACACACACACAGTTGCTCTTTTCTACCATTTGACCGCTGTCGATCGAGCGGACACACACTTCACTGCGTCTAACCTCTTCCAGTCACGTAATACATACATTCAATAAGTTTCAAAGTCTATATATCGGAATAGTAAAAAAAAGACTATAAAAATATTTGTTTTAAAGGGATTATTGATCAGATCATCATTAATTCTCTAGAACAAAGTATTGTTTCGCATTTTACAAACAAATAGCTTCGAAAGGTTGTAAACTTTCACCAATTATAAAAGCCAATCAAAGAATAAATTTTTTTTTAATTGGCATTGGTTGTTTAAATAATTAACATATTTCATGTTTTTTTATGAGGAAAGTAAGAAAAAAGAAAATAAAACTATTTCTTTTGGAAATTTAAATTAGTTAAATTCACAATTGATGTATAATCTAAATCTGATCTAAATTAAATAAGTAAAATCGCAAATCGCATTTTTTGCGTGGTTTCTTATCGGCTTTAATTTTATCATTTCTCTGTTATTAATTCGGTTTAATACTTTTTATCTTTTAAAACTTGATACAAGAAATTTATTAATTTAATCCAATTATTTATGATTTCAAAGTCTAATTCAGTTTCCTTTTTTGAAAAACTTGATATGCACCACTTCGGAGACCTGGGGACAGTTATGTAAAAACAATGATTAAAATTTTCAATAGGTTTGAATATTATTTTTTTTTCGTGGCGTTACATGACTTCGGGTAACTTTTGCAACAACTTTTTAGCTACGACAGGACAGCCGAGTCTATGTTGGCTATAAACGCGACAAAGTCACACTTTATGACCCGCAAAATAGGTCAACCAACTCCTCTCTCGATATCAAACCGGCCGTTTCAATCGTGCGAGAATAAAAAGCCACTCCGACGTCGCTGAATTCAACTGAAACAATGAGGCCGCTTTCCTAATTTCGCAGCTCCTTGACAATAATTGAAGAAAAATCTAAATAATACAAAGTAATTAAAATCGAAAAAAAAAATTATTATTAATTTTTCAACTTTATACGAATTTTAAAGTTTTAATTGAATCCTTAATGACTTTTCCACGTACATAGAGATTATTTGATGAATAGTTGGGCTTAAAACTGACAGTACACGTCGTACCCTTTGATCCTCAGTTTTAGAGTCGTAACAGCTAATTGCCGGCGAAGCAATCAGTGTGTGCGTCCTAATTTGTACGAGGGACGACAAAAAATAATCAAAGACGCTGTTTGAGAGTTTTTCCGTAAGGATTCCTGGTGTGCGAGCGAGCCCTCAATTAATTTAATTTCCTTTCGGCTATTCCTGGCAAAGCGCCAATTGGGCGACGCGAAAAAACAAACCACTGAATGAACTGCGCTGAACTTTAAAACAACTCAGACGTGCATTTTTCCCGGCTATATTATTTTGGTTTGCCCGGCTGACGACAACTAGTTCAACCTGATCTTCAAGGCCAACGATAATAATTTTATAACCACACACACACTGCCAGTCACGGATCCTCCGGGCGTATACTTAAAGTAAATTAGCCACTAATTGCTGTTTGCGAACAATTTGCCGAAAGTCCCTCTCCCTCTCCTTGCAATTCACAACAATTAAGTAAGATAAAACAGTTTTGTGGAATTTAAATTGTCCCTTTTTTTGGAATCAAATTTTGAATCAACTACAAGTGACAAATTTAATTTTTGTTTTTCCTTGTATTTTCCACAAATAGGAACAACTTTTGGTAATCACATAGACATAGCCCATGAATATTGAATATTCAAAAGAAATTCCATTCTTTCCTCTCCCCATCGTTATTCTCTTGTAAATGACGAGGGATGCTCCTTTCTAAAGCGGCGCGTCAGCCTAAAGATGTGTGAGAAAAAAATTATCTCAACGCTTAGCGCCCGCACAAGGACTCCTCTAAAACGTAATGGCCTGACTAAAGAAGCGCTTAATTAAAAGAGAGTACTTGCTAAATTTAGGATGGCCTCGCTCCAAAGATCTGAGGTGGAGAATATAAAATTTTCAATTTTTAAACATAAATAATTGCGTCACTTTGTAAATTTTGGTTTTAAAATTTTACAATAATTTAAAAGAAAATACAGTATACAAAAATTATTAAATTTAATGATTTTATCTTTTTTTCATGTTTTTTTTTTTAAATTTACTAAATATTATATTACTTTGTTGCATAAACTTTTTTCTTATATCTGAATAATATTATTTTTTATTGAAATAAAAATATAAATTAGTTTAAATTAATTTTAAATGAGGTTTATCATATGAATAAGAATTGCGAATTTTTATCACAAGTTTTTCTTGGCCTGAATTGAAGTAGCCTAATATTTGTCAGTGTAAATTAATAGTTTTATTAAAATAGAATTTAAAATATCTTTTAAATTAATAACGAAAATTATGGTTGGAAGTACAGTAGTTTCATGATTAAATTAATCAGACATTAATTGATTATTGATTTGACTTTTTAGATGGTTCTCCGGTGGCCATGTGGGCTGCCCCTGACGGTGCGGCAGCGCCTGCTGCATTTGCATGCCCGCCAGCCGCGCTTCTACTCCACAGAGGTCGAGTACAGGCCGATCCGCAGCGTTCTTTGCGCCAACAGAGGTTTGACATGGAGAAATGTAGAGAATGCATTGATTAAAAAAAATGTTCCTTCCATAGGTGAAATTGCCATTCGCGTGTTTCGAGCATGCACGGAATTGGGAATCAGGTCGGTGGCGGTCTACTCGGAGCAGGACAAGATGCACATGCACAGGCAGAAGGCCGACGAGTCCTACCTGGTCGGCAGAGGACTTCCTCCGGTCCAGGCATACCTAAGCATTCCTGAAATCGTCAGAGTGGCCAAGGTGAGAAAATATTTCTCCAAATTTCTACCAAATTTTAGAAATACCCTCTGCTGGGTCTTATATTTTTTTATTTAGAAACTCTTCCTTGTTTTAAAAAATCTGCAATTTCCATATAAATGTTTATCAAAGATTTTATTCCAGCGGTTTTGTAAAAATATTTAAATGATAAAGACGAAGGAAAGTTTTAGGCACTCAATTATTGATAAACTATAAAAATTTTTATTTTTTACGTTTTTTGTTTGACAGGAAAATGATGTTGATGCAATCCACCCTGGCTACGGTTTTCTCTCAGAAAGAGCAGATTTCGCACAAGCTTGCATTGACGCCGGGATCAGATTCATCGGCCCTTCGCCCAAAGTTGTCCAACAAATGGGAGACAAAGTTGCTGCCAGACAAGCTGCAATTGATGCCAGTATGGAAAATTTTATTTTGTTCAAACTTTACCATAAATTTATTGTATTTGATTTGCAGAGGTGCCAATTGTGCCGGGCACTCCAGGGCCAGTCACCACTTCCGAAGAGGCTGTTGAATTTTGCCGAAAGCACGGCCTCCCTGTGATTTTCAAAGCAGCCTATGGAGGTGGCGGACGCGGCATGAGGGTTGTGAGAAAGATGGAGGTGAAAAATTTAAAAATTTATTAAAATTTCCTTTTGATTAATTATAAAAAAATTTCCAGGAGGTGGAGGAAAATTTCCAAAGAGCCAGCTCGGAGGCGCTGTCTGCTTTCGGAAACGGTGCCATGTTTATTGAAAAGTTCATCGAGAGACCCAGACACATTGAGGTGCAGATTTTGGGAGACAAGGCGGGTAACGTCGTCCATTTGTACGAAAGAGACTGCTCTGTTCAGAGACGGCACCAGAAAGTTGTTGAAATTGCTCCGGCGCCTAATCTGGATCCCAAGGTTTATTTTTAAATTAAATTTTCTTTAAATCAGATAAAATACAAATATATAATTATATTCAGGTGAGGGATCAAATGACTGAGTACGCCGTTCGCCTTGCCAAGTTGGTTGGCTACGAGAATGCGGGCACTGTCGAGTTCTTGGTTGATGAAAATGGAAACTTCTTCTTCATCGAAGTTAACGCTCGTCTCCAAGTGGAACACACCGTAACTGAAGAAATCACAGGGTAATTTTCTTTAAAAACCTTTTTTGTTAATTATTTATTTATTATAGTTATTTTTATTTTGTAGAATTGATTTGGTGCAGAGCCAGATTAGAATTGCTGAGGGCATGACTCTTCCTGAACTGGGCATGAAACAGGACACCATCAAGGTTCAGGGCAGTGCCATCCAATGTAGAGTGACCACTGAAGATCCTGCCAAAAACTTCCAGCCAGACACTGGCAGAATTGAGGTACATAATTATTTTTCATAAAAATGCAACTTTTGCTTCAGAAAATAAGCAATTAGAATATTTTAGTTATTTTGAAAAGCAGTAATTTTAGGTGGAAAGCAAAATGAAAAGAAGTTTGGAGAGAAAAAGACTGAAATTTTCTGATACATATTAAAATTTTCCATAAGTTACGTTTAACATATTAGAATTATTCAATTTTGCAGATTTTATCTGCTTTAAATTTTACCTTTATTTTGCATATTTTAATCGATTTACTTATTTCATTACATACTTTATAACTGTATATTAAAAACATTTTTTACAAAGGTATTCCGAAGTGGAGAGGGTATGGGAATCCGTCTGGACGGCGCCTCTGCTTTTGCTGGTGCCCAAATCTCGCCTTATTACGACTCCCTCCTGGTCAAGGTCATTGCCCATGCTGGTGACCTGCAGGCCTCTGCTGCCAAAATGAACCGCGCCCTGCGAGAATTCAGAGTTCGAGGAGTCAAAGTATTTTATTTTGGAATTTAATTTTTCTTGACATCTGTAACTTAAATTTTCTTTTAGACAAACATTCCATTTTTGCTGAATGTGTTGGAGAACCAGAAATTCCTGAACGGCACCGTCGACACTTACTTCATTGACGAACATCCGCAGCTTTTCCAGTTCCGGCCCTCCCAAAACCGAGCCCAAAAGCTGCTCAACTATTTGGGCACTGTCCTCGTCAATGGACCGTCAACTCCTCTGGCCACTAATCTGAAACCGGCTGAAGTTGTGCCTCATTTGCCAGAAATCCCAATGAGTAGGAAAAATCATTTTTGTCAGTAGAAATGTTGGGACGTATTTAGCAACCCTTAAATTGTTCTATTAAAATTTCTAGCACTCATTTCTAAAATAATTGATCAAATAATTTAAAAGACTGTTCTCATATTTTCACCTAGTTTAAAAATTCATATTTTTAAATTGACATGACGCCCTTTTATATTATAGGAGTTTCATTTTTGCATGGCATGGGTACATGTTTGTACATTTTTGTTTCATTTTTCCTCATTATTCAGATCTTAGAGCTGCATCTTCTGACATAAGTGAAAGTGAGGATGAAGGTGAAAGTGGTAAGATTTTTATTTCAATTTGATCATCCTTATCAAACACATATTATTGTATAATTCCTCTTTAAAAATAAAAAATTAACACTTAAAATGAATTTGCAGCTTTCAAGCCTCCCAACGGCTTCCGCCAAATCCTGCTCGCCGATGGACCTGCTGGTTTTGCCAAGGCTGTCCGTAACCACAAGGGTCTGCTCTTGATGGACACAACCTTCCGCGACGCCCACCAGTCCTTGCTGGCCACCCGTGTCCGCACCTACGACCTGCTCAAGTCCTCACCCTACGTGGCGCACAACTTCAACGGACTGTTTGCCTCAGAGAACTGGGGCGGTGCTACTTTTGACGTCGCCCTGCGCTTCCTGCACGAATGTCCTTGGGAGCGGCTTGAGGAGATGCGAAAACTCATCCCCAACATTCCTTTCCAGATGCTCCTGCGTGGTGCTAACGCTGTCGGATACACAAATTACCCGGACAACGCCGTATTCAAGTACGGAAAATTCAATTAGTCTTTAAACAAATTGCTGCAAGATTTTTTTAAAATATTTTTTTAAGGAGTTATATAAATTTTTATCCAATAGCTAATTAAGTAAAAGAATAATATTAAAAACAAAAGATTGACAGTTGACACTGTTGACAGATAATTTTTCAGCACCAAATAATTTTATCCTTGATAAATAGCTTAACATAAAATCTCATTCTGATTTCATTTTCTTTAAGGTTCTGCGAGCTTTCAGTGCAAGCTGGCATGGACATTTTCCGAGTTTTTGACTCCTTGAACTACCTGCCGAATCTGATCCTTGGAATGGAAGCTGCTGGAAAAGCAGGAGGAGTGGTCGAGGCTGCAATTTCCTACACTGGTGATGTTGCAGACCCAACCAGGAAGAAGTACGACCTTAACTACTATCTCAATTTGGCCGATGAGCTTGTCAAAGCTGGAACGCACATTCTTTGTATAAAGGTAAAATATAATTTGATTTTTTCTTTGTACAAAGTTTACACTTAATTCATTAGGATATGGCCGGACTTTTGAGACCAACTGCTGCCAAACTGTTAATTTCGGCCCTTCGAGAACGCCACCCTCAGGTCCCCATTCACATCCACACCCACGACACCTCAGGCGCTGGAGTTGCTTCCATGTTGGCTGCTGCCGAGGCTGGAGCTGATGTGGTGGACGTTGCCGTTGACTCAATGTCCGGAATGACCTCTCAACCCAGCATGGGAGCCATCGTTGCCTCCCTCAAGGGCACAGAACATGATACAGGTCAGTTAAGATTTATTTAAGAAGTAATTTTTGATTAAATTTCGAGAATTTTTGGTTTCATCCAGGAATGGATCTGAGCAAGATCAGTGAATATTCGGCGTATTGGGAGCAGGCCCGTACCTTGTATGGACCCTTCGAGTGTGCTACGACAATGAAATCTGGCAATGCCGACGTCTACTTGAACGAAATTCCTGGAGGTCAATACACCAACCTGCAATTCCAAGCTTACTCTCTTGGTCTGGGAGATTTCTTTGAGGATGTTAAGAAAGCTTACAGGTAAAAAATCAAAGTTATATTGATAAAAAATGTCAAAATAAAATTAATATTTTGTTAATTCAAAATATTTTTTTAAAAATAAAATTTTATGTAAATAACATTTCAAAAAATTATTCAAAATTCTCCAGAACAAACGGATTTAAAAGAAGCACATTCTTGTTTTCTTTTTTACAAATAATTTCAATACATTTTATCAATTAATTGTAATTTTATCTTAATGATTTCCAATTTAAAATAATTCCAGGGAGGCGAATCTTCTTCTTGGGGACATCATCAAGGTAACGCCGTCATCTAAGGTCGTGGGAGACCTGGCGCAGTTCATGGTCCAGAACAAGCTGACCGCCGAACAAGTGCTGGAGAAAGCAGAGGAGCTCAGCTTCCCCAAGTCGGTGGTCGAATTCCTGCAGGGCAGCATTGGAGAACCCTACGGAGGATTCCCCGAACCCCTGCGCTCCAGGGTGCTGAAGAACATGCCCAGGGTGGAGGGCAGACCTGGCGCCTCCATGCCGCCCCTGGACTTTGGAGCCCTGAAGAAGGACCTGCTGGAAAGGCACCCTCACATATCTGACAAGGATGTCATGAGTGCTGCCCTTTATCCTGCGGTGGCCGAGGAATTCTTCGACTTCAGGGATAAGTTTGGGCCGGTCGACAAATTGGACACTCGCATCTTCCTGACGGGACCAAAAGTTGGAGAGGAGTTTGAGGTTTGAAAATCAAACATAGAAAAAAAACTTTCATGGTAACAAAGCATGTAATTTTATAGGTGACCATTGAAAAGGGAAAAACTCTTGGTGTCAAGACACTTGCCATGGCTGAAGATCTCACTCCTAATGGAGAACGAGAGGTGTTCTTTGAGCTGAATGGACAGCTCCGATCTGTCTTCATTAAAGATAAGGAGGCAGTGAAGGTAAAAACTGAAAGAAAAAATAATTTAATTTTGTTTTTAATTTCTAAAATTAACATTTCCTTATATTTGTCTTATATATTTCAGTCAAATTAATTTTTACTATTCAATTTTTTAAATTAAGCTTCATTAACAGAAGTGCAATGAGTGAATCATTTTTTTTAGCTTTTTGTTTTCATTAAGCATTATGATTGAAATTTTTATAACATTAAATTAACAATTAAGAAATATGAATAAAATTTATCATATTTATATTTGAATTATTTCTACAATTTTACGGAGTAGATTTATGTGGCAATTGAATAATTCATTTACATTTTATTTTATTTTAGGAACTTCACATTCATCCCAAAGCCCAGAAGAGTGCGCGTGGCGAAGTGGGGGCTCCGATGCCAGGAGCTGTGATTGAAATCAGGGTCGTCGAAGGGGACAGAGTGGAGAAGGGAGCCGCTCTTGTTGTCCTTTCAGCCATGAAAATGGAAATGGTGGTGCAGTCTCCAGTGAGCGGCGTCGTCAAGTCGATCGCCGCCACAAAGGGGATGCGCCTCGAGGGCGAAGATCTGCTGATGACCATCGAAGAAGATAAGTAGAATCTTCCAGATTAAAGATTAAAACAGAAAAATAATGGTCACACTTTGGGGCTCTCTGACGATAATAATTGTTCTTCCATAGCGCCTTTTGCTTCTTCATCCACAATGTTGTCCTTTTGATATATTTTTTATACTTGTTAAATCATTTTTCTCTGCATTTTTATTGAGAAAGAAGAAATTGAAAACAAAGATTAAATGCGATAGCTGTTGATTGTTTTTTGTTATAGCGAATGTATCAAGGAAATCTTAGTTGGAATGATATTAAGACTGTTTAAAAATCACACAAAAAAAAATTACAATTTTACCCTAAAAAATTATAGAATTTTTCATTTACTGTGTCAATTGATCTAATAATAACTTGTGTATTTAACTTGTTAAACTGAGAAAGTGAACGTGTAAGTGTAAAGATTAAAAATAATTGGTTTATATTCGCATAATAATTTATTTTTCCACCTTTTATTATACACATATTATAGCTAATTATATTTCATTATTATTTACACTTAACAGCTCTACAGCAACTATTAATTATATTTTCATACATAACGTTTTTTCTTAATCTTAAGCCGCTCACGGATTTTTTTTTGTATAAGTTTGGAAAACGGATTTTAGAAAGCCTGCAAAATGTCAAAAGCACTCTTGCATACACTGATGAAATAAAAATATACCCCTTTCACTTGAAATTATGTAAATCTTCCACACGAAAAAATCTCTCTGCCAAGCGAGCGTGGTTTTTTCTGCTTTTTATTCAAACGTTACAACAAAATTTGCAGTTGGGAGACACATGTCTGGCGCATTTTACTTTTTAATAATAAATAGCCAGGCTTTCAGGCTGGCACGTGTGGGTAATTTATGATTTCGGCGCGTCAGCAGCAGGCCCAAAGTTTATTAAAAAGGTGTGCGAGAGAGAGACTGAAGCTCGTCGTCATGCGTGTGCTAATTAGAGGGCGCCTTCCTAATAAATGCCGCCCCCGGCCGTGTCTCACTTCTCACTTCTCCTTCCTAATGGATTTTTACAACGGCTCCCTTGTCATGACAAAGTCAAGTTTGCCGCCGCGCTGTTAATTTCGCAATTTTCACCAGCAATCGAGCGAAAATTCTTGTTAAATTTCGGTCCTGGCGAAAAGCGTTCACATAGTGAGAGTTAAAATTTCATTTACACGCCATGATTTTCAATTTTTATCCTAAGTGATAGTAAGAGATGATTTTGCATGAATTTTGGGTTTTTCCATTTAGGGGAGTACATTAATTCATTAATTTTGGTCCTTTACACGTGATATATATTTTCCAAGGGATTTTGATTAATTCTTCACATTCATCCACATTGAGGGTCTTTTGCTGTTCTATTTTAAGCACTTTTTACTCATTTTAAGTGACTTTTATCGTGAGAAATAAGTTTCTAAAAAGTAATTAAAAAGACAGCTAATGATTTCGGTCGAAGTTTTACAAAAGGTTTTCCCTAAATTTAAATGGAAAATAATGAAGAATTATTTTTAAAGAGCTGATAAAAATTAAAAAGGAAGCCCACGAAAAATTTAAGATATTTGTTATGAAAGGCGCGATTTTCACAAATCAACGAATCATCATTCATCCCGGGTAAAAATTCAACCAAGGAGTAAATTGCGTGAGATTTGTGAATTTCATCAACGGTTTTTCTCTCTCCAGACATTGATAATCCCAGCAGTTTTTCAAATGATGTGAGAAAAAATTATCTATTTTACTAAAAAAGTGGTGAGTATATTTGCGCGAATAACGTCTGGTTTAAAGGCACGTCATGCACTCTCTATGTATACAAACGTCTCTCGTCTTGAACGCCGATCTGTAAATTTTAATTATAAGCACTTAACATACCAATCTACACAAGTCTACTAACAAATACACATTAGGTTCATTTTTTTATAACTTTTGTGAAAATAACGGACAGTCGTTTTGTCTAATTTTGCTAAATGTCACATGCATTTATTTAAAACGGTCATAACTAGAGGTGTCGCTATATTATTTTATATGATCTTGTCGGTCAACAATAAACGATTCATCAGTCGGATTATGTTTTGGAATCACAATTAATTTAATTATATATTATATAATTAAAATTATATATTATATAATTAAGCAGCCGTTACAGAGTGCTTTGAATTATTTTCTATGCATATCCATTCAGACACAATAATTCTCAATGTTTTTTGTTTTTATTTAAAACCATACAAAATTATTCTGAAAATTAGCCATTTTTAAGTTTTTACAATTGTTATGGTGTGTTTATGCTTGTGTCTAGTTTAATATAGTTTTAATCTTCAAAGTAAAATTTAACTTAATTCTGAAACTGAGCGTTAATTTTTTGCAACTGGAAGTTAAATTTATTTTGTTTGAAAATGTATTGCAAGCGTAGAAAAATCCTGAGATTAATCGGGTGGTGAATTTGAATGCTAAATTTTTCATTTTTGATTGGAATTATTGATTGCTTTGAACCAAAAATAATTTGTTATTATTATTAAAAAACTTGCAAAAGAAGCAAAAAAAAAAAACACTCTAAACATGACTTTGCCTTAAGAATCTTGAATATAATGATAGAAATTTTTTTTTTTAAATAACTATTGATTGCTTTGAACCAAAAATAATTTGTTATTATTATTAAAAAACTTGCAAAAGAAGCAAAAAAAAAAAACACTCTAAACATGACTTTGCCTTAAGAATCTTGAATATAATGATAGAAATTATTTTTTTTAAATAACTTTCATAGAGAAGAATTGATATTTGTAATTAAAAGTTCTACATTTTGATTTAAAAGCATATTTTTATAGACAGAATTCCACAATTAAATCTTTTTTTTTTAATTTTTATTTCAAATAAATGTTTTGTATTTTGTGTTGGGTTATTATTTTTGTGGGAAAATAAGTAATAACTAATAAGGTGGAAAGTAGCAAGTGATTTTTAAAATTTTCTGCACCAAAACCTAGGTGGGCAGTTCTGTGTTCGAGGGTGCTACTAATAAATGTAAGCCGTGCATATTTACAGCGTCGTCGATTCATCCACCCAGTGATATACATTCTGTGTCTTTATGGATTCAAAGCCGGCGCGGTAACAATCAACATGATAACAATCGAGGGTGCATTCATCACAGGCGCTCTACATTCGCATCACGTACACACGTCTCTTTCCGTAATCAAACCGTCATCACGCCGCTCGGCCCATAATTATATTGATTCGCCCTTCTGCTCTCGTCAAAATACACCAAATCGACGCTCTGCGGGCGGACAAAAGACGCGAAGAGCCCTGGCCGTGTCGTTATCGTAACTCTCTTGTGCTCGACGCGTTTCATCTTTTGGCGATGGAAATTTACTTTTAGGCAGAGGCGTGTGACACGAATTTTTTCAGATCCAACGAGCCCAACCAGATTCCGCTTTTATGCTCGTCAGAATCAAAAGAAGTAAAAAAAAAAAGTACAAATTTCAATATTAAACAAATACCAAGAATTTCCAAGATTGAAAATTAGAATAGAATAGAAAAAATTGTGTATAAATAAAACGATAAAAACTTAAAATTGCTTTGGATGTTTAAATTAATAAATGATGGATGAGAAAACAAGATTAATAAAACAGCAAAGGTCTATAGAACTGGTCGCCAAATAGGAAAATTAATTTTTGGTTTGTAAATATAAAAATAAATAGACTTTTTTTAACTATATCATTATACTTTTTAATCAAGTTTTTTAGAAACTTTGTCTTTTTGCTATTAGATAAAAATAGTAGTATTTTTTTATGTGCCTTTTGAAAATATTGGCCAGGATGAAGTCAGTTGCAGCCAAAAATCTTCCAATTACTTTTTGCTCCTTTGCAACAATTTTTCATTCCTTTTAGCCAAAATGCAAGAATGATGAAAATTAAGTACAATTTAACTAGATTGAATTTCAGTATTTCAGCATTTGGCAAACTAGAAAACCATAAATATATAACATAATAATAATGAGTTTGTCTTTAAAATAATTACTTGTTGGTAACAATTGTTATACTAAAGAAAAATAATTTTTTTAATTGATTTGAAATGTAGAAAGTCAACAACAAAGCCAGTGAATTCACAACAAACGGTCGTGTATCAAAATTTTGGAAGTGCGGCGTAAAATATCAAATTATATGGTACAAATGACAAATTTGGCGCGCCCCCTGCGGTGCCACAAGCCACAAGTATCAATTTTCCCCACATTTACCAGTTGACAATCGCACTACCCATTTTTACTGTATTTGACGGTCCAAGTGAAATTATGCAAAAGTCTATCGGAAATTTTGTTTGCGTTGCATCGATTGCAGTGATGTAAGTGCAGTTCCACCAGCAATCGAAATTTGCATTCCGCGTTCGTGCTATTTATCCAGCCATTCAGCTCCTACTTTAGCATGATTTGCATGTGCCGTCTGCAAATTTGCATTCGCCTCATTGTGCTGTGCGAGGGAAGCTGCATATCGCATTTCAACTGCACGATTTATATCATTTGATGTTGATATGCGTGTCTTGTTTGGAATTTGATTTCTCTACAGCACTTTGCCGGCCGAGACTAAAAGCGCCGCCCTATTATTTACCACCGCCGCGCTTTTATGAAACCAAATCTCTCCGTTAATGCACCGCGCGCTTTCAACATTCCATCTGCACATCCACTCTCACAATGCATTTTCCCTCGACAAACACACAACTCAGTCAGACATGAAATAATATTTTTTTTTATTCCAGCAAAAAGCCATTAAGAGAGATGTTTATTGCTTGCCGAGAGCCGAAGGAATTTTAATTTTCATTCTGCCAAAGCGATTTTGCGATTCACCGGCAGCTTTTTTATGCGCAACAACCCTTTGAGTCTCTCTTTTTTTTGTATTCCTTCTTTTCCGCATGTAGAGAGGAGAGACCTACGTGTTCGAAACGCTCTAACCAACTCAAACGACTGAAAAATCACATGTATATTTTACAAATACGCGCCGGAATGCGAATGTGGTTCCCTTTTACAAAAACGCCCAGATGTGCAGATGTGTGGTGAAGAAGAAGTAGTGAGAGAACGGTTATTTTTCTCTTTTCGGCTCATTTAATCCTCCACCTCGGAGCCCTCAGTCAGCAGCGTCGTTTTGTCACCCTGGTTCGCATCTGTGCCCATCTGGAACAAAACAAATGAGCAATTTCCATAAAATTAATCAATTTTTTTAACATAGAGATAATTTACTTTTCTAATTAATTTAAATGTGATTATATATTATAGTAATTAGTTGAATTTTCCATTAGTGTTACAAAATCCCATCTCAGCAATTTCAATGATTATAAAAATAACTTCATTTTTTAATAATATTATTATTTTGTAAATTTGTATTCTAAAAAAATGTTGATGGTCAATATTAACTTAAAATCATGAGACAGTTTCTAATTAAAGATAATTTTTGTAATTCTGAAACTAATGAAGATAAACTCGCCGTATTGCGAGCTTTATCTGTTTTGCTGCAGTTGAAATTTGTGTTAATATAACCAATTAAATCTAAAAAATGATACAAATTTCATAATTCAATCTCCCCCCGTTTCATTATTGTTGATGGAAATTATAGGCTGTTTGTAATTCAATTTTTGGTGGTTTGTAGCATCACCCCAAGAGCAGGCAAGCTCTCGTCCGTAAAAGCTAGTTATGCAACACAAAGAGCTCCCCAGAGACGCGGAGACTGCGGTATAATCTTAAAGATATTATATAGGAGAGAAGTTACGTCCCCGAGTCTTGTGGCTCAATTTGCGAAAACTTGCGACGCACAAAAAGAACGACCGACGATGGCTCATCTAAAATATTAAGGCTCTCGGTTTTTTAGCAGCCACCAGAGGTGAATTAATAAAAGGTTCCGCAATAAAGACAAATTAAAATTTCATCAAATCTCTCTGCAGAAGAGCAAAGTTTGAAAAATCGTATTTATTTTTTAGAAGAATAACAATTTCAAAAATCTTTCATATGATATTCGAGTTTTTTTAATAAAAATATAATTTTTCTTCAAGAATTTGTTTCTTTTGGATGGGAGCCAGAACTCCAAGCGTAAAGAGAAACTGGAGCAAAAAGCCAATATCTTGGTGAGCACCAAAAGTAGTGCGTCTCTCGTCCTTCCAGATTTATTCTCTCGATTGTTCTGCGCCAATTTAGGCTGAGCAAAAAATGCTGCGAGGTTGAATCTGCTGCTCATTGTCAGTGAGAGTATGTATTCTTCGAACAAAGAGATTCGTAGTTTATAAAGAGTCTTTATCGGTGGGCCGCGCAAAAATAAATATTTGAGTAATGCCTGCTTTGATACGCTTTATCGCATTATAACTTTCTTTTGTTGAGCCAGAGAGGGTGGAATATAACTTTTTGCCGAGTGAAACACAATTGCCCGAGAGCGAAACCAACAATATTTGTCTTCGGAACTTGGAGAGTAAAAGACTTTCCTGATGAACGCACACCGAATCAATAGTTTTGTCCAGATTTGTGGAAAAATAAGAGGGCGAAGGACCGAGTTTGGAAGTAAATGTGAAAGCTAAAACTTGGGGAGAAAAAGACTTATTTCAAAACTTCTCTTATAAAATTAGAGAGAGAAAAATGCTTCTCTATTATTTTGTTAGAACTATTCAAATTTTCGCGTCATTTTAAGCATGAAATCATAATTTTGTGCAAGTAAAGCCATTTAATTGTATTATTTATTATAGCAGTATTTTAGAATTTAAGTTATCTGCGTTTTTATTTATAAAAAAATATTTTTTTAAATTTATAAAATTGTGAAATTAAAAGCCTCGAAATTTTGAAGCAGTGCATGGAAATTCACAAGACAAACGTTCACTTCAAAACTGATGAAAGCGAAATTTGAGAACAAAAGCCAATTAAAACAGTGCATGTGTGCGTCTCATGTGTGTCGTAATAATAATAATCTCGTCAGAACTACATAAACAAAGGCAGGCGGTGTATCTCTCTCGTCAGCTGAGAGAAGATTATCCACGCGCGCCCGGGTTTGCACAGATTTGTATGGAATTTGTACGCACTGCCTTTGTATAATTGGTCTCCCTGTCGGCGGCGGCGGCGAGAGGAATTTGCATTACCAAGTTTCGCTCCAGCTGCTGCGAATGAATTTGAATAGTTGGCCCAAGAACAGCAGGACGACTTGCTCGAGGCGAAAGTTCGGACGTGTAATAATTGTTATTGCAGGGGGGCGGCTAATAAACGTCATGCAACCCTTTCAACTTGCCGGCACCACGTGCAGCCTCTCCAACTTGCGGTATTGATCCGCGCACCAGCGACGCATGCAACCTCTAATTACGGTAATTTTACTGCATGACCAAAATAAAATGAACAAAGGCAAGTTTCTTTCTTTGTGGTGCAAAAAGCAAGGAATAAAATGGAGAAATGTTCTTTTCATTAAAAAAAAAAAAATAAATAAATAAATAAAAATAAATAAATAAAAATATATTTATATACGCTGAGGGAATGTTTTACAAGAAAAGCATCCTGATTAAAACTAGCTTTTTTTAAATTTTTTGTTCACACAACAGTAAATAATAAAAGTGTATCTTTGTAAATTTTGTCAGTTACTCAGCTTTGATTCAAAATAATACTTAAACAAGTAACAACATTTTATAGTATGTCAAAAAATATAAATTTGGGAGATTTTCTTGCTATTTTGATAACTTTTATCAGGACTTCATTAAACTGCCAAAAATTGTATCTAATTTTGTTGCAATTACTTGATAATACAAAATTTATTGAAAATTTCTAGCAAATATTTTTCTTATTTACTATTTTAAACTTTTTTTAAATTTAATTATTTTGCCTCCTTATTGAAAGTTTGTTATTCTTTTTTTAAAATTACACGAACACAGAATTTGTAAAATAAAAGGCTTTTACAAGAACTGCTTTTTTGACTTTTCTACATAAACAAGATTTTTTCAAATCAATTGAGGGGTACTAGAATGCCAAAATTTCCATTGAAAAAGTATAAAAAAATAAGTGTGCAATAGTTTTTTCAAATTTTAATTGTGTTCAAAATTCAAAGAATTTTTTTTATAGTTTTGAAGTTCTGGTAGCTCCATTGAAGTTATTTAGAAATACCTGAAATAAGCCCATAGAAATCCAGAAAAGGAGTGTAGAATTGTTATGTAAATCGGGGTGCCTGACTTGGAAAAAATACCCAGTCAGGGGCAATTTACTTATTCGCGTGCTGGCTTATTTTTTCTTCCCAGAACCACACAGGCCTATCGATCTTTACACAGAATGTACCTAATGAATTCATGCGGCACACATAATTTCGTTGTGTAACAACAAGCCCTTCAATTTGTTAGCCTCGGACTGCTAAAAGCCATACCGGCGGTGTTTTTAGCTCGATTTGAATATTTTTACATTTTCTGCTGCAGTTCCTTGCTTCGGCGGGGGCTTGATTTGCATTTTCCCCACTCAAAGTGCGGGTACACGCATTAATATTAATATCGACTGCTCTTTTCTCACCGATGTTTATTATTTTTTTTTATGACAATATTTTCTTTTCACTCCGCAATCTTTGAAAATCTGCTGCATCAACAAGACTAACGTTTCTCCATTCAGGCGAAAAAAAGAAGCGCGACAAGTGTGACAAAGGACTTTTCGTTCTTCCTATCAGGTGAATTTTCAACCCAGAAAAGACTTGAATGCTGCTCTCTCCGGAAAAAATATCTCCTTTTGAGAAAAATTATCGCACTCGGGCGTTGTGTGAATACAAAAATTGCGCCCTGGAAAGGGAGCGCGATAATATGCTTCGTAGCTCCATCTCGCGCGCAACGACCCCCCAAGGCTTTAATGCTCCTTTACAATGCATGTGAAATTTCTGCAGACGTATACAAACGCTAAACACCAGGCGTCGTTTCTCTTCAGCGAAAACACATTTATTCGCGAATGTTCACTTTTCCAGCAGTGAGCAATTTTCGCCGTCACTTGGAAATTCAGATGAATGTTTTGAAAGATTACGCCCAATCAAAAGTTGCGCCCGAAATGCTAAAGCAAACTCTCTCGCTGATGGAGAAGGAGAAAAGAATTCGCTTTATGACTTCCAGATATTTTCGCAAAGTTTTTGCTTCGCAGATGGCGGGTTACTTATGAGGGCTCATAAAGTCATAGCCGTCGGGTCCAACTGTCTTGTAAAGGAGCGAAGAATGGTGGAAAGTATTCGTTGGAAAAAGAACGAAAGAAATTTCACTATAAAGGAAAAGTTTGTTCTGCGGGATATTGGAAATTCTTCAGTAGGCAATGAAAGAATGGTAATGAATAAAATATGAAAACTGCTTCCACGGCGCAAAGAAATTGGTTTGCCAAAATGGTTTAAAAATACCTGCTCCTTCATCAGTATAGTAAGTCAATTCTGGTTCAATAAATTTTTAAATTTGCAGTTTTGTAACAAACTGAAAAAAATTTTATACCTTGAAAAATGCATTGTAAAATTCTTCATTTTGACTTTAAATACAGAAATACTAAAAAAAAAGAAGTAAAAAAAATAAAAGCCGTGGTATAACATTTAATTGATCAATTTCTAGAAATTAATAAATTAGAATTATAAATTTTTTTGTTTAATTTCATTTCATAAATTTTATATTTATTTTATTAAATTTAAAAAAATCTATATCTAATCAATTTAGTTTTTCGTATTTATTAATTATTGATATAAAATGAAGTGAAAACAAAATTTATTTATGCACTCATTTTGTTTCAAATGAGAGAAATAGCGACCGATTTGTAGGCCTAAACTTAATACCTAAAAATAATGCTAGGCAACCAGCGCGACGTCAGAGTTGAGCCTATTGCATACTCAATTTATCAAGCTACTGTATTCAAATTCAAACCAACATGCCGACATGCATTTCAATATAATGCAGTTTAAATTAGCAAATTAATTAGTCGCTCCTTCCTCCTCAATTACACGACTATAGCTGAAGACTTAATTGAACCTACTATACAAATGTCAAAGCCGAAGGTTAGGAATGTACAATAGGAATGACGAACGTCCGAGACAGAGCTCTTGTTCAGCGCGTGCCTTGAATCTGAAATTGCTTCCTTTCTTTCTTTCTCGCCGGGCGAAAACGCAAATTAAACTTTTTTCCACCCTCAAGACTTTTCGCCTGCGGATCGTAGAGCTGCTGCGTCTGACTTTCCCGCGAGCGCCGCCTCGAATTTTAATTTACTCGCAAAAGTTGCCAGCCCGAATATTGAATAAAAGTGCCGGAAAAATTCAGTTTACGACGCGCCGAGTCCATTTTGCACCGTCGGTACCAACAGCCGAAGAGCACGGGCAACTTTTTTTGTCTGTTTTATGAGGCTCGGTGTTTGAAAGTTTGGTAAATAGTCCGCTATTTATTCAGGCAATATTGGCTTGGAATAGAAATATTGATTTGGAAGGCACGCGCGCGTCTCAAGTGAAGCTTGAAACGCTTTGTTTGGATGAAAATTTCCATCCGTGTCGTAATTGACGTGGAAATTTGCTCTGTGCGTTCATTAAAAGTTATAATTAATTGGAAAGTTTTGAATCGTTTGCGAAGAGTTGTCACGTTTACTGAATGAAAATTAATCATTTTGCAATCTTGCACGCCCACTGCAGGTCTCTCTGAGATGCAAATATTTCTTAATTGGAAATATTGTTCATATTGACTCGTGTTAACTTTATTATAGAAGTTTTAAGATAATTTGATTTAATTGAAAAGTGAAGAATAGGACTCTAATATATGAGGGAATGAAATTTTTCAATTAAATAGTTACTTTTCCCCTCTTTTTTTATTAATATTATAATTGTTTATTTGTCCAAATTGCTAAATCACATTGTTTAAATTCCATTGTTGAAAAAAATTTATTTGAAAAGAAAGGAATTGTTGGAAAAAACGGCCCCACCACTAGCAAGTATTTTGCTTGAAGTTCCGAGGAATAATAAATAAAAGCAAATATTAATTTGTTTTCACTTCTAAATTATGTATTTTGTGGAGACAAAACAAAAATATTAAAATTCATTTTTTTTTACATTTCAAATAAAATTAAAAACATAAAAAAAGTATATAAAATATAAATAATTTTGTAATACACTAATTTGTATTTATAGTTTTTAATTTTTTACTCACCCCAACGTGTCTTCTGCGTCTCGCAGACTGTCTTCTCCGGCGGGTGGCCAAGCAGGCGGCCACTGCGATGACGACGGCCAAGAGCAGCGCCCCCAGACATGCGGCCGGCACTAAAGCACTTTGTCGCGCCAACTCCTGCAAAACGAACGCCGAGCGTTTCTTTAGCAAAACTTTCCTTCTCGCGTGTTGTGTCATGGCCGCGGCCATTAGCATGAAAATAAAGCTGAAATATCGCCCGAGGAATTTGCATTTTATACGCGGCGCTCGTGGGTCAGCCGTACGCTCTGAGACGACCCTTGTACATGCTGTAAAATTTTTATAGCCCATGCAAAAATATACAAATGCAGAAAGGAACATGTTGTGCTTTCTGAAATATGGCGCCGGAAAAATTGAAATAAAAACAAGGTTCACAAACTTTTCAGACACATTTTCAGTCTGGATTTCAAATTGCGTTTTTATTAGGGCAATTATTCCGAGCTTATCTTCCTCCAGGTGAATTTATGTGTGGAGAAGGGATTACTGCGTCAGTCATTAATCACAGGTTAAGATGAACGACGATTATATTCCGAGAAACAATTTTGGATCCGCGAATATAAAGGAAAGAGGACAAATCCTTTGAGCCCCAGCAATTTCGCGTATCAAGGAAATTCCCGTTTGAATTATGGCGCGCGTCGGGGCGTTATTAGCAATAAATTCAGGACCAATTTTATGCCTGGCAAGACGATAAAACAAAATAGGCGAGGAATTCGATTAAGGTGCGTCGTAAAAAGAGAGCTCGGTAATGAGACGTTTCGGTTTTCGACTCTTGGGCGTAATTAATTATAAATAGCAGCCGTCCGACTCGGAAGTGAAATATGGTTGGGAATTTTTGCCACACGAAATTCGCGGCAGCTCGTAAATTACGAGCGCGCGTTTTAATTTGGAGCTTAAGAAATGAATGGCTTCATCAGTGGAATTCCACAGTGAGACTTGAATTGTGAGAATGCACAGGATAATTAACTTGGAACAGAGCGCAATGAGAAGAGATGAAATTTTTCATGTGAATTTAAATTATTTTAAGATAAAATAAATTTTATTTATTTATTTATTCTCCATTCAGATATTGTATTTTAATAAACTAAAAAAGATAAAATGTCATTGGTTTTCCTATTAAAGGAGAACACAGCACACAAATGCAAAGATATTGGGGAAAAAATATTATAGATTTATTGATATAGTTGCTGGAATAGAGGTTGAGCGTCTAGACAGACAATTCAATAATGAATATAGGAATGGCAGCAAAATAGCTGCCGTTTTTCCTTGGCGTGGCATGGAAGTGTCTAGTAACTCAGTTTTAATAGAAAATCTCATCTCCCGCAATGACTTTTCTCGTCACTGACAAAGTCTGAGCACCTCTTTCAATTTCCTCTCTTGTTTGAATTAAACTTGTGCATTTATTAATGGCGGTGCACTTTGTTAGTTTCGCAGATTTTGTAATTAAGCGAAGCAGACGATTTTCTTTTGCTAGAATTTGGACGTGTGTAAGCGAAAATGCGCTTACGTCTCTCTCACAATCTACTCTAAAGACGAGCCTCGTCGGTTCTTTGAGATTAAACTCTGGGAGAGAAGCTTCTTTAAGAATTAAAAGCTTTGAGCTTTTTCGGCGTTCCGAGGAAAACCGCCGGCGTCGGTTAATTTGCACACAAACGACTGCTTTATGCAATCGGGCAAAATTTATTTCGTCCAAGGCCAGTGGCACGCCTGCTTTCGTCAGTCCGGACCCTCCAACCATAAAAGACACTCGACCGTTTTTGTTTTTTATCCGCTCTCGGCGGTGAATCGGGAATGAGAAAGCGGAGCACCCTTAAAAAAAATAACAAACGACGGCTGCTTTGCCCAATAAAGAAAAGAGAAAAGGCAACCGTGCGTGGAAATGGCCTCGTCTTTTTTATATTTTTGAAACTTCCAGAAGGAAATTTAATTTGGATTCGCAAATACGGCGTTGCGAAATTTCATTTTCTCGAAATAAGTCAAAGGTTTATTTGTAGCACCAACTCGTGTTTTTGCGGCGCGTCTCTCAAAGGAGTTGAGTGAGTCTCATGCCTGGTTGACTCGAACTCTTTCTTTTTGCGCGCAAAGTGGGTTTACTCGGGAATTTGTTTCGCATTTTTGTCAATACGAGAGAGAAGCGCACACGCCAGCAGTATATGCAGTTGATGCCTCCGGGCTAGAGCAGGGGATGAAATTGAGAGAGGCGCATGGAGGACGCAATATCTTAGTATGTTTATATCAGCCTGAATTGAATCTTGTTTCAACCGCACCATGCATAAAAAATCTTATCTAGTACGTAAAACGGGGCTTACACAACCAAGGTAGAGAGGAGAAAAAATTTTATTATGCTATAGTAAAAGTCATGTGACGTAATCATGTATTACTTTTCCATTACTTTTGCATAAATTATTTACAAGAGAAAATATTCTGCGTTATAAGCGTTTACACAAAATTTAATTGTTATATTGCTAATATTAATCTGATGTTAATTTTAAATTTATTTGAAAGTTTCTTTAAATGAACATGTAAATGATAATTTTTATTTCTTAATTTTCAATTAATTTTTAATTTTGATAAAATATGCATAAATTGATACAGAAACTTCATTTAATTTTCCTTGAATTAATTTTTATAAAATATATGCTTTGCAACATTTAACTGGGGAAACTGTTTCTCAAAAGTTTATATATGAAATTATATCAACATTTGTGATTTTCAGTTTTCAGTGCTAATACAATTAAGTTTTTATTATTTATAATCTGGTGTTATTTTTTTTCTAAGAAGCGCCTTTTGCCATTGACTTTTTTATTTTTATGAAGATGTCCCATTTATTTGCATCGCTGTTTCGCTTCTTGCCGGAATTTTAGGACTTTCAAGCGGCCATAATATTTTGTAGAGTTTCAAGATCAAGGATTGATTAATGGATTTCTTTAATTGAAGAGGTATGTCATATGCACAGTAAAAACACATAATTCAATAGATTCCCATTTTTAGTATAATATAATGTTTTGGTTTAGTTTGAAAAAATAGGTTCATCTGAACAAGGAAGTGATTCAGTTTTGATCATTACATCGAACAATTGGGTTTAACTTCCCCTTTTTTGCTTAAAAAGAATCCAAATTTTTAGCTCATGTAAGATTAGAGTCCGTGAAAACGTGGAATGCAGTAATCGTTTATTTCAAAAGCTCAATTTCGCCGGTGAGCGCAGAGACATGTTATCGACGTGGGTCGTGACTTTTTACATCCCGCCAACGGAACGTGTCTGGTGCCATTATTGAGGCGTGTGTATGTATTTGCCCTGCTTTGTGTGTCTCTCCGTGTGTATTGTTCCGAAGCACAATATCGGCACACAATGATACAGGGAGGCAAATGCAAACGCGCTTTCACATGGCATGAATCGATCGACGCCATATTTTATTATTTTATTGCGAATCACGTGAGGCTGGGCAGCGACTTTATATCATTTTTACGATGACAATTTTTGACAGAAGTTGCATGTCCGCGAAACAACGGCAAGGATTTGCGAAAAGAGAGACGTGTTTTGGGCGTTGACAAAGAGCTTGGCCCGTTTTGGCCTGATGGAGATGTCAAATTAAGAAATGGTATCAGTCAGGAAAGAGAAAATATTTCGAGCGGAAAAGGTCAAATGAGTTTAGTTTTCTCTTTGAAAACAAAATTGATCGATCCTGAATATAATTTTGAATTTGAAAAAAAACTTAATTGATGTTTATTACAAAAATTATGCCTCACAATCTGTGATAAAGATAAAAAAATCTAACAAAGAAAATCATGATATTCTGCATTTATTTTTTCAACAATTAAAAATTGATATCCTACACGTTAAAAAAAACGTATATTTGAATCTTAGTTCCACAATACACAATAATCTATGATATTAAAAATTAGTCTCTTTCAAAGAATAAATGAAAGAGTAATAATAATTAAATGAGTTTAAATATTTTGTTTATTTCTAAAAAATCTAAATTGATTTTACTGGATTTTATCAGATTTTACACACAAAATTAAAACTTCACGAAACCTTTTTTGACAACCTTCTCTAATATAAACGTTTCATTAAAATTATTATCTTACAGTTTTTTTTTGCAATTGTCCAGGAAAATCCCGTTCGGCGCCTAAAGAAAATAACATTCGCTTTTAAGCGGCGAAAAGCAGACTCTTGCGAAAGTGTCGAAGAATTGATAGCAATAATAATTTAATACACATCCACCGGTTCCTTCCGCTTTCAGCTTTTCCGAATATATCTGCTCGGCTTCATTTCGGGCCATTTTCTTTAATGGAGGAAATTCGCACTTCTTCTCGCTCGTGTGTATTTCTCGTCAGCCGGTGTCGCCATGGCAACGCGGCAAAAAGTGATATAAACCCAATTTGCAGCAGCCGAGACTGGATGCACCCTTTTTCTTCGCACTACTTTCCATTCCTGCACGTTTCCTTTTGTCTTTTCTGATCAAAGTCGTGAGTAATAAATAACGCTCGAACGACTGCTGCTGCTGCTGCGACAAATGTGGAGCACACATTTGGGATCAATATATAGAGAGCCGGACTGGCCGCCACAACTCAGAAAAACGACGAGGCCAGAGGTCTCTGACTGAGATGGTTGTTGGGCCAAATTGAATTTTTACACTCTCGCGCCAATCAGGCTCGGCAAACAAGACTTTCTGACTGGCAAATTGAACGACATGGTAGAGGAGAAGAGCGGAGCAGAGAAGCTCTCTCTACTTTTGGACGCGGACACCTAGCTTATTGCGTTCACTCTCCGTTTGCTTACCAGACAAATTGATTCGCCACCGAGATTTCTTGTTCTTCACTTTCCACTCAAAACGGATTTAGAAAAAAAATTTTCTTTGTTTTGCTCCACTGCTCTTTGGTTCTACGAACGTCCAATCAAATGGAAAAGAGGATTTTTTTATTTATTTTTTTTTTTTATGAAATGGAAAAGGGATTCTCTTATCATTGACAAATAAAAAATAAAAAAGTCATTTCCTAGATTTCATTTTGTTTACCCTTCTTAAGAAACTAAAAAAAGACTAGAAAGTTTGAAAAAAATTGTTAAATTTGTACATTTTCAAGGAAATAGAAGACGTCAG